CCTAACACAATGAGTTGGAGTGACAGGCTATTAGAAAGAACAAGCTGCAGCCCTGTGCTCCAACCCTGTGTGTCACTGCTGACCTTTCTATTGTCTTGCACTGTCTCAGCTGATTAGGTTCATTTGAGCCTGACTTACTGTTACTGTTCAAATCGAGGATCAAGATTGAACAACCCTTAGCTTCTAAAATGATGCCCTTCACTTATTTTGACACCAACAAGAAAATGTGCAATGATTAATAAAGTCTATCTAAGTCTAAGTCTAAATCTGATTATTAAAATGACAACATCCGATGTGAGTAATCTGATTTCTTTCTGGTTGTTCACAGCTGTGCAGGTTTTGACAAGGAAATTATGTAAAATAGGCAAACTAATGAGGAGACAAAAATGAAATGAAATTGTTAAAGATAGAATGATTTTAAAATTCGTCGTGCTTTGTCTTACAAGTACTGCAGTAACTCTAAAATTCCATTGATTAACTGTCACATGACACCAGGTGTTTTTGGTGATCAGATTTTTTGTGCATGTAAACACACATCAAAAATCAGATTGTATTAATTGGGTTATCTGTTTATTCTAGTTATGCAAAGTTTACTGGCCATGTAAATGTGTCCAATGCCTTTTCATATCAAAATAGATAGAAGTGACAATGTATCCCCTCTTATTTAATACTTTTATTTATCCTCTTTATAAATTACCACAAATATTTAATATTTAGAATTTTTATTTTGTAGATTTTAAATAATCTTACAGGACTTTTTTAACACCAAGACAAAAAGAAATGTCTCTTATTTTATTTTATTATACTTGCACTGGCCCAACCCAGTAACAGAGTAGCCTAACTGATGAGGGCTATTGTTCTCACTCGTTTCTTTTTCTCTACTATTATTTTTCCTTGCAAACGATTGTGATTTTCAGGGCCTAAACGTCGATGAAAAGTCCCCAGACTGGGTATAGGATTGACTGGTCCGGTGAAAAATTTTATAAAATGGGCATCGCGACAATGCTCAAAGTGACCCGACTTAACAGTGCCACCTAGAATTGGACCTTATTTCTTTGATGGCTTCTCACGGCCACAAGTATTGGTCCAGAGAGCTAAATTCAAATTACAATTGCGTAATCCTGACCTGAATGTAATGGTGTATGAAGTCTAATATAACTGAACACTGTTGTGCCCCCTACCATGTACATGATGTCACCATTATTAGATTTGTACCAAAATCTCGGGATTATATTCTATGTATCACTACAAGAAAAAATATATATTATGGACAAGGGGTATTTTTCACAGTTGGCCAGCAACACTCACATGTTTAGTCCGAACGTGCTGAAATTTGAATCTCTAATGCATGCTCTTGGCCTGAATATAATATACTATAGTGTATGACAAGTGTACACTTTAGCGTCCTCTACCATGACTACAAGCATGACTACTGTGGATGTCTTTAATTATTGAGACAAATAAAGGTCTTATTAATACAGTGCAGTACAATAAATATGACTTTTTAGTGTACTGTTTATGTCTTTATTGTTTTGTTGACATAAGTGAGCAAGTTTCCTTTTCAGTGCTGTACTGACAGAAAATTCTTACTCTGCTGGAGAACTGTTGATATATACATTAAGACAAATGATATAATATCTAGGTTGCAAAATAACTGTGGTGGACTCTGCAGTTGGTGGCAGTAGACAAAGGCTCACTGACAAAACACTCTCTTTCAGTGGTCGTAATCCAACCGTCCTTGAACCTATTGGGTGTATGAGGGCAGCAGATAGTGCGTATCTTGTGATGTGTTAATTAGACTTTCAGCAGAGAGGCGGCATATTAAAGCAGTCTGGGGGTTTGGAGGCACAAAACTCAAAAGCCAGAGGAAAGCACACGAGTCACGCTGACCTTCTTGTAAATTCAGGATGGCAATTCATTTTTCCACTGGGCCACAAACCACCATTGTTGTAGTGTCATGGGCTATAGACTGAAGATAACACTGGGATTTGCATATGTTTAATCGAATGCAATTATAAACTTGCTGTGGAACAAAATGTACTTTAAGATCTAGTAGGCTATGTTAGAAAATACATTGTAAGTTCTGCCTCTCTTTGTCTTGCTAAAATAACACTAATGAAATATACTAAAGGTGTATCTCATGATTTAGAAGATATAATGCTACATACCTTTTATTTCAGGGGTAAATGCTCAATCCGTCAACCCATAATGTCATTGTTTAGTCTTACAACGTGTCATTCAGTATTAGCTTTGTCAAAAGTTGTGAAAATCAGATATTTATTGAAATTAACACTAGTATCGAAACTAGTCATTTGAGCAAGTACTGTCTTTTTATCAAATTATCTTGAGCTTATTTTAAGTATAAAGTATCATAAGTATAAAACCATATGGTGAAATAAATGAAGTACCCTATTATTATTATTATTTTTTATCATTATAGTAGTATTAGTTATCATTGTAGTACCAAAATCAGTATCAAGTATTGAGCCTATTCAAAATGGAGTTTAAAATTTTGGTTTTGTGACAACACACTAGTATTTGCACACTGTATTTAAACCAGATATAGGCCTATACTAGTCACCATATACTGTATCTAGATAGAAATCAATAATAAAGTATGTAGGTCTCTTTGTGTCTTTCCCTCATTTCTTGTCTGTGAAATATAGTGTGAAAAGTGCAATAAGCATTCAGAACATATATCCTATAAATGTCCACTGGTGCGCTGAGTACAGGAGGGCATGGTTATGTAATATGTCACTGTATATCTATGGACCAAGTTGACCTGAGAAAATTCTTGTTCTTGGCACAGACAGCACAAGACACCGTATACTTGGTGCATAAATTTATTTCAACATATATTAATATACTGTATCTGCTTTATTAAAGACACTCCACACACTATTTACACTATTAACAATGTAAATCCACTGGCGTTGAAAATAAACATTGTGATTTACAACCAGGAGGCTACTCTTTTGACCTATGGCATAAAGAACGTGAATTCGATTTGACAGCTCACGTGCCTATGTACTTGACAGCAGATGTCATAACAGTCTCTCAGAAAAAGCAGAGCACATCAGAGTGACTGATTACAGGGCCTTGATCCAAATGGCAGTGACGTACCAATCCCCACAGCTGCCTGCATCATGGACCAATCGAAATCGAAAGCTCTATTTTTGGACCCATGTTACACGTTACAGGCTGAAATGTGAAGATACAATGCTCGACTTTGACAGACCTATCAGCTTCAATCAGTTTCGTCATTTAAGAATAAAGTGAAAAGAAAAATGATTGCAACCTTTTGGGGAGCTTTGATAGAGCCTGGCCAGAACAGATCAAGACGCTGGACTTGAACAAGTGAACACACAGAAGTCAAGAATTATCAGAAGTGAGAGAGGGAGAGAGGAGGTGTGCGGTTGTTTCATTTGCACTTGGAAAGAGAAAAAAAAGCAGGACAGACAGTGAATCACTATAGAGACTGATATGATGGGCTGTCATAGGAGGTGTCATAGACTGAAGGAAGTGAAAGCATCCCAGCACTCACACAGAGAAGATAGACACTGGTGACAAGTGCTCAGAGGAGACAGAGTACTGATGTATTTACTCAGGCTCTGGTAACTGGGCTGAGACAGTGCAACTAATGATGGCCAGGATCAATGTTTACAGTGTGAACACAGAGGTCAGCAGGCAACACACAGCACCTGGGCTCTGAGAGGGAAAGTATGGAAAGGTTTCCCCAAAACAATATTAGCAGATGTGACAAAGTGATTTTGAAGTAATCATAGCTGCACATGCTACAATGTACAGCAATATAATCATTCATGGAGAATCTTTCCAACTCATGTAAACATTTCTAGCCAATTTTTTACCAAGTGGTTGAAGGTTACGTTTATAATCACCATTGTGTCACATGTTGAGATAAAAATAACTTAAAATGGCAGTTTTTTAATTAAATAATAGCAGCTGCTACTATGTTTAACATAGTTTAAAGTTAAATCGTTACATTTATAATTTTTTATTTCAATAAACTACATTCATTTGTTGCTACATACAATGCATTGCCTGATGCCGACAGTACTATTACTATCCGATTTTCCCTTGTTTTAGTATAAAATACTTACAGCTACATACTGTAGTTATACTACCTGATATTATGCTGAATATTTACAATAAAGTATAGTTATTTTGCTAACTTCTTTGTGCAAAACTCTTGTGCTTTTGATACTCATACACATCCTCACATACAGAGCAGGTACAAAACAAACGTGTTCTCAGTTCATTGTTCATTTGCGTCTCCACTCAGAAAATGTACAGTAATAATCCCTGTAGTCTATTGTGATACACTGAAAATGAATCTCATTGAGAGCAGTTGAAAGGAATCATTAGTCAATAGTTTTCTATAAACAAAGAATGCAGAGTCCTGAGGTGATGTCTACTCCCAGTCTAGACATCTACAGTACAAAACATAAAACTGCTACATTAAAGTTTTCTTTCAACTGTAAGTTACTGAATATCGTTAAAAAACTCTTGACCTATGTTGGAAGTTTGGAGGAGGTGAGACACAATTATGGAGAGAACCCCCCAGTCACAGGCGGTACATGAGTCGCCTCTCAAAGGGCTCCTTCTCTTCTAAGATATGCTAAAGAAAAACACAGAATGAGATTACAGACAGGAATACATTATCAGGATCTAATTCTAGATTCATTAGCACCACCACAGTGTATGTTGGCAGGAAACACACATGTCTGATGCAGAGGGAGCCTGCATGGCTTCTCTGCTCAGGAAGCAGTCTTTGGTCACAAATCAAGCCTAAAAGGCGTGTGCCGTGATGAGCTGTCCAAGTCCTGATGGATGGTGTCCATTTGCCAGTGCCGGAGATGTGATCCTGAGCTTGTCTTTCATGGATAAAGTACCCAGTCTCGGCGCTGTTCATTAACCGCTCTTCTCGGCTTATTATCTCTGCCAGAAGACATTTGTGTCCTCCGCTCAGACTGGAGCAGTCACACACAGATCTCTATGGCAGTGGCCATGACCATCTGGCTTTTATTCTTGTCTCGTCCTGGAGACTGGTGCTGCCCAGGATCCTCTCTGGGAGACAGAGGATCAGAGAGGACAGAGCGCTTAAGGGGGGCGGGCCTCATACAGGTGGTGCCTGGAGGAGTGGAGGGCTCAGGGTGTCTGTGTGAAGATCTCAAAGTGGAGGAAGAGGAGGAGGAGGTACAGCTGCCTGTACACACCCCTGAGCTGGACCTTTCCCCCCTCTTAGCCCTACATGAGGCCCTGCGTCTCAGCTCGCTCACTAGTTCGTACTTGACAAAGCAGAAGACATCTTTGACTCCACAACGTTTCTCTGGCTCTGCAGCTAACAGCCTTTGGAACATGCGTAAAGCATCGTCAGTGAAGCGGCGCCACTGTGATGGGTATGTTCCCAAAGGACATCCCGCCTTCTGCCAACGTCTAAACTCTTCATAGAAGGCATCAGTGGGTAGTGCTGCCTCCCAGGGGAAGTTACCTGTCAACATACAAAAGACCAGCACACCAAACGCCCACACGTCCAGACTGGTGGTCACTAAGAAGCCCTCAGTCCGACTGGCTCTGCAGACCTCAGGGGCAGTGTATGGGATGGTCCCGCTCACACGCTTCACTCTGCAGCCCACACGCCGCGTCATCCCGAAGTCTGCCAGCTTTATCCTCCGACACTCACGGTCAAAGAGCAGCACATTCTCTGGTTTGACATCTCTGTGAACCAGGCTTTTCCCATGCATGAAGTCGAGGGCCAGGCCCAGCTGCTGCATGCAACGCTTCACCATGTCCTCTGGCAGGCCCACCTGAAACAGAGGAGGAGAGGGCTAAATAAAGAACACTGAGCTGACAGCAGGAGGTGTGCAGCCTCACAGCCAAACAGGTACAGTACAAGCACGATGAATAGCTAAAAAAAATGCTATATTAAATGGTGAAATAAAGTATAGGGTGAAAATAATACACTTTGGAGAAGAGAAATGAAACAAAAGCAGCTGTGAATACTGCAGCCATTTTTAATGAGTCATTAGAAGAGGCCTGAAGCCTGCGCTTCAGCACTAAAACAAAGGCAGGACTCCGAGCCGAAGGAAAAGCGGGACAGAACAGGGCTTGTATCCCGAGAGGGCTTGTTAAAAGTGCTGCGCTGCACATAGCCAGTGATTGGAGCGACTGGGCTCTGGGAGAACAGCTGTATGATTGCTTTACCTGTGGGGGGATGATGTCGAAAAGATCCCCGGCGGGTGCATATTCTTGTCCAAATACGTAGCAGTCCTCGGTCTCAAAAAGCACGTCTAAGACTTTGATGATGAAAGGACTGGAGCCGAGCGAGCCCGTCAGACTGTACTCCCGCAGGAAGCTCTTCAGCTTGGTCTTGTTCTTAGTCACAAACTTCAGAGCTATTTTAGTGCCTGCAAAACCAAAATACATTTGTAAAACATGGGTGTCAATTCAGACACTGCAATCAGACATTTTTAAAAGCAAATGTCACATTAAAATGTTGTAGGAGGCTGAGTCTTGGTTTTCTATCTATTTCTTCACCCATACTGTAGGAAATAAACTGTGAATAGGTCTTTCAAAGCACTTCAAAATATGGATTTCATTCAAACCGAGAAAGAGCAACTTTGAAGTGAAGCCTTGGGAGTTCTTCCACCACATTCATCCTTTTAACTACTGCTCTATTCATAACAACACATGGACTGAAAAAGAAGCATGCTAAATCTCTTTTCTTGTGTTCCACACAGCTCAATATAATACACTGACTATTCAAAAGGACCATGCTATTAGCCTTTTAAAAAGTTTGGATTGTTGGCATCCCAATGTTTTACCATTATTTGGGGGAGTTCTTGACATTGCACATGGTGACTAACTGAACAGTTTGTTCTCTACCTGAAAAGCCTACGCCTATGCTTCTCTACATTACTTTGTACTGTTCAAGTAACATTGATTAGACTCAAATGTTCTTTAAACACCACAATATTCAATCAGCAGTTTGGCTGTTAAGCTCACTTTTTTACTGACTGCAATGCAGTATGCACTGTAGTTCATCACTAATGTTCTGACAATATGTATTTCAATTGCATCACAAAACGCACTAACTGCATTTAGTATGCAAAGTCCTATAGGTGACATAATTAAACAAATAAATCTTACTTGAATAATTCAAATCACAAAAGCAACTTCAGTTAAATAAACATAATTTATTTTATGGATTTGGATGTTATGCTTTTGTCTGCTATTTAGTTATAATGTACGGCACCAGTAATATGTATTGTTGGGTGTCACTAAGTTACTAACACATAGTTACTTTAATTAAATTAGATTTTTAAGTAACTTGGTAGTTTAATGTACTATTGTGAAAATAGTTGCTGTAGTAGTTATTAATAAAATATTTAGTTACTTAGTTTCCCATAAACATGACTTCTGCTGTCAGGACCCCCCTCAGAGGCAGAGAGGAGATTGTTACACTGCTGTATAAACAAGTTATTTGTTCTTTAACTCTGTTTAGATGCCTTTAATAATAACACATACTTTCCCAACCCTGTAGTAATAATGTGATTATATTATTGTTATTATTATTACATTACATTGTTAAAAGTTATTTTGCATAATATGTTTAACTTTAATTTTCAATAAGGTTTGACCATGACCCCAATGCCTCATATCTCTCCTGTTCTTTTGTGCAATTTCAGAACAAATGCCACAACCCTGATACCTTGTGCCCTGTGTGCCACCAGGTCCACCTTCCCATATGTGCCCTTGCCCAGCTCTCGGATGTGCTCGTACTGCTTGGCTACATCTGCAGTGGACAGAGAGGTGAGGGTCAGGGCTTGCATATCTTCCACCGGGACCCTGTCACAATAGCCCCCTTTAGACGGAGGAGAGGTGCCTGCGCTGCCAACTCGCCCTGGTCCAGTAGGCGACAGAGACAGGCTCGCCTTGACTCCGTGGGGCAGACTAGAAAGAAAAGAAATAAAGAGTGGGTTTAGTGACTTACTCAAACTACTATGACAATAAGAATATCAAAGATAACAATATGTAATACTAAGTAATACATAATAGATGTGTTGCACCTGTTAAAACTAAATATGTATGTATATGCATAAAAAAGTAGTATTGGCATTATCAAACCTCATATCAAAGTCATGTTTTGTTGTAGCTGTATGGTGAAACTGTAGAAAATTATAGACCACAATCCTTTGCTCATTTTCAGGACAGACAACATGAAACAATGTAATCTTTATCTTTTGGAATATGAGAATACCTATATCTCTGACATTCTGTAAAGCACTAGCCCCAGTACTGCAAACAAGCTTATTATTACTGTAATTAATTATACTGTATTATGACTCATAATATTACGTGATCATGAATGTTTTGTATTAGAAGCAAAGTATGCATAATTTTGGCAGGCTTGGCAAGGAGTGTGTTGTGATGGTTGTAGAGGTTGTGATTTTATGGATGTGCAATATCCCCAAATAATACCACAAATTTCAGCTTTTGTAGAGTCTAAATCGTGATACATTTCGAATGAATTCATATAATATAGTGTCTTTATGTATCATTTAGAGGTAGCCGCCCTAACTAAAATCACCTGCCGCTCCTAAGAGTTCAAACTTTACTACTTGCGAATGGTTAAACCCAACTGTTACTGACCCATCAGTGGGTGGGGCAAAGTGTCTATGTTAAAAGCATAGAGTTACGTTGCAGAGAAAAAACCACTAGGCCTGTCACGACAAAAAATTTTGAAGCATGATATACTGCCACAGAGATATATATATCGAAAAACGATACTATTTAAACTACATTATGCCACTAACACAATAACAATAAATCAAGACAATCCCAGTAAACCAGCTGCAATCAAATCATATAGAAGAATGACAGGATAATTCTGGGAGTCCCTGCTTAGACTGCTGCCCCCGCGACCTGGCCCCGGATAAGCGGAAGAAAATGGATGGATGGATGGATCTGATAATTAGACATTACTTATTTAACCTACAACCATTATTACAAAGAAAATGTACACAGAATGAATATTAAACCCACAAATATATTGGTCCAGCTTTCATATACTGAACCATAAGTCAATAGTAATTATCGTGACAGGCCTAAAAATCACTGAATCATGATATGCAGATATGATTAAAATAACAACAGCCTACCTGGACTTTTTTTTTGTTTTTTTTTAACAGTATACATATAATTGACAGGTGGCCCGGTTATTGCAGATCATTGACATTTAGTGAATATGGTCTTTTGTGATTTATTTCTCCTTTGTAGTTGATTGGTGCTCAGTATTCTTCAGCATAATGTATTTTCCTGTGTGCTTCCCAAAGAGGATATAAATCTAGAAGGCTATAACAGGTCTTCATTTCCATACAAGCAATTCCGGTAAAGGCTGGCTCTTTCAGTCAATTCAATGCACTTCCTCTTGTCCCTCTAGATCATTCTGGGCAGCTCTGTTCCGATGGCTGGACTCATGACTGCTAGGAGCGGACCACGATGGAAAATCAATATAACAGGTGGAACGACTAATATATGGAAACAGCTGGGGAAGACTGGCAGCCAGAGGTATGCGCCGCCACTCTATGATTCAATATTATTAACACATATTTACTCATGTGTGCAATATAACCACATAACCCCAGATGAGAGTTTTTTGAGAGTTTCTTGGTTGCTGCAGCATGATATGAAACAAAAATAAATAAAATAATTAACCCTATAAGGTCCGAAGGTAAGTAATATATTCATGGGTTTCAGCTCCTTGTTATGACTTTTTCCTATTCAAAAGATCACTACGGCAACAATCCTAATTTCTCATCATTCTGAAATGACATTTGACTACTGAAAACAATGTATTTTTTATTGTTAATTACTATGTGAGCACTGCTTTCATCATTCTGAAACACATGGACACCATCATTTTCACAGATAAAAACAACTGCCATTTTTATGTAATTGCTGACCAAGCATAGGTCAAATTAATTCTGTACGAAAATTATAGCTGCTTTAATTGGAAACTTGGCTTGAGTCAGATCTGCAAATGACACCAGAAATGAGACAAGAGAAAATGAGAAATGCAGCAACAGGGGAAACATTAAATAAACTATGAATAACAATAATAATTATGTGGAAGCGCCAAATGGACTGTTGATGAAATGGAGTGAATCGGCTAATGATCTCACTGGCCTCTCCGCTCACAAACGCACACTCAAATCTAATCATCTGATCAGTCACACACACTGCAATATAGGAACTAATTCAGGGCACACACTTTAGCTGATGGTTTCTTTCATGAACAAGTCAAGGATTATCATTTTATGTCTATTTTGCAGGAGATATGGTGGATATATTTTTGCAACCCAGCTGTGTCCCAACCTAGACTTCTGATCATTCACTGTTAGGAAGCCTCAGACACAAACCTGAAGCTATAGCTGATTTACTTTAGTGATTAAGAAGTACATTTTAGTAAACAGAAATGGTGTGCCTTGATTTGGTCTAGAAAAGATGCTTTCAGCTAGTACATTTGCCCACATAACAGTTTTTATTTTTTATTTTTTTTTTTTTTTTATTAATACAGCCAGACAGAGAAAGCTAAAAATAAGACGCAACCATGTGCTCTCCTGTGTTCTTGGCTTGTCAGAAAATCTTTCGTTCCAATAATTTACAAAATCACACTTCTTCCTTCTCCTTCTTCTATCTTATCAGAGGCCTGGAGATGGTTATATAAGCAGACCATGAATATTGGAGCCCACTCGTACTGAAGGCAGCCACAGTGAGTCAACACAAAAGCTGATCATCATCCAGACTCCAGAGTGCACACTCTAGGTCTGTTCAATAAACATTTGAACAAACATGGGCAGCTCCTGACCTCTGAAATACACAAAGACAAATTACATTAGGTGCTTTCCGGATTCTGTAGATTGCAGATAATAGCCCACCCACGCATTTCCTTGTAGAAATCCATTTAAGGGTATAAAATGAATGAGGGATGTAGAAACTCATTGGCCAAAGTATCTACTAGACAGAAATAAAGACATTTGAAAAATACTTGACACTTCCATAATAGTAGGAATATGTCAAAAGGAAGTGCCACATGTAGTTATTTGAGCTGGTCATCAGGAACAGATTTTTCCTGGAGATGGCACTTGAAATGGGGCAAGATCTTGTGCTAAAATATTTTTTGTCTCTATAGAGAAAAAAAATCAAAGAATGTATTACATATCATGTTTTAAGACTTATAATCATTTTGGTGTCTCAAATTTATTGTTGATTCATATAAACTTATTCTTAATCTAGATTTGTACAGCACTTAGGATATGAGCTACAGTCTCAAATGTGTGAGGGCTGAAGTAATGCTGGGTCATGAAGAGGTCTGGTGTATCATTTGAATTTCAGTGTCAAAGGCCCATTGTATTGTGCAGCTGTGAGACTCCACTGCACTAGCCAGCTCGTCTCCTCCCATGATGCACTCTGCTCCTCTTCTAAACATGGTGGCCAATAAATTCAACTCCATAAGATTTCAGTCAGACATTTTCTTTTAATCATCGGTATAAGCTTTTCAAACCCAAGCCCTGGGCATTTTCTAATTTTTGTAATGCCACTGCTGAAGTAGGAGGAACTCATAACTTTGGGATTAGAGGTGTATTAAAAGTCCCTTAAACTTATTCACCATTAAAATTAAATAAAAATAACCCTACGATCAGCTTTACGACACCCACTGGAAAATCTTTTTTTTCTGTGGAGCTGAGATGTGGCTATCTGAAGGAGGCGATGATCACATCTTGGGGCCAAATAAAAAGCAAAAAGGACTCAAGGGAGACAACGGGAGTGTAGTTGCATACTGCTGCAGGAACACATTTTATAGCCTGGTCAAATCAGGGCAAACTATTTTAGAGATGCACTACCCACGCAGTTTTTAAAGTTTTTATTTTAGCATTCCTTCCTGGTTCATTTCATATGCATTGCTAAACTGAATATACAAGAATATATACAAGAAACTAAATTAAGACATTTAACCAAAAGAGCATTTATCCCTATTCAGCACTATTGCACTTGTTTTTGTCAGAATTTGAGGATAACACTACAATTTCCAATCTAAAGATCGCAAAAACAAAATGAATGCTAAGCATAAATATTCATATAACAGTTCTCAATGGGGATATTTATTCAAATAATCAGTAACTGGAGACTAACTGCTGTTGTAAAATACCAGTAAACGTGGCTATGATTATGTTATGGCACACTGAGGCAGCACAGTGTTTCCCGTCCTTGTTTTCCCCACTCTCTTCCTGCTCCTGAAAACGTAAACAAGGGACTAATGAAACAAATAAATAAATAGCTGAGACTGCTGTGCGTCTCTACCTCTGCCTCCTCCTTTGCTAATGGACTAGTCGTGGTGCTCTAGGAAGCCCAAGTCATTACAAGCTGAAGACTGATCTCCTGCGTCCAATTTACTGTCAAAATGCCCGCCACGTGCTGCCTCCAGGTCAGGTGGAAAAAACAGTGAGTGAAATGTGAAGTGACTAATATGCTTGTCTTTTGGTGGTACCCAAAATAAGATGAACTGATCCTATGGAGTTGGGACACAGTGTTCTAAATACTAAAACTAGATCACCTTGAGGAGAGAATGGGTTGAACTAACCCCCGCAGTGCAGTGATGGGTGAACCTGCAGCCTGAGAGAGATGGATATTCTGGGTCCACTCTGACATAGACTCACACTAGAGCCCTGTACTATCTAACCAGCCCCCTTCCATCCCTCTTCCCTGTCTCATCACCTCCTGTTGCTAGCTCCATATCCACAGACTACAAAGAGACCACCTACCAGAGCTACTGCAGATACTGCCGGGAGCAACGAGCACCCGTTGTGATGACCCAAAACTCGCTCAATATCCAAGGTTAAACATCCAATGAGGAAGCTGCACTGGTACAGCATAACAAATCAAAGCATGGCAGTTACACAATTTGGTGAGGAGGATTTCCAAGGAATTGTTATGGCAATGGTAAAGAGTGACCATTTATGCCCACTGAGGCTGGAGTTATTGTTACATTATAAGTATACATTGCTGTGTGTTTGTGTTTCAAATCAATCCATAAACAAGTCAATACCAAGCCCAGTTGGACTGATGATTAACAAATGTATTTTAAAACAACAACAACAATACTTTTCTGCATTAGTAAAGTCACAATACTAAAATGTCAAACTTGATTTCAGTATTAACCCTCTCAGGCTCAAATTAATTTTTAGTATCAGGAAAAATCTGATATTTGGGGAAAATTATAATATGGATCGTCCACGTTTATCAGCATGGATGGGAGAAAAGGCTCCTGAGTAAAAAAAGTTCATAAAATATGGATGTGGAGTTAGTAGGTAATTGGAATTTAGTTGTTGCAAATCTGCAATGCCTGCCTGGAGAGGGTTAAGGGATAGACTCAAGATCACAAAAAAAACACCCTTTCTATAGACAATAGAATTTCATTTTCAACATTAAATTGTAGTGTTTTCTTTTATATTACCATATGGTTTTGTATCCATATAATCTCTCAATCATCAAGGTATGTTCCATAGTAGTCCATGGGTCTTTACTATCAGTTTATGTGCTCTTATACTTGATCAGATACAGTTCAAGATCACTCTAAAGCTATTCAGGAAAGGTTCATTGACCTGTGAAGGTGACATTTAAGGATCTAGTATCTAATTTCGATACTAATTTTAGTATTGATTAGTAGCTGATTTTTTATTCTTTTGACAACTCTATTCTGTATAATAACAAAGTTTGTAAACTGCTCATCATCAAATTAGTTTCAAAGCGGCCTGCTCTTTTCCTGTGTCAATCATATCGCACTGATTATAATCCTCTCTTGATTTGCTGCAGAGAGAACAATGATGCACCAAAACAAACAGCACTGGCAAATTCACCCCATCAAGTGTGGGATTATAGGGTATCCGATTAGGATCTTCCAAGCATCTGACTGTAAACGCCTCATAACAACCATCAGCGGCACCTCCCCCATTCACTAATCATAATCTCAACCTAAGGAAAAATCCAGTGCTAAAATATCTCCATCATAATCCATCCAGGGAACATATTGTACCTCACTCCCCCACTTCATAATCAGTCGCCTCAAGTTTCTATGAGGAGGCTTTATGTGATGAGAGGGGAACGGGAGGGGGGAAAAATCCAATGAGATGGAGTCAAGCATGCCAGAAGTGTGGACCTCTTTGATGTCTAATACGTACATGGGCAAATTGGACTGTTGATGAGCTCAGAAAATGAGGTTCAGGGGAATATTGTTGCAACATCACTAAAGAGGACAGGGCTTCCTCCTCATTAGCCTGTGTATGTCCTTTTCTTGATTGTTAGTTAATTATACACAAAGGGGATTAGTTGTCACATATATAAATAAAATATAAATAAAGACTGTATAACAAGCAAGCAAAAACAAGTGTTACTTGACCAGTCTCCAACTTGGTTAAGAAATTAGGTCAGAATATCAATCCATGCATCATAACAAAAAGGATCAAAATACAAACAAAATAAAACTTAAACATTTTTTATTGCTCCTGTGTTGTGAGCTATTTACATGGTTCTGTTTTTTTTTTGACATGTCTTAAACAAACACTACAACTTAATGATGGTTATTCATATATATATATATATATATATATATATATATATATATATATATATATATATATATATATATATATATATATATATATATATATATATATATATATATATATATATATATATATTAATTACATGATAAGCACAATGGGTGCATGTAAATGAGGTGTTATAACGACGATGAAATTTGCTCATGCTCAACTTTTTCTGGTCTCATGCTTTCAAAATAGCAGGAAAGACCAGTGTTTCTTGTATGTCCTCTAAGTGTCCCTATATTGGCACTACATTCATAAAAAAAAAAAAAAAAGATGAAACATCTGAAGATGACGAGAATTGTCTATCTAATGATGTAATGTGTTGCCACTTTGTGCTTATAGTGTATGTGTGTATATGTTTATATTTATATGATTATGTATTTGCAATTTTCCCATGCTTTTGTTTTTAATCCCTTCTCTTACATGCTGAGCTGCATATGCCTGCTCATTATGTTAAGAGAAAGGCTGCCCTATCTCACGCACATTACATAAAAAACAAAAACACAAAGGCAATATTTAAACGTTATTCTAATGACCAGATTATCCAGGTCCGACACTGCCAGAATCATGCAGCTTTGCTTTTAGGGGAGATTTGCGTGAGCGAGTCATCTTCCCATTTAAAATAAGCTTTAACGATGAGATATCACCTATCTACCAAGAATTAAAGGGGTCATTAAAAGTGGAGTGGCCCGGATCCCCTTGCATCCATCTACTGTACTGCGTGCGTTATGGGCGAAGACTGATAAACAAACGTTAACGTGACATAATGGCAAAAAAATAAAATAAAATAAAAATACAATAAATAAACTACGCTGCTGCAAAAAAGAAAAACATCCTCAATGGGCCATTAGTGTTAGGCTCTAGCTGCAATATTTACATAGGCTATTATTCACCTTGATGGAAACGTAGACAATTCAAATTATCTAAGGTTAAAGATATGGCAAAGTTAGTTGGAAGACGTTTTTACGCGCACGATGGAAACAAAGAATTTGAAAACGTACAATCCTCAAATAGTCATCCCACAAATGTATAGAAACCAAATAAGCTCCAGAAGATGTAACTGTATTACCTGCTGGCGACCTGTCTGTCTCCTCCATGGTCCTGCATCGGCTTGAGTGGAGCAGAGCTGCGCTGCCCTGCTCCGTTTTGCTCCCGTGGAACCAGCAATGCACTCACTCAACTGTATCACTCCTCTCTCAAGAAATAACAATATCTTTTAAACGTTTCCTCTATCGATACCTATTGTCCTGACTTCGGAAATTATTTTGGTATGAATCAGTGCATGGTGCGTGGATGGAGATGTTGAGCATCCTTCGTCCTCTTCATCTCAGCCTGCCCTGGAAGCGAAGTCTGTTTATGTTTCGCTACTCTAATGGTCCACCTGACCCACTTCAGCTGCACAAACGCCAAGACGAACCCATTCATTCACTTCTGGGCTCGGAAAGCCTTGCCAGATCCACGTTCCCGCCTCAGCTCTTTCACGCATACAAGGTGGTCCGTCCGTCTTGTCAGTGCGTCCGCGGGGACTTTAGGCTATAGGTTGGTAAAGGGGTGGTCTCAGATGTTGCTCCGGTGCTTGTGGCTCTTACCAGTCAGCTCCTTCATTGTTCATCGTCTCCACCCTCTGGAAAACTAATGCGCTCACGTGTCCAGGGTCCTAGTGCCACCATGTTTATTCCACCTACAATCAGTGCATCTTTTTGAGTCATTCTTTGAAGTAACAAGCTGCTCAGTCGTTGCATAATTTAACATCTTATGGCTCTGAGTGAGTAGTTCAGACTATGACAGTGTCATTGCCCTGTCCAATAATTCACTATCCTAGCATTATCCATTTCCATAATTTAAAGATGCCCGTAATCTTTCTGGTGGAGGGTCCATCACTTGTCTGGAGAATGTCGAATGCATCACGTACTTAATCTACTTATTGTGTAACCAATTGTTGTCTGATTCTGGACAGATGTCTCTGCCGCTGGTGCTGATAATCATGTCTGCTGAAACTGAATAATCCCAGGTAACATTGTAAACCCATATTGGCTCCACTTTCAGTGTGAGTGCCAGTGGATTATTAGACTGTTGTAGTAGAGCTAAATCAGTAGTATGTGTGTAGAGAAAAAGAAAGAAAAAAGAAAAACAAACAAACAAAAACATCCAAGTTATGCCTGCATACAAAACAGGTGTTTTCCATAAATTCTACCATTATGTGTGGAGCCCAAGTACATTTTGGTCACTCACAAATCATGCTCACTTTCATGTGGAGCCTGTACTGCATTGCCAACTACTGGCCAACCCACAGTCCATGCCCATTTGCCCATTTGTCCCTTTTACATTCCATGTGAAGCTCACACTGCCCAGACAAATGGGTTTTATCTGGATTGCCCAGATGGGAACCTGAAACCCATGGACAACCCAATGAGGGCCCATAAAAGAAATATCCATGACTGAAATATTATTACTTAAATACATAAAAAGAATCCATACATTTAGATATCTGCAGGGTTACAACAGTGTTGGTTAGAACACTGGTTTTATAAGAGCATGCATGGGCATGGGACAGAAAAAGTTATTGTTTCAAAATTGCAGTCTTGTAATTTACTATCTGTGAGAACTCTGTATAAAATGATGAACCTGTTAATGTTTACTTTTGGGGGGGCTTACGAAATGTGTATATAAATATACATATTTATATATATATATGGTTGATTGGGGTTCATGCTGATCTCTCAGCAGTGACAGCTTCAGGTGTCCCAGCTCATACTCAAGTGGATTCACAAGGTGGTGAAGAAGAGTGCAGTACAACACATAACAACGCACCAATGAAGACACCACACACGATATTCAAGCCACTCAACCAAGGTCAAGAACACTAGTGGGAGCACGTCACACCTCTGCACTGTGAGTAAAGACAACTACCACTGCTCCAAACTTCCCTCAGGCTGGCCTAGTTTTGCACTTTTAATGTGTCACCTCAAGTTTTCCTTCTAAAGACTGACCCTGTTTCTATACTGTTCTGTAATTTGTCTTCTAGCTGAATTTATTTTAGAACTTGATGCCCTAACTGCTACATATTTGCTCTAAATCCCAAATTAGACCACTGGCTGGCCTTCCTCTATGCATTTCAGGAAATGGCTATAGGTATGCCTGTACAACAACAAATTCAAGTTTTATCGATTTAAATTTTTTGTTTGTATTTAGGCCCATTTCTCAGTCTTTTAATATTACTTGCGCGTCAATATTACTTGAGCAAATATAGACGCTACACTACATGAATATCATACATATCTCAATACTATGATAAATATTAATGAGCGGTGTTTGTGAAAAATAAAGAACAAGGGACAATCAACAATTGAAGTTTAACTACATTTCCCACAATGCTCCGCTATTTTACTCCACGTGGTTGGTCAAAATAGTCGATGACGTAATAACTATGCGCACGTAACCTTGTATTGGTTTTGTAAAACAGCACAAGGAAACATGCAAAGCTGCTTAAAACACTTTTAAACTTTATAAATTGTTCTTCCATACCGTGACCCAGTCATGAGTAAATATATTTTACCAATTTCTGTTTTTGGAACGGCTTTTGGTTGCGCTGTATTGTTAAAGTGAGTATCCACTGGTTATTTCTTGGTATATGCCAGCACAGTGTAAACTACACTGCAATACGCGAAAGAGCTTTAGATTTAAACAGCACCAACCTCAAAATCCTATTGGTATCTTAAAAGTATTTGCACGATTTATCGGGCTTTATATGAACTACTTCTGTATTAACCACCGTTTCTGATCTCTGTAGAAACCATGTGACAGGTGGGCGATGTAAGAGTAAAGCTACAATACATGGCAAGACTGTGGTGATAACAGGAGCTAACACAGGCATTGGGAAAGAGACAGCCCGAGAACTCGCTAAGAGAGGTGTGGAGACATGTCTAGCAGCATGAAATATCTTGCAAATGTGATATGAGTTGGTGGACACAGCCATTATGTAATTTGTTATTAAGCAATCAATACAACACTGCCTCTACTCCCTCTGTATCCTCAGGAGGTCGTATTATTATGGGATGTCGAGACATGGAGAAGTGCGAGGCGGCTGCAAAGGAGATTCGAGGGAAAACACTGAATCCTCATGTTTATGCCTGCCAACTTGATCTGGCCTCTCTGAAGTCCATCCGTCAGTTTGCAGAACGAATACAAAAAGGTTAAGCAAAACACGCATCAAGTCTTTCTCTGTGACTGAAATTAGTAAAATTAATTCCAAAATGTTTCTTATAGAAGAGAACCATGTGGATATTTTAATAAACAATGCTGGAGTGATGCGATGTCCAGATTGGAAGACAGAAGATGGTTTTGACATGCAGTTTGGGGTAAATCACCTAGGTACAAATTATAATAAAACTATGCTTATTGATTAGGCCTGTCATGACAATTACTATACCAACTTATTGTTCAATACATGATAGATGGAACAATACATTTTGTTGCTCAGTATTTATTGTGTGTACATTTTCTTTGCATTAGTGTTGACATTTTAGTTATTTTAGTTGTAATACGATAAGATTTGTGCTGTAAAAAGTTGACTAAGTATTTTCTATGGCTAATTAATGGTTCATTCTGCTATTTATTTGTTGCAGCCCATGCCTTTTAATGATACTGTTGTTTGTAAATAATATTTAAATAATGGTGTACTGGGATTATCTTGCTTTATTATTATTGTGTCAGTGGCATAAAGTAGTTTCAGTATTATTGTTTTTCACTTTATATCTCTCTAGCAAGATCATGCTTCAAAATGTATTATCGTGACAGGCCTATTATTGATATACTTAACTATAATCTGCCTAATTTTCTTGGGTTTATCCTCCTTAATTCCTCCACAGGACACTTCTTGTTGACAAATCTTCTGTTGGACAAGTTGAAAGAATCCGCCCCCAGCCGAGTGATCAACCTGACCTCGCTCGCCCACATCCTTGGAAAGATTGACTTTGAGGACTTGAACTGGGAGAACAAGAAGTTTGATACCAAGCAGGCGTACTGTCAGAGTAAGCTTGCCAATGTTCTGTTCACCAGAGAGCTGGCCAAGCGATTACAAGGCAAGTCTAGTGGCTGCTGCCGTTTTATGTAGGCATTGTGTGGGACTGGAGAATTTACAGTTGGATATAATTTTGCAACAATGTACTTTGTGTTGCTGTTACAGGCACAGGAGTAACAGTGAATGCTGTCCACCCAGGTGTTGTTGCCACAGAGCTTGGGAGGCACACAGGTCTCCACCAATCACAGTTTTCCAGCTCTGTGCTTAGTAAGTATTTCTTGTTTGTATTAAAACAAGTTACGCAGTTTTCTATGTTATAATGTTGTTTCCTCATAGAAAACATACCATCTGGAGTTGTGTTTTGTTTCATTCACACATGTTCTGTGTATTTAGGCTTAGTTCTTCTCTCAAACCGAAAATACTCCACCTCGTAATGCCATGTGGCAATACAGGAAATTCATACACCCATGGATCTATAATCACATTTGGATAATTTAATGTGACTCTTAACTTGAAAATTTCAACTTCATGACATCACAAGGTGGAACTGAGCATTTTGAACTTTGGAGATGTGGACAGCCTAATAAAAAATGTGAGAATGAAAGAAACATAACTACAGGTATGTTTTTGACAAGGCACCAGCATTAGAACATGGCTTAAAGCTCACAAGAATCCAGGTTGTGTAATGTAGGACCTTTAACTATTACCAACCATTGCTGAAACCTTTTTGCTAAAAGAAATATTGGCTTTAATAAATAACTGTTGACTTTATGGTGGTTGCAGTAACTCAGTCAATCAAAAGTTGGTGGCTTGATCCCTGTTGTCCTGGACAAAATGGGTATCGGCAAAAAATGCACATTATTACATATTTAGCTTTCAGTGTGAAGATGTAGTCATCCTTATTTTTTAATACTATGTGTGCCCTGCTGTGTCTGTGCAGTATATTAAAAAATCTTTGATTTTCCTCTTCAGTGTTACTGTATGTTTGCTGCATAGTTACCTCTTTTTACTGACACAATGAAACTTATTTCTTCCTATAGGCCCTTTTTTCTCTCTTTTGGTAAAAAGCCCTGAGCTGGGGGCACAGCCCAGTATCTTCCTGGCAGTGTCTGAGGAGATGGAAGGTGTGACTGGACGGTACTATGATGTGATGACAGAGAAGGAGCCAGCGCCTCTGGCCCTGGATGATGAGGTTGCTCTGAGGTTATGGGAAGTCAGCAGTAGACTGGTGGGTCTGAAAGAGGACAAACAGAGCCAGTCAGAGTCAGCAGCAGGATCAAACCAGAGCAGTGCTGTTGCACACAAGCTGAGGCCACAGATTTCTCCTACTGCACCTGCCTCAGCATCTGCACTGGAAAAACACTGAACATATGGAGGTGGAATCCCCCCCTTGAAAAATCTGTATAATGTATATAAGAGAATGTATTTTAAAGGACAATGTAGCATACATGTCTATTTAAATATCCGAACGTGTGACACACAATTGCAGTTAAGAATTAAATTCTGAAATTATCGATGCATCTTCTAAATTTATTAATTTTTTCTGCCCAAATTGCCTCCATTCATTGACTTTCTGCTTCTTTTTCTCAACTGTGCATGGATAAAATACACAACTCTCACACAAATAGCGCCCTCTGGATGCATATCAGCACAAAACAGAAGCCAATAATTCAAGTATAAGACTTACAATACATACTTACATTATATACATTATATAACTAACACATATCTCATAATAATAATAATAATTATTATTATTTTTTTTTTATTATTATTATTATTATTATTATTATTATTATTAGTAGTAGTAGTAGTAGTAGTAGTAGTAGTAGTAGTAATAATAATAATATTATCATAATCATAATAATAACATACTGTATGTGCACAAAATGGAGTGATGGAGTGATTAAAATTCATATTCAGTAGAACATAAACTATTTTGTGGAATGATAAAGTATTTTGTTGAAAGTTTAAGTAAAAAATCATTAGTGGAAGATGTTCCTAAAGACAACTGTAAGTGCACATGTAACTGGTATGTGATTGGTTTATTCATTCTAATGCATACTTTTATGCGCTCTCTGGTTCTCATATTACCCCATGATGCTGAGTACTTACTGAGTTAGAAAGCACTCATGTCGTATTTCTGGCGTTATCTCTCAGGAGGATTGAAGCTCTCAGACAGCTATCATCAGATGCCCACAGAAAAAGGGTTTGACCTCGTAAATCTTGACACATTTTTTTTTTGTTTTCCATTTTAGACTTGTTCTCATTCCTGGCGATGATATTTTAACGTTATCTATGATAGTTCTTATTTGGTTTAGGCGAACTTTCAATTTAATGATATCGAATACTAAACCTTCTGGCACAGATCAATGGATCCTAATGCAGGCTCAGACTGTCTGGCAACGACCCTGAAACTCTGCCTCTCCATCGTTCAATCACGTCTGATTTTAGAAGAGGAGACCCTCACTGGTGCCTTTGCATCATAGGAGAAAGGTTGGTTATATTACATTAGAATATCACACACAAACAAAAATCTAACAAAAATTTAACCAATATATATTTGATTCTATGTCGGGGTATATGACTTCATTTCACCTCGATGTTTTATAGTATGCAATAGGCTACATTGCAAAGGTTGAATTCACTGGTTTGAGTTTTTGAATGCGCACCAGTCTTGTTCCGGACTGCATTACCCACAATGCTAAAATGCATCTACAGACCGCAGAAAATGTCCGAAGTTCAACAAGCTTCTTCAGAAAAGTGCTTAAACGGTGCGTACACTTGTGCCTGGGTGAGTTGAGCCATGTATTGAATATTTTGTAATAATCTCCCACCATATGGTAAAGTGCCATGATACATCGATAATTACAACAAGTCGGAGAAACACTGACAGAAAGCTGTACTAAAACAAAAGAGTAACGTAGCCTATTTGCATTTCGGTGAACGTATTTCTTGTGAATGATACTGTGAACGTAGCAGTGCGTCTTTGCAAAAATTGCAAAAGTTAATCGTTAACTACATACACATACACTCAAGCAAGTAGAAAAAAAGCAATTCAAGTGATTTTTTTTCTCTAACTTGCTCATAATGTAAGCAGCAGACCATGGCGACCACACAAGAAAATAAAGAGCTACTACCTGAAGATGTTGGCACAGATGACTGTCTGTCCTCCTACACACACATCTACAGTCCTGATCTACTCAAGTAAGTTCTCCTAAAATTTTTCAAATGTGCTTCATTTGAAACCGTTGCAGTGGATTGTTGTATGCATTTTCAGGGACCAAGTTGCTTTTATCACTGGTGGAGGATCTGGAATTGGACTCAGAATTGCTGAAATATTTATGAGGTAAAATATAAACAATACTTTGAATGCGTGAATGAGTAATTTATAATCCAGAAAAATTAAACACAATACAAGAGGTAGTTATAGTGCAACATGCCTTGAACTTCAGACTCTGTTATCTTCTTATCTTGGTATAATATATATATTATATATATATATATATATATATATATATATATATATATATATATATATATATATATATACACACACATATATATACATATATATGTATATATGTGTGTATGTATATATATGTATATATATATGTATATGTATGTATATATATATATATATATATGTATGTATATATATATATATATGTATGTGTGTGTGTATGTATATATATATATGTATGTGTGTGTATATATATAGTGTGTGTGTATGTATATATATGTATATGTTAAAATCCTTCTTAAGTTTCACTGATGACTTTTTGCAGACTTTGTTCAAGAGTTAAAGTGCCATATTGTAGGGATTAATTTGTTTTAGATTCATATTCAGCATGTTGCAAAAGTAATTGCACAATCACACTCATATATAGTATTTTCTGTTACGTTTTTGGTAGACATGGCTGTGATACTGTTATTGCTAGCCGGAATCTGGACAAATTAAGAGAGGTAATATAAAACAATATTTTAACAGTTCATAAAAGTACATTTTGTGTTTATCTATATATTGTGTTTGCCCTCCTAGGCTGCTCAAAAGCTGTCTACTGCCACTGGACGGTGCTGCCTCCCTCTGTGTCTCGATGTAAGGAAACCTGAGAGCATCACGGCTGCAGTAGACGAGACACTCAAAGAGTTTGGCCGAATAGACATCCTCATTAACAGTATGTGATGGCTTACTACATACAAAATTGTCATGGCATCCACACTCATTTGATGTATTGGTAGATGCTGCTGGAAACTTCCTTTGTCCTGCTACATCACTGTCCTTCAATGCCTTCAAAACTGTGCTGGAGATTGACACCATGGGCACATTCAACACCAGCAAAGTGGTTTACGAGAAGTGGTTCAAGGTACACTTTTCTGAAACTAGACAAATATTATTTGTAAAACAACAATTGATTGCATTTATGATGACTGGATCACCAGAAGTCAAAGTTGTAGAAGTTCAATTTTAGCAGTTGAAAGATATTTCTACCTGCACTCTTCTTGGCTGATGTATTGGGCTTGTATTTTGTACTGACTTTCTACAGGATCATGGAGGCAATATTGTCAATATTTCTGCTACTCTTGGCTACAGAGGACAGGCACTCCAGGTGCATGCTGGCTCTGCCAAGGCTGCAAATGGTCATGTTGTTTTTTTGTCCAAGATTTTTTAGTTGCATTCAACTGTTGGACTAAAGCACTAATTGTTTTTACCTGCATTTTAACAGATGCAATGACAAAACACCTGGCTGTGGAGTGGGGTCCAAATGGAGTCAGAGTGAATACTGTAGCTCCTGGTCCTATCTCTGGCACAGAGGGCTTCCGTAGACTTGGTAAATATGAATAATCATATTTTATTAAATGAGTAACTCTTTATTTTATAATGTATCTGTCCATCCAAGGTGGACCAAGAGGTGAATCTGCTGGTGCTTTCCAGTCTATTCCCCTTCAGCGTGCAGGCAACAAGACCGAGATGGCCCACTGCACACTATTCTTGGCCAGCCGAGCTTCTTCTTATGTGACTGGAGCCATTGTGGTGGCAGACGGTGGTGCATGGCTTTCTTCACCCAATGACTTTGCCATGCTTCTGGGTATGGCCTCACAATATGCTAAACTCTAAATGTGGATTGTCGTGTTCTCTGTCATGATATAAGAGATTTATAATAAAAAATAAATAAATAACAGTAGTGTGCAATACCTATAATGTTATAATGTAATTGTAATGTAATTTTAATAAAGAGTAATACAACAAAAGTAATCATCTTTTATTTCTTATTGTCTTTCAGGTTATTGGTCATCTGAAAACGAACAAAGACCAGTCAAATCTGAAAACAAATAGTTAACAGAAACCGTATATTCTCATTTGTAATGTACCTTATTTCCTGTCTTTGGATTTGCTTTTTTGCTGAAGACATCAATACACTACCAGAAATGTTTTAATTACAAGATTAAACAATTAAAATATAGCCGTAATTTTAGAGAGTAGTCTATTGTATTGCATGTACAAAATAAATTCTACATAATTTTTAAACTACTGTAATTCTGACACGTGTAATAAATGTTTTAATGACTGACCTCGTTATGTTTGTGGTTTTGTTTTTACCTATATGCAGACAGCACTCAAGTATTATAGTTTTCTGCCAGCAGAGGGTGCTAACAGTCTAACTATGTTGTAACTGGCCATAAGCGGTATTTAGCAGCAACAGTGATTTATTTACGGCTTTATCAGTAGGGTTACACTAGTATTACACTAAGGCTGTGAGCAAACTAGATAAGAAAGCTTGCATGATAATTGTGCAGGACCCCGTGGTGACTGAGCCTAAACAAGCTTATCTTTTGACCTGTTATAAAGTAAAATCTAGATAATTGCCCGTACATGACTAGTTTGTATCTTAAACCAGAATAACATATATGAATATCTATAGCTCTGTGTCCGTGGTACTGCGGGCTGATTTGTACGCGTGCGTGAGACGTCAGCGCTGTGTGGTGTGTCTGCGGCGGCCGGAGGAGGAGGAGGAGGAGGAGGAGGATGGGGCACTGCTGATGCTGATGCGAGAGCTTTCGGCGTCACAGATCAACATCGCCCAGGAGTCACGGGCATATGATGAAGCAGGTTGTCGTTATTTGATGTACTTTTAATTCTCATCAGTTTTTCACGGTGGACCTAGAAGCGGACGAAGCTGTCGAGCTTTTGATAAATGAAGATCGCGGATAAATAAACCAGGTCGCTTCTGTCTGGTCGGTGGTGGTCTGGCCTGTCTTCTGAGACACAGGTGGATTGAGAAACGACGTCAAAAATCATCGATAAAAGGGAGTCACGAAACAAATGCCGCTAAGCTTGAATCATCCATACAGTATTGCATCCAAACGCACATATGGAGCTTTGGTAATGTTGGGAGAAACGCTGTTTGGCGAGTTAGCCAGCTATTAAGCTAATTTGGCTAGCTAGTCAGTCAGCTAACCACTGGCCAATGGCACGAGAGAAGCGAGATGCCCGAAGGAGGAGTTATTTAAAATCGTTAGCTTAAAATCTTTTTAACGCGGAAAGTTAAACAGCGACATGTGTTAAGGCTCGCATTTTGTAACACCCGAGGGCGTATCATGCTTTGTTTTGAGGCTACAGTTTGCTTACCTTTACGCACATCTCCAAATTAGCTGCGGATGGATAAGAGTAAAGGATATGGACAATGTTGCGAAATTCGGCTATTTATCGCGCAACTGTGGCGTATTTTACTTGCTTTCGTTGGATACACGTTGCTGTCGTGTCCTATTTTTAATTTTTTTTTACCTATTCATGGTCCTTCTTCAAACGTAAGTGGAATATGTTGACTTTGGGTGAGTCGAATCCATTGGATACAGCCAGGATTGAACCTGCCACGAGAGGGGAGTGAGTCACGGTGACTGATAAAAATAAATAATATTCTTAGTCAAGTTCACACTCTTACATCTGTGACAGAGAAACTATTAAGTAAGAGTAAGTATAAATGACTATATTTTATTTAAGCAGTTAAGTTTAGAGTACAATATTTTGCTTTGCCAATGCCAGTGCAAAAATGTGTCTACTACTGAAACAATGGTTGTTGACTGCTGTGAGATAAAATTAAAGTGACAGCTTTATAAGGATTACCAGGGAACATTGACAGTCTAAATGGAACCAGCGCTCCTGTCTGGCCCTTTGGGGCATACACAGTGGGAGACAGAACAACCATTTCCTCTGGGATTTCACTCTCTGGACTCAGACAATGGGAGTGTGCTCTGTCAAAACAAGAGTGGCCAGACAGGTTTGGACATCAGTGACCAGGATCATACATTCAAATCATTAGGTGATGAAGTCCTTCTTCAAAACAATGTGCCCCATTTGGACTCTCTAATAAATATCACTGAATTGTCTGGTGGAAATTTTAAATTTGAGAGAGACAGCCAAAGTAATTCCCAGGCTTTGCCCCAAAGAACAGAGGAACTCTCTTGCTCAGAAAACGGAGAGCCATCAGAGGAGGTCAGTGACTCCACCTTGTCGTGGCTGTTTTCCCCAGGCCTCTTTGAAGTGTCTGGGAAAGGCACTAGCTTTGACCAATCAAGTCAGCCTCAGGAGCCCACTGATGAAAACTCACATGCTCCTAGTTATGGAGCTAATACACAGACTGTGAGTGTGCTATCCTGTCTAGCAGAAAACACTGACATTTCTAAAACCTTAGATTCAGTTTTGTTGGTAGATTTCTTTTCAGATGAACACTTGTCTTCACGTGATGAGAGTGTTACAAAGGAGGCCACAGGACTCTCTCTCCCCCAGGACGCTCTGTCACCTGACATTGGAGACAAAGGTCTATACCCAGATCAAGTGACTGATCTGCCACTAACCAGTACCTTCACAACTCAGAGTTTACCTGAGAACTGCCTTCTGCTCGACCACACAAGCACGCTGGAGGACTGCTTTCAACGATCTGTGCCTTTGTTGGATATCGAGGTTCCCCTTTGTGACAACAGCTTGTGCCCTGCCAGTCCTGTTTCTCCTTCACTTTTATCGATAGAGCAAATAGGATCCACTGTAACTGCAAACCAAGGTTACGTGTCAGAACTGGAGCAGCTAGTGGAAATTTCATCTGATGATGCCGACAATGTTAAGGATGACACGAGACAGGACGACGCATACCAAAAGGAAGAAATAAAGGACGCAAATGTACCATGTGAAATAAAAAATCAGGATTCAACAATGGCTTTAGATCTTTGTCCATCTACTGATGAGGTCCACAATGAGGAGCACCCTGACACTTTACAAACTGACCCTTTGACCACTGAATCAGCGCCAGAGCCAAATGAAGATTCAAACCACCTAGAAATGTCAGACATATTGGATTTTTCAGCTCAGGACTCATCAGTGGAGGCGGAATGGACTAACAAGCAGACTGTGGAGGCACTGTGTCTCTCCAAGATGGTGGGAGATGACTCAGTGCCTGTAGTTCCAACTGTCATCACAAGTGAAGAAGACTTCTCCCCACTGAAAGCCGTGTTCGATGCTCTGGACCAGGACGGAGATGGATTCGTTCGCATTGAGGAGTTTATGGAGTTCGCAGTGGCATATGGGGCAGATCAGGTGAGATGCCGTTTTCTTCTTTAATTTAGAGTTGGCAGGGTTTTATAGAAAGGGCCTTTATGCAGAACTAAGTGATTTATTATTGATTTTCTGCAGGCCTTCAGTGTGCTTCCCGCTAAAAGCTTTTGTAATGGCATTAGTGGAAACCCTAGCCAGTATTGTAGTAGGTAAAATGACTCACTCAGGTGAAGTCATTTTAGTTTAGAATAGTGTTTTTTGTGTTTACTTTCCTGTCCAAGTTTACAGTTACCTATGTCAAGCTTTCTACACAGAAGGCAAGTTGTACATTTGGTAATAAGTAGCAGGCTAGACTGATAGAAGTTTCTATTCAGGACAATATAATAATTTTTTAAAATTTTAATGTTCTAGTTGAGATTCACTAGCATCAGTAACATTAAGTAAACAACAGAAACTAGCCAATTTCATATCATTGTTAATAAGATATGCCTATCTAATGAATGAATTTCATATGTTTTTGCACATCATTTCCATATAATATTTGGAACATCTGAGTGGAATATCTACTTGTTCCTCTTTTAACACCCATCTGTTTGCTGTTTTTTTCTAACACAATTAATGTCATTGTGGATTAGACTTCCGTCCACATTTGGTGAAGTGTTTTGGTTAAGCCTGGATTTAAGTTTCTGAGCGTATTGGCTTCAATGGTTCAATGAGGCCTGGCAGCGTTCCCATGTGTCACATCATGACAAACCTCCATATTCTCATTTGCATCTCCAGCTTGGTTTACAGATAATCTCTTTGGGAAATTATGCATTATGCTCAAACTACCACCCACTTAAAACTTCATTTCAATGGTTTTATACTAATAACTTGTTCCTTGTGTTGAGCAGTGAGGTGCCTCTACAGAAACTTTGACTTAAATAAACCACCAGTGAATAATTTTACTGGATGTTGTAATGTGTACAGTTGTCATGTGCTCTCAGTTTGGTGTCAAATTTCTTTCCTGTTAGACACGTTGGTGGACCAGTCTCTTCAAATGTTTACAAGAAAAACCAAGCTCCTACAAATTATCTCACCATTTGCAAATAATGACGTAATGGTGAGACAAGTGATAACCTCAGACTTTGTCATGTTATACTTTTTAATTTAAAAGATGACTGCTCTTTCAGTGTTGTATAATTAATATAGAGGCTGTACTTGTCTTAATCCTGAACACCATTAAAACTTTCTTCATTTACTATCTGAAAAACGCCACATCCTTTTGTGAGGGTAGTGAATTGTATTTTTTATCACAGAGATCCTCACAGTTTTTGTTGTCTCTTGAATGAATACTTTGAACTGTCCTTTTGAATAGCAGAGTGAGTTTTTGGTGCTGTGGTCCACTAATGCAGTTTAATCCTTGTTCAAACCCCTGCATTGGTCGCAGGCTGCCCTGTGTTTAGCTGTAGGCATCTGTGGATCCCCAGGCAGAGAATTGTAAAGGATTAAGAGTAAAATGTGTTTGCCTGAGTCAGATGAACTTCATAGTTTGGGTGCAGACTATAGACTCTGACTTTTTGGGCGGGGACTGTAGTGTGACTATTATGTCAACTCTTGTGGCACATCACATTTACATCACACAAGTTCACAAATGGGTACTGTTTTGAGTTTCAGTTAACTACTTCTTGAGTTTTGTCTTCTTTAAAGTTTTTGTTGAGATCTTAAATGATTGTTCAGATTGATCACCTCTATTATTAGTTGGATACTGTTACCAAGGCATAGAGGAGCCCATCAGGTAATTTTCCTACAGGAAACTCCTCTCCAATTTCTTTCCTTACGGGATCTAGCAGCCAGAAAAATCCCTGCTATCCCTGTCAGCTTCTGTTTACAGGACATTATTGAACCAGCTAAGATTTGGCCTTAATCATGTCTAGAAAATCCAACATGCAGAAGACTGCTTTATCTCCTGGAATTTGAGGAATCCATTTAATCTACGCAATTATTCACAAATATGTCATCACAGACTCACAATGCTTTGTGGTAAGGCTGTAAAAGTGTTCCAGTAAATCAGCATTGCATAAGGGGAAAATAAAAACATCACGATTCTGTTTGTTTTTATTTTGTTTTTGTTACACCAAGAAAACCTTAACATCAGTTTTCTATAATTACGTTTCACCATATTGATTTTTGCACAGCGCATTCACAATATGAACAATGAAATCTGCAGGGCATAGCAATTATTACCATTGAGCTCAGACAAACATGACAGCTAGTTTCCCAGTCACACATAATCCTAATAGATATAGCTTTCATAAGAAACCTGTTTCCAAGAATTAAGCCATATTTTATCAGTATCTATCTATTCAATATAATGTCAGACTATAGTTTAGATTTTTTTTATTTTATTTTATTTTATTTTATTCAGATTTATGGAAATTATTAACACTAGTCGTACATATACTTCATGCTTCACCACAAATACCTCTGCAGTTTGTGACACAAAGCAGGATGGAATCCGCTAGGTATTTGCATGCTGGTGGCTTGTGCAAACTATACAAATGTCTCCTGCTGAATAATTCCATACAAAGATAAGTGGGCTTTTGGAAACTTGTACTGCACAGTGTGGTTTGAAAATGATCATGTAGCCCCCCCAACATTGCAGATAAACCACTAAAACTTTACAGATTTCTTTTTATTGAGTAATTTTGTCATCAAGGAAACACATGGCCAAAAGCTTTTTCCACTTCATACCTACCAAATTAAAAATAGAATTGAACTGAACAGTTTTTTATGGTTAAATGAATATGGCATTTTTTGTATGAACATTTGAGCCTTAAACTTCAGATCAAATCTGTATTTCTGCCACAAGCTGACACATGTTAATCATATCCAGTCATGTTATAGTCAAGGAGAATCATTTAGAAAAGAGAAACTTTATAAATTTTTTCTTCCTATTTATTTATAAAAACGTTATTTTGAAACTCGTTTCATTCATTGTGTAGTAAGTCAACACCCCTGGAGTTTCTGATTGTGACCCTCTTAGGACACAGAAACTGCTCTCAGCTGTATTGTGGTCACCTCCTTATCACTGCACTCTTTAACCAGCCTCCCTTCACCCGCTGCTTTTATGCACTGCCCTGCTAATCCACAAAGGAATGCCCTGAACTCCAAAACCGTCGTACTTTTGCATTAATTTTGCTCCTCTTTGCTTTCCTCTAGAAATGTATATTCAAAGATGCAAAAAAGATCAACCTGCCTTTTAACATGTCTTAAAGCCTATAATCAGTGATTATTAGTGTTTTGCTTATACACCAAGTACACTTTGCCTTAGGATAGAGTCTAAATAAAGGATTCTTCTCCTCTCCACGGGGTCATGCACACATGGCTTGTGTGGATGCAGTGAGGCATGCCCTGGCTCTGATTAGACCCAAACAAGAGGTACTGACAAACCACAGGCTTCACTTCTCTGTAAGAAGAGGGACTGGAATGACAGTTGGCTTGAGTTGACTTTTTGTATGTTTTGTAGTCAGCCTTTGGTAAATGTGTCTACCACTTCCCCCCTTATTGCAAGTATTTAAATTTAAATCTGTAATATTTACATGTTAGTTATAGCTTGTTAACTGTTTTATTCTAAATATTTTTCATGTTAAATGTTTAAATTAGAAATAATTTTGAAACATGTATTTTGGAAAACTGCAACCCTGACAGGATTTCTGCAATAGCACTGTAACTCTTACAAGAGTTTTAAATGTCACACAGACCACAACTTAGCTTGCAACACCTTTCGTCTCACCTCACCCAGGAGAGGGGTTTCTGAACAGGCGTCTCAGAAAGAGAATCTTATTTCCTGCCAACTGCCATGTTTCTCTCTCAAATGGAAAGCGATTGTGATGGCAGGCACGTCTTGTCATACATTTTCCCAGTTGGTTGGAAACACAGTAACGAAAGAGAAGCTAAAATGAACATTACTGCGTTGAACCACAGTGATACTGATGTCCCTCCCCTGCAGCTTCTTTTTAATTCAAAACATCATAAGCCTAGTGCATTGTGGGAAAATGCTTTATCACTGCATCCCTGAGCAGGTCAGCAGGGTTTTTTATAGATGCACTTTTTGCATTCTAAGTCACTGTAAAAGACCTCATTGGCTTTGAGTGCTCAGTTTCCTTGAAGAATATGTAAATAGTAACCACAAAAACCTCTCTCGGTGATCCCCCAGCTAATTTAGTCAGCGTTACATGTCTGAAATTATACTGTAATCATAGGTTTTGTGTCATATTGGTGATGGACAACCTTTGACTTACTCTGCAGTCTGTTATTTGTGCAAATTGATTTTGATTGCATGGCGCCTTTCTGAATTCTGCAAAGACCACTTTCCATAAAGCAAGATACTGCAACAAGGAAATGCAAGATTACAAACAGCAGTCTACTAGCTCAAAAATCTAACTGTTTGATGTGGACCCAATTCACCTTCAGGATCCAGACATGTTAAGGATATTGTGCCTAAATGAAACAATCGTTTACTTTGCACCATTTCCATATAGGACCAGAGCCCTTGCTGAGGTCAAGTTCTGTGTAAACTTTGTGTAAGATATTTGACATTAACCAGTAAATTATGCAAGCCATATTGTCATCACTATTTTCTAAGGTATAACAAACAATTTGCCATTGTATTGATAGCAGTGTTTTATTTGGTGCATGTAGTTAGTGGAGCGGACATCTTCTTGTTGCCAGGATACGGATGGAGGAATATACAGCATGTAGATGCACTTACGTAACCCATTTTACACTTGGGTACTCAGAGTAGCAGTGTCTCCGCCTAGCTCTCTTCTCATTAAACAATCATACATTATATTACATTTTATTTGTCCTGCTAGCCCATAATATCACCAAAAGCTGTCATCGCCTCCTTTGTTTTGCCTGTCACTGTGGTGCAAGCTGCTTCTTGAGAATCCTTGTAAACTCGGCATTGCACAGAATCCAATAAATCCAGAAATCCCTTGACACATAAGGTCAGCAACACAGTGAAAGTCAGGAGTTGTTTTTATTGGTGACGTTTTGCTCTCAGAGGCACATTGATAAGCTGCACGCTATTCAGCAATTAAACTGTCTTTGCGAGATGAATGACCATGAAAATCTTTTTTTTTTTTTTTTTTTTTTTGGCATCTGTCAGTAAAATGTTGATTTGTTTCTTTTCATTGTGGTTCACTGTTTTACTCAAGTCAAACATTACAGGCTGGTATTTTCCGTTATGCAGAGGAAAAAAATGTTTTCCTTGTAGAATTCATTACATCATCTAGGAGCGTCCACTACAAGTCTAACTGCTGCTGTAGTTAGTTACTATGACAAATAAATAAAATGTATTTCTGATTTGTTTTGTTTGTTCCTTTAGGTGAAAGATTTGACCAAATTTCTTGATCCTAGTGGTCTGGGAGTGATAAGTTTTGAGGACTTCCATCGTGGGATATCAGCAATTAGCAATGGAGGTATGTTTTTATCAGAGCCTGAAGGTTAACTGCAATCAAATCAAAATCTCAATTTCTCTGTTTGTGCTGCAAACAACGTAGTATCATGTATTTCTTGTATTAAAAAAAAAAAATGCTAATTCAGGAGTTTAATCCTCTACAAACAAGACAATTGTTAATTCTCTGGGACTAGTTTGAAATGTGCACTTTGATGAGACCTGATTTCAGAATTAGAATTTCTTGGATCATTAATTACTATCAGAAATGTATGTTACATTTCAATTTATTTCCAAGACCTTGGAGTATTTTTGACCGTTCTCCCAAAATTAAGCTTAATAGCTGTCCAAGAGCCACATTTAACCATTTAAAGTCCACCAAAATTACAGACACAGATACTCCAAGTCTGATGTCACCCATTAGTGTCTTCTTTATGGGCCAGTTTGCCACACCCCTAATTCTAGAGTAGACACTGCTTGAGCTGCATATTCTGGCATTAACTCCCCAACATCTGGCTCTCAGCGCCTTCCTCTTGCCACATTGTAGCCGAACAGATAAAGGATTTTAACATAGCAAAATGACCCAAATTCTCATCAGTATTTACTTACTGCCATATTAGTCTATTTTTGCTTATCATAAAAAGATAAACCTATACCTCAGTCTTAAAAAGTCTTTAAAAATCAAGTCTTCAAACAGTCTTAAAAAAACAAGTTCATTTAATCTAGTTTGCAGTGGTAGAAACGTGTTTCTCATTTACCTAAGGCACTCAGAGCATCCTATTTAGTACTATTATTATTAACTGTATAAGCACTTTTCACAAATTCAGAGGCCAGTGCAGAGTTTTTCCAGTAAAGTACGGCTAATGACAACTTGCATGTTAACAGCGCACCAACCTTACTTCTCGGTTTTGCATGTGTTTATTTTTTTCATCAGAAGAGATTGGGTACAGTCCCTTATAACAAAAAATAGAAGCACTTTAAAAAACACAACCCTATAAACCATTTATAAAGCAACAAAAAGTAAGTTTCAAGATTCTCTGTAAAAATTTAAAAAAAAATTTTTATTTCTGCACTCAAGCTGCACCTACATCCAACTGCTACTACGGCTAATGGAAAACCCTCTCTGGGACATTTATGGTCTCTAATTCTGTAGAGACGAGGTTTCTATTGATTTTGGAGACAACAAAACAAAAAGTTCAGTATCATAAGTTTTACCTGCGTTGACACACACACGGTTAGAGCTGGGGCTGACGTCACAACGAAGCCACACTGTTTGCCTATAGCCTCTCTGCTATTGATTCTGTGTACTGTTTCCCAAAGCTTTCTGGGTTGCACATCTCCAGTTACACCACCTTTGAATAATTCATGTATTGGAAAGCCTGAGCTGCCTGGGCACATGGGCGAAACTGGCATGGTTTCACGTGGGAGAGGGCAGGTTCCTGTTCACCTAAATAATTTAGACTTTTCCTGACATGTACTCTGTTTCTTTTTTTGGCTACATAACACAAATACAGCAGGTTTGTGTAAAGATCTGACTTCTCATTACTTAACAAGCAAATGCAATGTCCAATTACAACACCAAACCTCTTTTACCAGGTCTTAAAAAATAATCTGTCAGAATACATTTAATTACATTTGCTGCTGACCACCATAGATAGCTTCCATATCTGTATTTCAAAAGCCTTGCCTTCTGCATGTCTGAGACCAGAATACATTTGAGTCCACTGATAAATCATGAATCTTTCAGTAGCTCACAGGTAGTTTGAGTGTCTGCCTCTAAACGTGCACTGTGGGCTAAAAGAGCAGTTATGTAAGAGCAGAGGGCACATAAAACATCAGGGCAACCCAAAGCCTTTCAAAGTCCTCCTGTTTGTGTTCACTTCTCTCAGCTGGGCGCTATTCGCAGCACTGTTTACTTGATACAGGAGCCGCAAAGGGTTGTGGGACATCATCTCTCACATTACAAAGGTTTGGTTTCAGGCTTTGTTTTTGTGTTCAGCAGATAGAGGTTGCTTTATTTGGTTTTTATTGTTTTATTTTGTCACAATGGCCTTCAGTTGACACGTAAATCACAAGTATTATAGTTACACAATAATATGCCCTCATAAAGCTAAAGATTGCTGAGTGTAAATATGCCAAAGTAGGGCTGCTAGGACATTTAAAAGTGCTGAGTGCATAAACCAAACACAACACGGTCAGCTTTATCAATTCATCAAACATGAGTAATGCTATCACAAAGTCACCTTTTTATTTTAAGTAAATTGGATTGATGGATGGCACATCATTGGTACCTACCCAAATTACGTAAAAACAAATGTCAGTAGATAATTGACCAAAACCTTGCTGACTAGCTCCAAAAATCTGCAGCTGTAAAGTTAAGAACATGAAACACTACTCCATAAATTCACAAAGGCATAGTGTTATAGATAATAATGTGTTCCTTCCTCATTACCTATTTTGTACTTTAACTGTTTTTGTAATCGCTTCATAACACAATGATTAGGGAAAAATGCAATTATAATAGTTTGTGGTTAGCCGTTTTGAAAATGTTGTCCAAATCTATTTTTCTTAATTAAGCCAACACAAACCAAACTGTCAGTACAAGGGCATGGACACTCTAGCCTTTCTATGTCTGTTATCGTTTATTCTGCTCAAATTAAACTTGTTCTCCTCCTCCTTCACACAGGCCCTGAGCCGCAGTTGTATGGAGTCAACTACAGCCCGGGCGATGGAGCTGTGGGCTGTCCCGAGGAGTACGATGAGGTGAGCCTTGTCCTGCGCTCACATTGTTGTAGCAGGTCACACACACTGACCTTCGTGTGCACTCCATCTCCCCTCTGTAATTCACTGAGCTATCATTACCTCGATGTGAACGCACAGCTTGAACAGCCTGGGTTTGGCAGCTGGCAGTCCGCACTTCAGGGTATTCTTTGGCAAATATTGAATTAGATGGAATGTGCCAGAAGATTTTGACATGTGTGCAGACTTGTGTTTTTGTTCTTGCGGTCAGCATTTCTGGGATTCCTGTCTCCTCTTGAGCACAAATCTTGTATTTTTAACCTCATTGTTGCATGCTACTTGAAATGTAAAATTCCTCTGCCAATTTCTGCCCATGCAGCAAAGATTGTCTTGGCACACTGTCACTGCCCTCATTTGGTGAGGTTAAGAAGTGCAGTGCTGGTTTAATTATTGTACAGTCCTCTCCTACTACAGTGTGGAACGTATGTTGTAAAAGCTACCTTAAAGTTTTACGTTGTGTGCTGTATATGCATACAGAGTGACAGTTTTTAATTCCTTGGACATGAGATGCTACACTTGCAAATGCAAAATACAAACGCTAATTCAGTTTCACAGTTGTTTTTGGCATTGAGTTCACAGTAAATGCCCATCTTCCAAGTGTTTCATTACTGACTAGAATAAATGCTTTTAGAATTAGATGACTGATGCAAAGTAACAGTTAGTTCACATTCAAATAATGAAAGAAAGACACTTTTGCAAGTTGCATATATTATAGATGTAGCATATTATTGACATTCAGTCTATATAACTGTATGTGTAAAACCACAAAACAGAACAAAATTGAAACAACATTGTACTTTTTGCCAAAAACATGCCCAAATGAACAGTGATCTTCAAAATATTTGTGTTCTTGTGGCTGCTATTTACTGGAAGTATGGAGCAGACTTTCTGGGGGAGGTTTGTGTATGTTTGAAGTCGATGCCACACCTGTGTCCCTGGTCTTGTTTTTTCCCGCTCAACGTTTTGGCAGAAAAGAGTTCCTCGCGTTCAATGGCTGAGCTGTTCTCACCCTGTTTGCTCTCAAAACAGCCAAGGTGAGCCTGGCAGAAGTGAGGCGTAGTGCCCACCCGATCCACCCCACATTTTCCTTTTTAACGTAACCCTCTGCATATTTTAGTTTCACAGTTGTTCAAGGATTTTCAATCACCCTACGTGGTTACTGATAGTGATTATACAATTTTTTTTGCCGTTGTTTGTGTCATTTACAGAGCTATGGAGATATGTATTACATGGCTTAATAATTGACACTGAGTCAGGAAGTGAACTCCCAGGAGCTATTGAAGATTAAACACCATTCCAGCTGATTGAGTGGAGTTTCAGCTGGTATTAGGTCGACTTTGGACTGTTCCCGCCCCTCAAACCACGCAGCGGAACAACGTGTTACACTGTTTTTCTTTTCTTAATTTGGCCTCACTGTAAGTCAAGGTGACAGAGTAGTAGATGCACAGACTTTTGGAGGGTGAGGGTCCGTGCGGGTGATACTGGAAAGGGACAATGGTTGTGGAAATGGTGGCGCCTTGTCATTCAACTTTGGACGTTTCTTATCAACTGGTATTTCTCATTCTTTATCTATGACATTTTGTTTTGTGGCTGTACGTGTGCAATGGAGCTACATTTTGTTAAAGTGTGGCAGTTGGTTTGATTTTGTTTCTTGGTGGTGTTGGTGTAGCAGGTTGTGTGAGTCTTTAAAAAACAGCTGACTTGTGAAGTGTTCCCTGAGACTGCACATTAAAGGGCTGTCATTTTAGAATAATAATGTTTGAATTATAGTTTACACATCACTTCTTTAATCCTGAATACACTTTTCATCTGATTTGTAAGTATTAAACTTTGAAATAACTAAACCTATTACAATAATTGTAGTACAATAATTGGAGGTATAGATTTAAGTAAGTGTTCATAAATGTGGGCCCCTCAAGTAGACTGTTTAGGAGACACAAGCCTCTGTAATTTTTTTTTCATACAAAACCATAACTTAAATGAATAGTACAATAAACGTACTGCTAGATTTGAACTTAAGGCTATAGACAATATTTTGCACAGGTGTAAAGTAAACATTGTCAAGAGAGCTATCAAGCTTTTATCATGATGGTTCATTAAATAGTATCCCTTTTGATGATTCCCTCTAAACTATATTGAACGTGGCTCTTTTCTTTTGTCCTTTGCAGCAAAATGAGGTGACAGACAGCGCCTACCTGGGCTCAGAGAGCACCTACAGTGAGTGTGAGACGTTCACAGATGAAGACACTGGGGCGTGTGTGGCTCCAGAGATGCACGAGGACGTGGAGACAGACAGTGGCATCGAAGCCACACTGCACGACCCGGAGGACAGGAGTAACCGGTATGTACCCCTCTCTACACTGGACCCTCTCACTCCCACACTGGAAATCATTTGTGTCATGTAAGTTTACTGCAAATGAATGGCAGACCTTTCAACTCTGGGTCAGTCCTGATTCTTGAATGCAAGCGTCCAATAGTGGATCAGTGACTTTAATACAATTTGGGTCATTCCGTGGGCAGATTAAAAATACACTACTACTGACCTCCTATCTAAATGCTATAATATTTCTCTGACATCTTCCTACCCACAGTGGTAAAGACAGTTTGCTATCACTGAAGAGCAAAACTATTTCCTAAGGCGTCAACATTATAAAGATGAGACCTTGAAAATAACACTAATGATAGTGTATTTGATTTCAGCGCCAGGTGATTCAGTTGTTCCACTCTTATCTCTGCTGCTATTATAGTATTACATTAGGAAGTTGATGTTTGGGTTTTTAATTTGAGATAACCATGAACATGGAAAAAAAGTTATAGTGTATTTTTTTCAACAGGAAATTACTTGTGAATTGCTGTGTTAGTTATTTTAATGGTGTATCATATAACATTTCTGGTGGAGGGTCCACCACCATATTGTTTTCATGAAGATGTTTTTGCTTGGTTATTATGGCATTAAACCCATTGATCTTCATGGAGACAAGTAAGACAACTACCAGGGCAAGTTATAGGTCAGATTTGTGGAGAGGGGTGATCTAGTAAGCATGTAATGCATGTCTTTCAAGGTTTTTTGAGCAATAGCATCACTTGTAAATTACTATTCCATGGAGAAAAGGAGGCCCCCTAAGTGTCTAAAAAGAGCTGTAGTTTGATTTATTGTTATCTTTTCTTAATTGATTAAAACATATATTAAATAACTAAATATTTGTAGAATAAATATTGGCACGGATATTCCCTATGATTAAATTAACTAATGCTCCTATTTATCATATGTTTGTAACACAAATCTTCAGCCAGTGTTTTCAGAAGCTGTGTACCTAAAAGTTGACATAGTATTTAGGGCAGGCAGGAGGAAGTGCAGAGCTGTGCCCCTATCTGCTGACTGTGACACATGTATCTGGTTGTTTGCTGATGGATGGGGCTGCTCCTCTCTGCTCACCCTTTGGGACACCTCCATCCTATGAATGAGACTTAAATTCCAGGAAGTGTTGAGTTTGCACTTTTTCTGTTGTTTTTCCTGTCTTTTTTTTTTTTTTTTTTCACACGTCACATAATCTCTCCGCATGCTCTTTTACTCATACCTCACCATGTTAGGGCCAGGGAATGTTTGCTAAACTCTTGCTGATCATTTGAGATTGAAAAACATTAAGGTTCTTTGTTTAAGATTTAACAGATTAGGTCAAGTAATCTGTAATTTCCGAGATTATTATGTATTTATAACTATTTAGGCCTTAAAAGTTTTTCAAGGTTAAATGGTAAGTAAATGGCCAAGGACACAAAAACAGTATCTACTATGGTTGATTGATTGATTGCATTTATATAGCGCCTTTCAAGATACCAAAAGCGCTTTACAGTTCATTATTCAGTCACTATACACTCAGTGGTGGTAAGATTCTATTGTAGCCACAGCTGCCCTGGGGCACACTGACGGAAGCAATTGAACTACCTATTTTGCCGTTGCTGCTCCAGTTGAATTTGTATGCATTTTTTGCTTGTGTATGAGGCCTTGCTGCTACTTTTCCTACTTTTCTTTTACAGAATAATCTTGATAATTATTAGAACCAGTAAAAGATCAGATGATAACATTATGGAAACAACTGTATCCATTTTGTATTGATTTTGATAATGGCATTGTATTACGAGGGTATTTTTCAAATTATGACTACTACTACCAAAGCCACTGCGCGTGTTGGCCTTTAGTCACTTAGTCATTTAATCAGTCAATAGTGTTTTAGTCATCCAAAATTTGTATTACTTTACCAATTATTTTATTTAGAGTCTAGATGGGAGAAAATCAGAAAGGAGAATGGATGGAATGATTTAGCTGAAGATTTGGGAGTGAATCTGCCATTTACATACAAATACAGTATTTTCAAGTATTTGTGTTTATAAATAGTGCAGTTGTAGTCTTATGTGTACAGTTTGAGTCAGATACATAGTGAAACTTAACATTGTTTTGAAAGCTTTTGTCACATTTTAATTGATTAATTGATCGACAGACTATGCCTTTAGGTGACTAAGATTCTCTTTAATCAACTATATCCCTAATAGCCACGATATTAGTATATAAGGTCACATATGGTGGCACTGTTGTCTAAGATGAGTGTGAGTCTGTAGTCACAGCCAGGCATAGGCACTGTTCTAGGATTAGGCTGTAACAGGATTACCCCCCCTCTCCTCTCTGTGCCTTTCTGTCCTACCTTGTCCCCTGCCCTCTTGGTCTCTGTGCGGTTAGTGGGACAGGACCATTTCTTAGTCTCAAATCTGATTAACCCACTCATAGACATCTCTCTGTAGTAACAGTCAGTCATGCGTGCAGGTAGCTAATTAGCAACATAGGTTTTCTTCTATTTTCTCCCTCGTGGAGATTATTTTACAAATTGGCCTGAGTCTAGAAACTTCAGGATTCCTCTTTGGTTGTGTGGAGTTTTGCCGCCAGCTGCTCCGAGGCTCCATCGCCAGGGCAGCACTAGGCGAGTCAGGATGAGGTCTCCTTCCTCACCCTCCATCTGTGTGAGGCAGCTCCCAGTGAAAAGGTCCGGTAAAAAGAAGCTAAACAGGGGGTAAGTGGTTGCCTATAGTTGGTCATTCTTCCATTTGCTCAGACTTAGGTTTGTTGCCTGGTTGATTTTTAGCTAGACATGGTTAAAATATTTGGTCATTGCTTATGGTGAATGTTTAAATGTTGTGTCAGTGTATGCAGAGAGTGCAGTGGAGTTTGTGCTGATTTGTAAGTTCTTATTCTGTGGGCTAGAGGAAAAGGACAATATACACACATTATAAAAGCGGAAACCATTTCTGTTTTCCTAAATAAAGTCTAAGATATTGTTATTGCATTTTCAACCAACCATATTCCTACAAACAATGTCTCAGTTCAGTTAAATAACATAATGGATAGTAAAACAAGTGCTTGTTAATGCTTGACCTACATAAGAAAACAAACAAGGCCTCTTTTTGCATGTTCATCCCAGTAGTAGAAATGTACTAGTCATTTTGATTTAGCTGAAGCAGGTTTTGGATTAATGTGAATTAAAGGATTAGCTCTTGTGTGATAGTCCAACTTGTCCAGACAGTGGATCTTGACTGTCCAAGAAACGTTATTTGTCCTAATTTAGAATTAAGACATCTCTTCTTTTTCTTTTATTTTCAAGCATCTTTCTAGTCATTCATTTTCTAGTTGTTAATTTCTGGAGTTCATAATTTGAATGGCGGTTTATATAGACTATTCAGGTGGGTTGCAAGCTATAGTTGGCAAGAGTACTGTGCTGCTGATGCCAAGCCCATTATAAGAGCAGTGCATCTGAAAAGGCATCTGGCATAAAACTGTCAAACCACAATCTGAATCATACAAATAAGTGCCTATGATTTGCTGGAGTAGCCCCCAAGAGAATGACAAACACAAATTTCTGTACTAGCTTGGAGGAAAAGGTCCATTTTGTTTCACTCTGCTGCAACACACTGTAGCTAAACCCTTCCCTCTTGTGTGTCTTTAGTTTTTCCCTCAACTCCGAACTACACAACCACTCGCCCGCTCTGGTGATCGGAGGAGAGGAGGAGCACTTTGAGGATTTTGGAGAAAGCAATACGTCAGAACTGCTGCTAGAGACCAGTGTGGCCGAGACCGAGACAGACGGTGGCCCTCCCCTCACAAAAACACCAGAGAAGCTCAATGGCTCCTCCCTGCTCTCTCCCAGGTACCTAGTTTAACTGATACTTTAAATTATCTTTCTGACACACTGTAGGACACTGTGTGCTTTTCCTCAGACCAAATGTCAACAAGGACGTGTTTTGTTTCAACAATGCACAGTGATAAGACAAAGCACAGATGGCACTAACGGCTCTGTCTTTGTCTATGGGAAAAGTCAAGATAACAGCATAGACTACTCAGGGCTAACAGTCCATTCGATCAATGATGTTAGAATTTGAAATTAGTGGGTTTCTTTTTTTTCCCCATGATCAATGTTTATCTATTCAGTACAGGAGACTACTTTATGACCTAGGGTCTAATAATCTGTATAATAACAATCTGAGGAATAAATTATGGTTACTTTTCTTTTACCATGTACACATCCTAAATATATAGGAGTTGTTTAAAAAACTGTTAAACAATTAAAGGGACTATCCAATTTTTCATATAATGAAGTAAAATACAAGTTCCATTACAGAATGACAGCAAAACTCCGCTCTGGCCCTGTGGAATGCTTATAAACTGAGCGTGGTGAATAATTAGCATGCTAGGAATGCGTTAGAAAAGTGAGAAATTACTTTGGACCACTGCAAAATGAACTGGTTAAGATACAGCTTTTTTCATTTTACATAGTAGTATTTTTGCTATTTTTCTGTTGTTCAATCAAAGTATTTAACCACCTCTTAAACGTCCTATATTGCACAAAATTGACTCTTGTGAGCTTTTAGCCAGGTTATAATGCTGTTACCTCAAACACATACCTGTAGTTGTGTTTTGTTTCATTCACACATGTAACGTGGCATCATTAGTCTGTCTACATCTCCTAGGCTCAAAATGGTCTGTTTCATCTTGTGATGTTATAAAGCAGTAGTTTTCAGTTACTTAACAGATACCGTTTGCCTTTTATTCAGTTAAGATTGGCAATTCCAGGGCTGAAATTATCTAATGAAGGTGTATGGAGTTGAAAATCACAGTAGACCACTTCCTGTATTGCCATATGACGTCACAAGGTGGAACTGAGTGGTTTTTTTTTGTTTGAGAGAAGAACTAAGCCTGAATATGCAGAGTTTGTGTGTTAAACTTATGTGAATGAAACAAAACACAACTCCAGGTATGCTTATGATGAGGAAACATTGTTATATAACAGATCAGAAAATGTTGTAATATGGGCCCCTTAACATCTCTGCAGTGGGAAACATCTATATTATGGCACATTATATTTGGTTAAAGCATCTTTGTTCTAATTAGTGACTCATGGGAGATGGTTACATCATTTGTCTTTCCAGGAAGCTTTTGACAGCCTTTCATTGTCTCATAAAACTCTTAAATAGTTCTTGGTGTTATCTCACATGAAGCCATAATAGATCCAGATTGGGAATGAGAGATGACATCACACACATGTTTAACCTTATTCAGTTGTCAGGGTGTTCCAAGTCAAAAAGCCCAAAACAAAACTGCATCCTCCTCCTAACTTCTCCCACTCAGTGTGAATGCGTCACCGTGTTATGAGCCATCGGTGCTGATCACTGGCACATGTCGAGCCTACACCCACCCACACACTCTGAGCTACATATCGCCACACTTTTCTCACACTTTTCCATCGCTGTAGCAACAAGTAATCCTTTCTACAGGCTGTATTTTAATAGACACGGCTGCATATGACCATCAACAAGTGACTTTTAAATCTCAAGGTCCACACCGGGACGGAGGTTTTCTGCTAACATAAACAGGAATGGTGCCAATGTGTTACATAACTCAGAGCTGTGTTGCTGTCTGAAAATGCGATCAGCTGTTGTAGGTGATATCAGGAGAGTAGTGTATATAATGGAAAATCCCACAGTGTTTTTGTAACTTTCTAAATTATTTAAACTTTCAAATCTAAATATATAATCTTTCTTGTTAGAATGTGGTTTTAACCTAGCAGGGAAGATACCTTATCAGTCAAAATAAAGTATCACATTCCAGAGAACACTTGTACTCAAGACATTGTGAACTGATGTGGATTTTACCTTTTAATTTCTTCACTTACCAAAATGTATAACTTTGTTTGGACTTATGACTAGGATAGAGATTTAATATAGTTACCAGCTGGAAGCTACATTTACACTCCTGAATCCATATGCTGTAACAGGACTGACCACAGGACACCTTTTAATTAACACTGACCTGCAATAACAGCAAGACTAAAAATGACTTGGCCAAGAACTTAAAGGTGCACTTTGTAACATTTCTGATGTTGTTTCCGCCACATGTTTGTCTCCATGAAGATTCTTTATTAGTATGTATTTCATTACAGGTGTTTACTGTTTGAAGAACATGCATACTTTCTTACTCTCCATAGATCTGACCTGTAACTTGACCCAATGTTGTGGCAGACCCTCCCTCAAAAAAGATACATAGTGTACTTTAATGACTGTGAACTTTCTAATTCTAATTCCAATACAACACATTCTACTGTGTGTTTTCCTCAAAGACAGCTCTCACCTTTTGCACACATCCCTTCAGTCCCTGCCCTGACACTGATGATGTTTACACTATTCGCTTGTTGTGTCCTGCTACACAACACACTCCAGTCTCTGCTTGGTCACTCACTACCCCTCCTCTCTCCCTCTCTCCCTCTCCCCCTTCCCCTGCCTGCAGTGGACCACCCCCCCTCCCCGACTCCTTTCAGAGCTTTCTCAGGGAGGAGGCTCTGGACTTTTTCTGTAGCCAGTGTCATAAACAAATCAGTCGTCTCGAAGACCTCTCCACACGCCTCAATTTTCTCGAGATGACTAGGTAACGCGCTGGTTGTGCCTGTGCAGTGTTGATTAGAAGCCACACCTCCATGTCACACCTCATCTCACCATGTGTGCATGCAGTGTAGGATTAGTTTGGATTTTGGTAGAGCCAGTATGAGGTGAAAGACAAGTCTATTCGAGGTGCATTTCTCAGTGTTTTAATAGTCTTTCACCCTATGCTCCTATTAGTGTGACATAGAATTTTTTAGATAGTATTCAAGATCAAGCCTGGTGAGTATATCAGCGTCACACAAGTTTCAAACATTGTACACACTAATTTTCCATACTAAATAAAAGCAAAAACATTGCTTATTACATATCATAACAAGTCTGTATGCATATCATTTGCTTTCATTTTCCACCTGCATCATAATGACTCATGTTACAGTGCTGTATGCATTTGCTTACTGTGCAACTGGACTTACAACAGTTATTACAATACATCAGTTATTTTGCCAATAAGACATTGCCACTGTGTGTCCTTTATTAGTGTGATGCTGAGTGCTGTGTTAGACTGCTGTGTTGTGATTTATAGTCTCCATCATGACTTTGGGGCCTATCTTGTGTGCTTTGATCAAAGGTTGTCATTGAGCAACACTAGGAGTTGGTTTCTCCTTCCTTTGTCCTCCTACTCTTCCTGACCACTTCCTGTTTTTTATCTCTCTATCCAGCGCTGGCAAGAGGCTGTCCAGTAAAAAAGTGGCAAGGTAAGCAAAAAATGTTTCTTAGGTTTCAAACTGCAGTAAGTGGCTGAGCTGAAATGGTTAGGATATTTGCATTGGGAGATATTTTTTGTTTGTAATGTTCTTTTTGAATGACTTTGTGCAGACATCTACTACAGAACAGCTCCATGACTCTGGACACAGTGAGCGATCTCACACGGGATATTTTGGAGCTAGCTGACAATGACATCACTGACAAGGTGAGTTGATTGTCTTTTTGATGTAATTTTTAATATTTTTTTTTCTAGACAATATACTTCATAATTTACCTTTGCATCTATAAAACAACTGCAGTATACATTTATTGATATCTCTCACATTTACTTGCTTGGCAAGTAAATGTTTACAAGTAATATGCTTTTAAAAAAAAAAACAAAAAAAACACTTCTATTTCCGTCTTTTACGTGGAATAGAGCTTCAATGTAAGATATGTATAATTAGTATAAGTGAAACAATTCTTAAGAAATCAGATTTGAATTTCTTTCAGTATATATATATTTTCCTCCAACCCTATGCCCTGACAGTCAGGAGTTTGATGTACATGTACTTGCCCCTTACCTCTTGATTTACCTCTAGTACCTGTACCTGTTGTGTGGTAGGTGTTGCTACTGGAGCGGCGGGTGGCTGAGTTGGAAAAGGAGTCAGAGGCCTCTGGAGAGCAACACGCACGGCTGCGGCAGGAGAACCTGCAGCTGGTGCACCGCGCCAACGCCTTTGAGGAGCAACTGAAGGAGCAGGAGCTCTATGCCGACGAGCAGCTGCAGCAAGAGGCCCGCAAGCACAAGGACGCCATCAGCAAACTGGAGCGAGAGAGGGGGCTGGAGCTGGAGAACTTACAGGCCAGGTACCAGGGCGGAGGGGGATTAGGATGCTTTTGGTCAGCTGTTAAACCTTTTATTTTGAATGGTTACCTTAGCTTTTACTTCAGACATTAAAAGTACAGTTACATATTTTTTTTCTTGGTTTAGTGAAATCTCTGTATCACCCTGTGTGACTCATTCTCTAAAAGCTTGCATTAGTTTAGTCATAGCTTGGGTGAAGCTGTGTGAAATAATTATCTAATATCTCATATATGTTAACTATTAACTGAGAAATTCATGTAAGGTGGTTGTGTGAAGTCAGCTCTCCAGTGGCGTTGACTTTATTGATGTGATGGCTCTACACTGCCACCTTCTGGTAAAATCTGTCAATGGAGATTTAGTTGTAAAATGTTTGTCTTTGGTTTCCAGGCTTCAGCAGTTGGACGAGGAGAACAGTGAGCTGAGGTCATGTATCCCATGTTTACGAGCCAACATAGAGAGATTAGAAGAGGTTTGTGCAAATCAACCATAAATTCTCTATTTACCAAATGATGTTGTAAAGCTAATGTTTTGATTGCTTTTAATATGACAGGAAAAGAAGAAATTACAGGATGAAACAGAGGCTTTGTCAGACCGACTGGAGGACGAAATGGAGAACAGGAGGAAATTGGCCAATAAACTGAGCCATGAGCGCCATATAAACCAGAAGGAGAAGGAGAGCACACAGGAGGTAGGACTGCCTAATTATCAAAACAAACAGTGCCCTTTATACATGTTTAAAATGGTACCACTGTCTTGAAACATGTTCTCTAAATATTTCACTGTCTTTCCTTTCCAGCTGATTGAAGACCTGCGTAAACAACTGGAGCACTTACAATTATACAAATTGGAAATTGAAACAAAAAGAGGACGTACGCCTGGTGCTGGATTGCAGGAGTACCAGACGAGGACCAGAGAGGCAGAGCTGGAGCAGGAAATCAAACGGCTCAAACAAGTAAGAAAATGCATTCTCAAAACATTAACAACAATTGTGAAGTTGCTGTCTAGACTTTATGATTAATCTCTTTCTTCAGGACAATCGCAGCCTAAAAGAGCAGAATGATGAACTGAACGGTCAGATTATTAACCTGAGTATCCAGGGAGCCAAGACCCTCATGTCAGCCTCTTTCTCTGATTCTCTGGCTGCTGAGATCAGCTCTGTGTCCCGCGCTGAGGTATGTATCAACAACAAATGCAGTCTTTTTATTTATTTATTTTTATTTCGTGTTGTAATATTTCTGTGTTGTTTCAGTTGATGGAGACTGTCCACAAGCAGGAGGAGATCAACTACAGATTACAGGACTACATTGACAAAATCATCGTGGCGATTATGGAGTGCAACCCCTCAATTTTGGAAGTGAAATAGACACAATGCTGCATACTGGAGATATTGTAAACAAATGTAAACCTAAATATATATTTATATAAATCAGAAATAATTTGGCCATTCATACTATCATAAAACTCCTCCTTATGAAGATTAAGTAACAAAAAATAAACTCTTAAAAATAAGATATCCCAACCTGCAGATGCATATGCTAACCTTAAACCGAAATGGGTTCTGTTGACCCCCATGCTTGTGGCTAGAGGAACCTACAAATCATTTAAAGTTGAAATCCTCCTTTTAAAATACAGTGTCAGTATAAAGGTACAAGAAAACCGTTATGTTTAAAAGGTGACCACAAACTATGTTGCTTCATTCTATTGGATAGAGCTGAATTTGTTTTGGCATTTTCTTTTTATGATGCTCTGGTCCAGAAATGGCAACATTTAGATTAGGTGTTATGCTTGCTGTGTTGCCTACAAGATTTCTGAATAACCCACGTGAGGGGATCAAAATGCCCGGAGGGTTTAGCGTGGGTTTGCTTTTTGTGGCTTTAAAAAATACACTAGTGGGGAAATGTAAATGATACCCAATCAGTTCTTGCATTTGCTTCCTATTATTTATTTTCTACAATGAAACAAGGGTCACAATTTAGGTGGGCCTTAACCCTGATAGAACTTATATTATAATTTTCACTGACTGATGTAAACACTGGAAAAACTGCTATTCCTTCGAAGATTACTGACAATTACTGGCACTTTGTAAATAAATGGTTGTGCTTTATCGTAGGTTATGTAAGGCCCACCTGACTAGTATCCCTTGGTTGAGTGAAAGCGATATAGGGAGCAGACATCTCCATTTTTTTTCCTACACAAAAGTATTATATGATTTTTTATGTTTATTTTTTTTTGACTGAAACACATTGGGTGAAGAAAAGTAGCTGTACTTTGCACTACATTTTGTTTTATTTTTATATGTTTGCACCATTGTGTATTCTAAAGGGATTGGAAAACTGACCAATAACTAGAAGCACTCATACCAGGACATTTCACAGTTGATATAAGAGGAGCAGCAATAAAAGTGGACACCTTGGAGAAGAGCTGGACTAAATCTTTCTAACTTAAAAGCAACATCTCCACAAGGATGGATGGATGCTTGTCTTGCTGGTACTGCGCAGCACTTTGAGACTTTGTTTATTGCTGTCTGAAACTGACTTTAAATTAACTTTTCAATGGTCTTCTATGGGAGATTATCCAGACAGCATGACACTCGGCATCGGATCTCTGGCCACTCCACAGGAAATAGGCCGGATGTAAATGACTTGTAAAGTTTTTCTACTCTCATTCTAGATTCTAGGTATTTTTATAGTGGGAAGAATTTGCTGCTTTTCCGTGTGGGGACAGCTGCTTGTACCTTCTCTAGCATGTAGCGTGTACAGTCAATGTTGGAATTCTGTCAAATCACAGATGTTTATTCACTGTGTCTGTGATGTATTCTGATGAAAATTTGTACATTGGTATTTTTGGAATTGTTCAGGACAAAGAAGGTGACAGTCCCTTTGTAAAAAAAAAAATCCCACATGAAGAATTTATTAAATCATAGAATAATTTAAATTATATTGTGTTAAGGATGTGCAGAGGCATGAATGTGGCAAGCTTGCTTTTCCTTTAAGGTCAATATTCCCTCTTGTTAAATGCTGATGTGGTCATGTCCTCACGTAGATTGGGCAGATAACTGCAGTTTGTATTGAATCACGCATGGCACAAACATTTGAATTAAGAAATTTACTATATTTTAAGTGAAAGTAATGTCATATAATTTATAAATGAACTGGTGGTTGGCATGTTGATAATCCATTCTTATTTGTTAGCTTGGTAAATATGGGTTTGCGACATCTCATTTTATGCTCAAAATGTTTTGGTTATGAACAAAGCTCCCACAATGCAGTAAAGTCGCCCTGCTAACACTAACTGTTAACTTTGTAGTTCTGAAACTAATGGCCATTGAAACAGCTGAGACCAGAGTTGAAAACATTCCCTTTTAGCAGAGCTGAAGGTGATTGCACTTTAACCAGATTATTTTACTCCTTTAAACGTGTTTTCAAATTGACCAAAGATGGATGTTTGAATATAATCTAACAATATTCTGTATCAGGGTCTGCAGTTTTGGTTGTATCACCGGTGCCAGTAAAACTATGAGCTCATCCGGGAGAGAACAAACTGGCCTGCTCTAGTCCGACACTGTGCCTCTGAGTCTTGCTTCTGTGATAAGCCTTTGGGAACGCACTGACCCGTGACTTGTGTCAGTTTGTTGTAATATTAATGAAATCAAACCTGTAAATATAAAATGTCCTTTTGTGTACTCTTTTTCTTTTCATTCTCACTTCCAGTGTCCAAAGAACGTTTGCTCAAGGCACAAACAGCACTACTGTAGTAGTGCATGGCTTGCCATTGTGTGACATGGGAGAAATAAAAGAAAATATTGTAGAAAAGAGAAATTTAAGAAAAAATGTATTCTTATTTTCAATAGTAATGTATAAATTATATCAGTATTGGTTACACAGTTGTATAATATTTTGGAGGATTACCAAATCATCCTCATTGTTAATGGGAAAATATACTGTAATTGCGTCGTTGTACAATGATAAAGATTTTACAGTAAGCAGTGGAAGTAAGACTAGAAAACAAATAAAGAAATTAAACTAATCTGTTGTATCTCCTCTTTCGTTTTGTCTTCTATTATAATACAGCTGGAAGGTTTGTACATTTTCTTTGCATTCCCTCTGCACAGGCCCATATCTTCCAGAGTCTTTGGTTCTTACTAATCTTTACCTGCTGGTTGTAGAGACCCTTTACCTCCTGACCACAGTGACATAACACAGAAATCTTTGATCTTTGAACTCACACTAATCATATTATATTTGGCACATTATACCAATATGAAACTTAAATGTCAATAAATAATAAATATGCATCATCACTTATTAAATCTAAATAATTGAAACTGTAAAAAATTCTCAAAAGACGATAAATTAAAACCCAAAACCAACACATGGGGGATTCCATCAGACCGTAACTAGGTGTTACAAGAGAGGACGTTGCTGTCTTGAATGCAGCCTGACGTTCCCGGAACCATTCGTTTCGGCTAAGTATCTACGGTCATATTTTGATGGAGCACAGGCTTCGTTGAACGACATGGCGCGCCACCAATCATTCAAAAGTGAAAAATAATAAGGTTTTATTTAACCTTTTCATAAATATAACATATTTAGTGTACCTGCACTATCCGGTTTGACAGCGAAGCATTGGTAAGAACACAACAAGGTAATATTACATAAGGCTGCACACGTTTACTGAACATGTATGAATATCCATAACGTTATGTGTGCGTGTTTATTGTATGTATTGTGTATTTAGAATTTAAGGCATTTAAATGCATGACATCATAGACATACTGTGCTATCAATTATGAAAGCATATACCTATTACTAACAAACAAATCTGATGTAATCTAGGGATGGAGACACTCACCCAAAGTTCTGAGGTTCGCCTGTCAGTGGGCCAGTGTTTTCGCACATTGAGCATGTCCTCGGCCCAGGACGACGTTATCGGTGCTCTCCAAACACTCAACTCTCTCTTGGACACACAGGGGCACAATTCTGGCTCCTCTGTTCACCAGCAAGAGTTCAGACGAAGTCATTATACCCGGACACTCCAGTTTCTCATCAGTCACATCCAAGCAGACTGGCTTCACAACCTTACAGAAACCCAGTGCACTCAACTATGGGACCGTTTATTTATTCATGGTCCTCCAGAACAAGCACTTCTTGTTCTTATGGAGGGGATTGCACAATTAAGGCAAGTACTATGCTGTTTAAAGAAAAATAGCAATACTTTGTAGCCTAACTTTATTTTATTACCTATTTGCAGCCCTAGCTCTAGCCTGGACCACTTGCTGAGCATCACTGAGACCTTTCTTCAAAGTGGCCGGCTCACTGACCTACTGTGGTCCTATTGTTTAGGGACTGGCCCCGCTGACTCCCCACAATTCAGAGAGGCGCTGCTCGGACGTATAGCAGCCCTTCCAGACCACATGGCCAACAAATTACAACTTAACAACAGGACATTGTTTCTTCCACAGAATTATTACCCATTATTGGCTCGAGAGATTCTCACAGCTCTGGAGAGGACCTGTCAGGCACTAAAAGGTGACTGCATTTTTTTGTTATGATGGTTGTTTTTTCAAGCCCCACTACTGCAGTACATTTGTATTTTGGGCAATAGTACCTCAATTGGTAGAGCGTTCATCCACGATCAGATTTTTATATATTTTAACAGGTGGTTCTGACTGTTCTTTGACATTTGTTGCCCAGACCCTTGGAAAAGTTTGTATCCAGGGCCACAGTGGTATGTGTCTAAACATATTAACAGAACATCACGTTTTTTAACTTCTATAATTTAGACATCTTGTTTCTTTTTCAGGTTTAGTGATGGCAGTGCTGGCTCCACAGTTGTCAAAACACACTCGTACTGATATGGTGTGGCAAAGGGTTTGTTGGAAACTCACTGAAAACGTGCCACACCGTTGGACTGACAGTGTGCTTCCTCAGCTGGTGCAGGCTGTTCCCGGGTGAGACGGTCTTCGAACTTTGAAGTGTTGTAGGACTGAGCATCTGGTATTTAATTGACTAATGTTTATGTTTCAGACCTGGTGCTTTGGGCAGAATCATTGGAAATCTGGTTGTGTCAAATAAAAAGGCCCAGTTTGTGATAACTCATAAAATGTTGTTGTTACAATACAAATATGAGGTAGAAACCTGTTTTTTGTTGACCCAGTATTCTGTCACTCAAAATGATATTGTTTATAAAAATGTTGTGTTTTTCAGACACAGGTCCTTAGGGTTGTCTTGGGTTACCTTGCAGCAGACAGGGAACGAAGACCGCTGCTTCTACAAGTTTGTTTAATCATTTTTATACCTGATATAAAAAATATAGTTCTGTTATCATTCATTATGTTTCTTTGTAGGTATTACGGTCTCTCTGTCAAGCATGGGCCAATCCCAGTGCCGTAAGACATACCCCACTAGAACAACAGATGTATATTAGCAAGGCACTACTTCTTAGCGTTGGTTTGCTGAATGACTCTGAGCTGAAGGATTTACGTTCAGGTATACACTACCGTTCAAAAGTTTGGGGTCACTTAGAAATGTTTTTGAAAGAAAAGCACTGTTTTTTTCAATGAAGATAACTTTAAACTAATCAGAAATGCACTCTATACATTGCTAATGTGGTAAATGACTATTCTAGCTGCAAATGTCTGGTTTTTGGTGCAATATCTACATAGGTGTATAGAGGCCCATTTCCAGCAACTGTCATTCCGGTGTTTTAATGGTACAATGTGTTTGTACATTGTGTCAGAAGGCTAATGGATGATTAGAAAACCCTTGTGCAATCATGTTAGGACAGCTGAAAACAGTTTAGCTGGTTAGAAAAGCTATAAAACTGACCTTCCTTTGAGCAGGTCGAGTATCTGGAGCATCACATTTGTGGGGTTGATTAAATGCTCAAGATGGCCAGAAAAAGAATACTTTCATGTGAAACTCGACAGTCTGTTCTTGTTCTTAGAAATGAAGACTATTCCAATGCGAGAAATTACCAGGAAACTGAAGATTTCCTACAACGGTGTGTACTGCTCCATTCATAGAACAGCACAAACAGGCTCTAACCAGAGTAAAAAGAGAAGTGGAAGGCCACACTGCACAACTGAGCAAGAAGATAAGTACATTAGAGGCTGCAGTTTGAGAAATAGACACCTCACAGGTCCTCAACTGGCAGCTTCATTAAATAGTACCAACAAAATGCCAGTGTCAACATCTACAGTGAAGAGGCGACTCAGGGATGCTGGCCTTCAAGGTAGAGTGGCAAAGAAAAAGCCGTATCTGAGACTTGCCAATAAAAGAAAAAGATTAATATGGGCAAAAGAACACAAACATTGGACAGGAAGATTGGAAAAAAGTGTTATGGACGGACGGATCGAAGTTTGACGGGTTTGGATCACACAGAAGAACATTTGTGAGATGCAGAACAACTGAAAAGATGCTGGAAGAGTGCCTGATGCCATCTGTCAAACATGGTGGGGGTAAAGTGGTGGTCTGGGGTTGCTTTGGTGCTGCTAAGGTGAGAGATTTGTTCAGGGTAAAAGGGATTTTGAATAAGGAAGGCTATCACTCCATTTTGTAACGCCATGCCATACCCTGTGGACAGTGCTTGATTGGAGCCAGTTTCATCCTACAACAGGACAATGACCCAAAGCACACCTCCAAATTGTGCAAGAACTATGTAGAGAAGAAGCAGGCAGCTGGTATTCTATCTGTAATGGAATGGCCAGCGCAGTCTCCAGATCTAAACCCCATTGAGCTGTTATGAGAGCAGCTTGACCGTACGGTACACAAGAAGTGCCCATCCAGCCAATCCAACTTGTGGGAGGTGCTTCTAGAAACGTGGGGTGAAATTTCTCCAGATTAACAAATTAACAGCTAGAATGCCAAAGGTCTGCAGTGCTGAAAATGCTGCAAATGGAGGATTCTTTGACGAAAGCAAAGTTTGAAGGAAAAAAAATATTATTTCAAATACAAATCATTATTTCTAACCTTGTCAATGACTTGACTATATTTTCTATTAATTTTACAACTCATGGTGGTAAATAAGTGTGACTTTTCATGGAAAACATAAAATTGTCTGGGTGACCCCAAACTTTTGAACGATAGTGTATTTAATTTTTAAATCTGGTTCTACACACTTATATTGACCTGGCAAGTTGTAATGTAAAAATGTATTATTGTCAGAGTTGCTTCAGTGTTTGCTGGGAGGCATGCAGAGTCACCTCGACAGCAGCATGGTGCAGATTCGGCGCATAGGGATGGTGGTGGGCGAGTGCTTGAGCTCTCGTATGGATATAAATGGGATAAAACTCAAATTTGAGGTAATAATTACAGTGAAATTATTAAAATTTAAATCCATTGTTACCAGGTTTTTACTGTCTCCGTGCTTTAGTATGATGCAGATGACGATACACAGGAGCTCTTATCTTTGATGACACCCGCAACAGAAGATGATCAAGATCCTGAATATCCTACACGGTAAAATTTCAAGTCAATAGAGGGGCACTGACATTTTTACTGGTGGAAGGTCTACCACCTGCATGTCTACACTGGCAATGTAATTTCTTTGTTCCACTGTATTGCATTAAATCTGTTACATTTCTTCTTTTTTTTTTTAATGCAAAACATGCATACTGTGAGCGGGCTCACCTCTACGCAGCTCTTACTTACAACTTAATCTGGTGGTGTAAACTTTTTATCTTTATGGAGATACAAGTTTAATACAATACTGTGGAACATTCTAAGCGAAGCAATAAAATCTCCATGGAGACTTACTTAACCTTTTAAGTTCTTCTTTTTGCTGTATTTTAAACTTATTTAGTACACATTTTGTTTGCAGAATGGATTCACAAGACTTGTGTGAAGAGAAAACTTCTTCTATAGCTTCCCAAAATGAGTGCAGCCCCCCAAAATCAAAAGACTCTGATTTGGATAGGTGAATATTTCTCTTTCTCAAGAATTAGTACAGTTGTTTACCTGAAAGTGCTAAAGAAAGCGTTAAAATCTTGCAGTGATGATGAACTGACTCCATATGACATGTCTTGTGACCAAAAGCTAAGCCAGTCTTCCCCACCTCGCTACTTGCGTGACTGTATTGAGAGTAAGTTCTAAGATAAATATTAAAATCGCAATCTAGTTGACACTAACTCATCTCTCCTGATCCTCTGATGTATACTGTCAGTTTTAACTTCTTCTGATGATGCTGTACGGGTGGAACTCAGTTTAAATGTGGCTGAGAATTTGGTACGGAAAAACCCATTTGCAACCAAAGAGGTAAACATATAAAAATATAGCTTCTATAATTAAAACTATATGCTACATTTGAGCATTTTTTACAGTGAATTTTGTTTAAATACTACAGTATGTTTCCATTGCAGATTAGTGTCCAGATGACCAAAGTGCTGATTCACATAGAAAACAAATTCAACATTGATAACTTCCTAGCCCTTCGACAAGCAACAATGGTGGCACTCACTGTTACTGACTGTATACCTGTATGTATTATTTGTTATAATGTTACTGTGAATACAAATACATGTTTATTTGCTTTGTTTTTTCTTCATAGGTGAGTCAGTATTTGATTACAGAGTTTTATTCCCTAAACTATAGTCTTCGCCAGCGCCTTGATATTTTGGAAGTAAATAATCATAATAATAACTAATTGCTTTTTGCTGATTGAATGAAAAATAACAGTGTTTATTTCTGACTCATTTAGGTCCTTGCTCTGGCGGCTCAAGAGCTTTCAAAGTCAATCAGTAACAAAACAGACACTTGTATGAGTGTGGTCTCCACCTCTGATTTGACTCTGTACCCTGGTGATAACCCTGAGCAATGGAGACAAGTCATAGAAAAGCGCATTCAAAGCAAAACTAAGCGTCTAACAAAGGTACAATCTCTATTTTCTACAGCCAAAATAACATCTTTGGATTCCTATATTGACAATTTGTGTTTCAGGGATCCACTCACCCTCTCAAAGCTGCTCCAAACCGCTATGCCCCAGTTGCTGGTTATTTCTTCTTCCCTTTGCTCAGAAATTATGACAAGTTTGTTAAATTTTTTCATGTAATATTCTACACCTTGAGAACTTAGAAGCACTCATTGTCTGCTTTGTCTAGGCCACAAGTGACGTTTGACCTTCTGGGCAGTGATCACCTTATACTGGGCAGGTTGATCCACACTTTAGGTCTTTTCATGCACCTTGCTCTTAATGCTCCTGTAAGTGAACTATTATTTTTACTAATTAATGAAAATAGGGTGAAATCCTTGAAATGAAAAATTCTCTTGACCACAGGTAGCTGCACAAATGGGATGCGCATTGCTGGACTTTGTGTGGACTGTTCGGTATCACTCTGAGCAGTAAGTAGAAGACTTTAGACAAGAAAAAAAAACATTATACAGCATGTATTGAGTAAACTGTATTGTGTCTCTAATAGAACAGTGAGGCGAGGTGTCCTCTTTGCTGTGTGTGCAGTGTTTTTAAGCATGCCCACTCAAAATCTGCTGTTGGATCTTGGTGATCAGCTTTTTGAGACTAGAGCTTGGTTAGCAGGTAAGACTGTTGACTGAAATTAACGGTTAGTTAATCAGTAAAAGATTCCAAATATATTATGTATATGTATTCTATATTCTATATAATTCCAGAAAACAATGTGGCTATAAACAGTCAGTTCATGTAATTATCTTATTAATTATTTGTACATACACAAATATGAACTCACATAACGGAATACCATTTCTGGGAAATGGATGAGGAAAAAGGATGTCCTGTTCAACTTGCACTGTCCATGACGTGGCCCTCAAAAATAAAACATTTAGACTGGAGGAAATGACAATGTTACACTTCAGTGCTTCTTTATAGCCTTGTTTGTGTGATTATTTTCTAGATGTGGCTGAAGGGGATGCAGATTCTGACTGCCGTAATTTGGCAATACAGAGCCTGGTTCTGTTGGATAAGGGCCTTAAAAAACAGCTGCAAGATCCTCAAGCTCTGAGTCTTGAGTCATAACTTAGTCGGATTTGAATATGTCCTCATTGGAACTATTTACTGATGGAAATGCATGATCCCAGAAACAGTAGGATGTTCAATCATTTCCAGGTGCTGTGGATTTTTCATATCCTGAAGACAGCCACCCAAAGGAATAGCATGACACAAATGTTTTTCTATGCCTAATCCATTACAATAAACTATAACATATTGCATTTTGTATATTGTACAAAACTGAAAACCATCACATATTGTATTTTAAATAAAATCATTTATTGTTTTTAAAACATTTGCCTGCTTTATTTTATTATATAGTGCTGAAACATCACTAAAATAGGAACCTTCAGCTGGTTCTTAGTTGAGCAAAGAGCAGCTTTCATATAATTAAATTAATCTGAAAAGGACTGTGATTGCATGCACTGGCTAGAAGTTGACTAAACTGAAACCATAGACTGTGTATAAGACTATTTACAGTCTATGAATGAAGCGAACACTTCTCGGAATGACTCGTTATTTTCCGTAACTCCGCCCAGAAACCCCGGTGTTGTCAGGGGCAACAAGGAAAGACGCTCTGCCTGCAGCTAGCACTACAACAGAGGTTTGTATCATACGATTGAACCTGAAATACTCAAAGTTTATGAGAATTTCAATAACAAAACGATCGCAGGACAAACTAAACAAAAGATAATTTTACTACAGCCATAAAAAGCAGTACACTTTGCTTTTTTACGAGGTTAGCAATCTAGGCTATCATATCGGCTAACGGGCTAACTTATCTACCAAGCGCATGTAGCACTCACTACAATTATATATCGTTAAATGTATAATTCAAGTAACATATAAATACTTAATAACAATTGTATTGCACTAGATCAAAGACATACAGTGCACCCGTATATATTTTACATTGTCGATTGTGGACATTTTAAGACTGATCCTTTGATTTGACTTTTATTTATATGCAAATGCAAGCTTTGCTCTTTTCATATTTTTGAAGCTTCACGCCATTGGGGACATGGCGGTGTATTTTGACCACCCAATCGATGCCCCGGAGAGCAGTGGTGCGCCCATACAATTGACCTGGCACCCGGTCTCACCAGTTTTGGCTGTGGCATCAAATAGCCCCAGCTCTGGAGGCGCTGTCGATGTTTACATGCAACAGGTAACTGTTACACTTTAGATTTTTTTTTTGTTTGTTTGTTTGTTTGTTTGTTTGGTTTTTTTTTTTTTGCATATAGTATATATAAACAAAGACGGCTCATAAAGTCTCATGTCTTATTTACAGGGTGACTTTGTGGAGAAGTGTCACTTAGAAAGGTCTCACCGACCCACTGTGGTGCGTTGGCATCCTACAAAGTCAGTGCTTGCCGTTGGCTGGGAGAATGGAGAAGTTATTTTGCTGACCTACCCCTCTGGAGATCACACAGCCCTGCCCAGCACACATTTGGTCTCCTGCACTCTCCTTGAATGGAGTGGTCTTGGAAGCCGCTTAGTAACAGGTGACCAGGTAAGGGCGTTATTTGAATCTCACAGGTCAAGGTTATAAATGTGTTTTAGTCAATTAATACTTAACTCTGTACTGTATGGTTTTTTGACATTAAGAATGGAGTTCTTGCAGTATGGAATATTGATGGAAAGGGAAGACTGCAAGGAAATCATCTAACTAAGCATGAATACAAAATACCCTTATCCAGCTGTATATTTAAACCAGCAACACCTGGCGAGTAAGTTAAGTTAACTTAAGTTGTAATTATAATTTCATGAACATGATAAAAACTTGACTCTGGTTTAAGCGATGTGGCAATGCTTGCCCATGCATCTGTACGGGGGGATTCAAATGCTTTGGACAAGTTTGGTTGGAATAAGGCACCTCTCAAGATAGGCCCACAAGAAGAGCTTACATTTTATGTAAGCAATACATATGGTAAGTCTGAATCTTTGTCATTATTATTGGTTTAATTCAAGAGCATTGCCTGTAAAATTACTTCCTAATCATAATTCTCTTTTAAAAATGTCTATGTTTTATGAAAACAGGTACAGTCTATATACTGGATGAGCACGGTAAATCAAGTGAACTTTTGAGTGTGGAAGAAGCCATTCAACATATGTACTACTTTGACAAAAGAGACGTCCTTGCTGTGATCACAGAAACTATGGTACTCTCACAATACTCATTAGGACCCCCAGGAGGAGCTCAAGAGTTCATGAAGGTATTTTGCTTCTGTTTCCTTTTTTCTGAATACTATTTACTGCATACCATATACATAACTTTTTTTATACCGTACACAACTGAGACTTCAAATTTTCATTGGTATATTCTCTGATGTCTTCTTATTTACCATAATAGGTCAAATTGTGCAGCAAGTTGGGGCTGAATAACTACATTGCTTGGACTGACAATGGGCTTCTTATTACAACATCAGGGGATCAGACCATTAGGTAAGTACAGACCTGCTTACAGATTTTTAAGCTTGTCATAGCAATTATCTTGTGAATTCATCCATAGGTTGTGGGACCTTGAACGAGATGACAACTATGTTTTGTCTCTTGAGGAGGCTGTAGGCTTTGAGAGAGATGAAATTGTGAACTGTGTCACTTATTGTTCAGGGAAAGGTACACGAATTACGTACAAGAAGTTTTATTTTTTTATTTATTTTTTTTATCTACATCCTTGAGATCATATTTCCTATTTGTTATATTTTACAGAAATACTGGCTGCAGGTACCAGCTGTGGTCGCATAGCAATGTGGAAAATGGTGTTTCAGTCAGGCAGCACCAAGTCAGACAGTAAAATCCAGTGGAAGTTACAAGCTCCTACTGAAATACAAGGCAATGTCACACAGCTAGAGGTAATCTTTGAAAAATATTAATGCATTCTGTAATGCATTTTATGTTACATATTTATGATGTCTATTCTTTTTTTAGTGGAATCCCAACTTAAATCTTTTAGCTGCTAACAATTCCTACACTGCCCTGATCCTGTCTGAACATGTTATGTCAGCCCACTTCAACCAGCAGGTGGCAGCCGTCCAGGTTTCACCGACTCAGCTCAGTGTCTCTCGGTTCAATCCAGAGGTGCACTTGGCTCTGCAGTCAGACTCACATATCAAGGGTGTCTGTGGTACAAAGGTAAATTCACTCCATTATATTGGGATATTTTTTTTTATTATTATTTTCAAAAGAACCATTTTTGTAATCTATCCAATGAAACAGGAGTCACTGATAGTCTGGAGTGGCAAGCAGATTACTGTTTATGACATTTCAGAAATAGCCTTACGCACTTCTGGTAATATTTAAAAAAAAAAATAAAAATCTGTAATTCTTCAATTACTTGAAAACACCGGCTAATTTCTTTTTATTTTATTCTCTAATTAGGGTCATTTACTTGTGACTCCCATGTAGTAGCCGTACATGGAGAGAATCTATACACTGTAGAACCCAGTAGAGTCCAGATCCGTACACCCCAGGTTAGTAGAGATGACTCTAACTCCTACTCATGATGATGATGGCTATTCTAACATTTTTTTCTACTTAGGGCACAGTGAAGCAATTACTAACATTTTCAAAAACCGAAGGAAACCCAGTACTGCTCAGTGTGTGCCAGTCATATCTAATAGTTGGCACAGACACTGCTCACATAAGAGTATTTGATCTCTCCCGGAGGTAAGGGTGCATTTTATAGTTTTGATTGCATATTGTTTTAACAAATCAAATGTTTATTTTTGTTTTATAGAGATGCCAAAGCTCATTCAAGTGCCAAGAACCTGGCTGAGTTTATTCCCAATCTGGGAGGCTTGAGTTCAGTTAAGTGTAACGCAAATGGCAGCCAAGTCAGCATCCTTATTACACGGGTTAGTGGCTGTATATTAAAAAAAACAAACCCAAATAACTGGAGACAGAACCATAAACAGTGAACCTACTTTGTCTGTTCAGGTAAACGGAAAGCCAGACCACAAAGTCTACTTTTACGATGTTGAGATGGACACCATTACACACTTTGACTTCTTTAGTGGAAGACCCTCAAGTGGTATCACACCATCTGAAGAAGGTGACAGGTAATATTCATTGAAGTAATATTTTAGTTTTTCTATTTTGTGTGTATCATATGTAATTCATTTTAATCTATGCATTCCCTATGCATTGTCTCAGGCATCAGTTAGAAGGGACAGAGCTCAGTGGCCGCTGTCCCATTTCTCATTTCTGGGATGAGAGTGAGCCTCGTCTTTTCGTTTGTGAGACTGTGCCGGTCAGCTCTGAGAGTTCATCACCTGTTCCTGTCGATGGGGTAATGATGGCCAACATTACAAATGCCATGTGCAAATCTGTCTCAAATCTAATGGAGACGTTTGGTTTTGTTTCAGGCTGATGTTTCCGTGGTCACACTGTTCTGCACTCAGGAGCATGGCCTTCTATTACACGACTGCTACCTCAAACCAGCGGTTCTGCAGTCTCTCCTTGCAATGGATGTACCGTATTATTACTTCATCTGCAAGGTGAGAGCTGTGAGCTTCTCTGTAGATTGTTAATAATGCAGGTTATATGTAGTGCCTTCTTGTCATTTTATTTGTATCATTTATTTTCTGTGCAATTCTTTGTTTGACTCAATACAACCCAGCTGTTTTATCGGAGGCATAATGTCTTTCTGCCAGAAGTAAGTCAAAGTCAGTCATGTCAGTTGAGAGAACCTGCTTCCAGCAAGTGCGATTCTGCTTTTCGCAATAATACAATGTGTCCCTAGTACCAAACAGATCTATTCCCATATGTGTTTGTGTCATTTTGTCTTCTGTATTGGATGCTATGACATCTAATTACTGTTCAGTAGCACATGTGCATCTTGACGGTTGCCTCTCACACAATTTCTTCTATTAATCTGAATCTTATTTTCAGCCTGGGGAGAGGGATCCATCGTGCCAATCTGAAGCGATATCTCCACACCTTCACCTGTCTCCCAAAAGTCCCATTGCTCCAAAGATGGTGTCAAGACGAGCACTTCGAGACTTTGTGGGGCTGGAGAACTGTGAGAAAACTACCCGAGACGCCATGTTAAATTTCAGCTTTTACTTGACCATTGGGGATATGGATGAAGCCTTTAAGTCTATCAAACTAATTAAAAGGTAAGCACTCTTCACCTTTTCCATGATTAATAACAATACACATTCATACTTAAGCATGACTACATAGGAGTCTGTACACTTTTGTAGACTGGCAAATTCAGTTAAATCCTCATGTATGTTCACAGTTCAAATTTTAAGGCTGAAGGTTGAATTTGATTGAACAAATGACTGTCGCCTGTATCATTGTACTTTTAATAATTTCCTTTACAAGTCAGACCCCTATTAGTTGAAATAAATAAAATAGACCTCAGTAAATAAACACAGGAGGTAATGGTTATGTCTGTCCAATGCTGACAATACTAATGTAAGTACAATAATGTCTGTGCCTGTGTCCAAGTTCAAAGGGGATACACTTCTCTAAACATTTATGCAGTAGTACAAAAAGTAGCCTTGTCAGTATGGTCTAAAAGGAGTTCACTTCCCATTCCTATGCTCAGGTCACAAGGGCTGATGTACTTTGAGCTTTAGCATTTCCCATAAGGACAACAAGAACACAAACAAATAGGAAAGTTGGCCGGATATTCTCTGGTAGACTTTAATAGGTCTGATGACAGCTTTACCGCCGTCCTCATTCATGGCTATTTTTGCTGCTGTTTCTGTTTCAGCATTGTGCCCAATTCCCTTAAATCCCACCCAAAGGAATTGTGATTTCCTGATATAGTATCTGCAGGGATGAGTCTCAAATCATGTAGTTATTTTAGTTTCGATGTTATAGTAAAGTCACCATTTTAGAAACCCAAAATGTATTTATTCTCAACTCCTCATAATTCAAGTCTGAGTCCAGTCGTCAGCTCTTTCTAAGTTCGAGTACAAGTACATTCATAGCAGGTCATTCATAGTTTGATTAGTCACTTAACAGCAGTTAAAAATCTAAATATGAAGTCTCAAGAACATTAACAGGGTAAAAGAAGAGAAACCCCATTTGAACCTCAAGTTGAGTGTTCCCAGGGACTTAGAGCACCAGTACAGTGACAGTGCCCAGTATAATTAAATGTAACTTTAAGTTGTAATATTTTTGTAATTATGTTTTAGAGCATCAAATCAGAATTAAGTGAAATGCTGATGCTAACAAACACGTTTTGTTATTCATATGTGCATTTTGTCTAGACTAGGTAATGAAGATGATTAGACCCAAGATATCACAATATTAACAATTATAATATGTTTATTCTCCTGCTGTTCTTGAACTTTGCATTGCAACAAAGGAATTCTCCATTATGGGACAAACAAAGGTTCTCTTCTCTTTTTTAATAATACTCACAAAAGCATTTATATCTATAATTGTTTATATTAACTTAATTTTACATTATGTACCACCAACATAGGATATATATTTTATACACTTTTTTATCAGAGCATTAAATTACTTGAATTGCATTTACTATGTGTACAATACATTTGAATTGACCATGTTTGTATAATTTTCTAACATACCTTCTATGTTTAAGAAATTCCTATATTTAAAATGTATGAATAGTTTTCTTTTTTGTCAGTAAATTGCCACACTGGCCCTTCAGATCTATAAATTGTGAGGTAATGTGGTATTTTGACCCAGTATATTAAACAAATAACTGTTCATGTATATTCATTCTTATTTATATTAAAATATTCTAGTGGCCATTTTACTCAAAATATTCCAAATTACGATACATCAAGGTCCAGCTTGAGTTTCTCCAGGCAAGTTGATAATTCATTGGTGTAGTCCAAATGACATACTGTAGTTATCCACCATAAGATTTTAAAACTGAATCAACTAAGACTTAAATATATTGTTTATACATGCATAGTACTCTACTTTGTGCCTGAGCTGTGTTATAATCCTTTTCTATGCCTGTTGAGTAGTTGTGATATGCAGATTTGATAGTTCAGCTTAGTAGACTGCAGCGATTTGTACAGTGCGTTTGCTGCTAACATGGCGATTCCACATAGTCATTGTCTGGACGCGGATGGAAAGGAGATGTGAGCGAGCGACTGATGATGATGACGCTAGGTGCCATGCAGTCTTCACGGCGATGTAAAATGTTCCATATGAGCATGGCTGCAGCCAGTGTGGCCAGCAGACATGAAGCAATGTTCAGGTAGCACGAGTAGGACAGGTGCGTGTATGGGCCGATCCTGTAGAAGGTGACTAGTCCAATTACCAGCACCAAACCTAGACAGAGAGACAGTTTGGTTAAACATGTTCAGTTCACTTTTGCTTTCACGCTGTATTTAGCAGGAAGTCTGTAAGCGGCCTTTGTAAACATATTTCCTTTAGGGAACAAGCTTCAGAGATGTACAAAGGAAAAATATCAAACTTAGAAAGCTTCTTTCAGATGTATTCACTTTGATTCATGCTGTGAGGAACTCTTTGAGTGCAATCAATGAATGCCACACCACATTTGGCTCTTTGAACCTTGCCTTGTCCTATCTACTATTAATAAATATTTCCAAGTTGCGTCACTGTTCCTGATCTTGGTTAATTCTGTGGTAAAACCAGTCATCCAGAGTGGTATAAATTTAGAGTGAAATAATGAGTGGAAATGGACATGTTGGTGCCTTCGGATATGAATCAGTCTATTTCCTGGAGCGGTTTATTTGTGTGTGTACCTTTACAATCTGATGGTCATTGTTTTAGCGGAGGATGTGAAGACTGCGCCCCATGGATCATTGCGTGTGGATACTGCTCTGGGTGCAGGTCATGTTTAATCTGCTTGGGTCCTTCTCCAAGAATATGAATAATCTCCTCTGTAGCACTGAGCCAGGGTGGGCTGTGTGAACATTTGGATTTGGCACACACTTATCTCCCAAGGTTCCTTCCTCTTCTTCCTCTTTCCATCCTTCCTTCCCTTTTCTCCACACCCTGAGCTTGGGGTTAATCTATAACTGGACCTTGGATGTGATTTGTCACCACAAACTTGTAAAAATGAGGAAAAAACTTTGCTCCCCATTCCTCCTTTTTATGGCCATGTATTTTGTCTTAAAACATGCTTGACCTAAAATTTGGCTTTTGACATTTCAGAATTGTGTCCATTCACAGACCACATTCCGGGCTTATCCAGAGGAGACTGATGCCATGGTTCAGAGAGGCGCATAGAGAGGGGATTGTGATTGTAACGCTAGAACTATTTTGACATTCTTAAAATGAATGAAAACATTCACAGGAAGGGGAATAATAGAATCTGCCAAAAATATAACATCCATTCACGTTGATAGGCCATTGACTAAGTAAGAAGCAGGCCTATTGATACTTTGCACCTGATATCATCAACATTCCTTGGGGGTGTGATGTTAACTCTAGTCACTACCATATCAGAAGTTCTATTAGATTTTAATCGGATCTTTATTTTAACACAAGCTGACCAGAAAGAGTTGACTTAGTTGGAACTACTGTACAAGAGGTAAGATTTGTGCTGTTAAAAAGATTCTTTCACAAATGATTACAGTCATAATATATCTAGCATTAGCCAACAGGTTTTCAGTTTGTCACTCGGACCTTTTTTGTTGAACAACAACCGCTAAACTGGACCCTGAATGTTTGTACTGATCACAGGCTCCTGAAAGTGGATTGTTTAAATCTATTTTGTCTGTTTTCAGACTACCTTTCTTGGCAGTGTTTGGTAATGTATGTATTGTGTCACCTTGGAAACTGCTAGACATTCCACCCTACAGATACGTGTAGAGCACCCCCAGCATGACGTCACTACGAAGTGTCAATTCTTCTTTTTAAAAGCCTTCTCTTTTAAAATTAGAGTTTTTTTTTTTTTTACTTACTTACTTAATATCTATATATTATAGATATTTGTAAGCAATAGATGTGGTCATGCTTTCTACTAACATGTATTTTGTAGACTCATGCCTTTTAAGGTGAAGTTCAAAATTTGAAATGTTTGGTCATTTGGTTTTTAGGTGTATGTTTGACTAGTTCCTTACTAGCTTCACTGATTTTCCATTACTGTTGAAGAATTATTCAGAAGTAAATTCTTAATTAGATGGACATGTCTCTTATGAAGTATTATTGTGATTTGGGCTCTTGTTCTTCAAGGAGGGTGGTGGTGTTGAGTACTGGATAGCTGTGTAATGTTGGGTGGGCCACCATCCTCAAACTTCCAGAGATAAAAGCTGTGCTGCTGGTGAGGACAGTCTGATAAAGAGGAGATTCTTTATTTGCTGCTGATGGCGGACATTTTGTAAACACAGACATAAAAGCTGGGCCAGCTTATCAGAGCGGAGGCTTTCCCACCCTCTTGTCGTGTGTAGCACAGCCACACACTCTAAACACACTGATACACAAATATGGCAGCACACACAAACATACAACAGTCCAAACTGTCTTTCCCGTCTGTGCCCCTCCCCTACTTTTCCTTCTTGAGCGTGGCCCTTTGCATAACAGGTAGTCACAGACATTTCCTTGTCCTGAGCAGGGATATCCTGGCGCCCGATAGTCGCTCTCTGGCCCACTGCAGCTCAGCCCCATGGATTTTACACTTGGACTAAATATAGACCCGTGTGGACCTCTCAATATTGTGCCACACAGATACAAAGTGGCAAAGGTCCAATACTGAACAAAACATAGTTCCTAAAATGGCACAGGGACAGCCCCTACAACTTTACTTTGGAGAAAGGTATTTGGTTGTTGTCTCTGGGTGCTTTCCTCTTTTGTATTTTAAAACATTCTATTCCATTTTTAGTCTTGCTTTTCCTAGATTAAAACAAAATAAAAATGGTGATCTATGGTATGCTAGTTGATGAGACTCACTTGCGAGCTGGAAGAGTGCAGCGATGGCCTCCTCCCACCACTGTGACTCCTGTGTGACGAAGGGCAGCTCCATGAGGCCCAGGAGGAAGATCAGCTGACCAGCCGTCAGAGCCATGGTGGCCATCAGGTTACAGGCTCGCATCATGTCGAACTGCACTGTGGGCACATGACGGACACTGTTATTCTCTTCATCACTACAGTCACTGTAAACTTCACATTTACGAATGGATTTATTTATTTTAAGGCCCTAGTAAAACATGAATCAAACTGTATGCATGCAACAATCGCTTTATCATTAAATGATCACAATCTCATAATGACTAGTTATTGAATTGAATATACATTTGAACATTGTTTATAATGCTAAAGTGCATGTGCACTGAAAAGTATTTGCTGACACTTACGTTTGACAGTACTGCGTGATTCTTGGTAGCCTGCAAAGTCTGCCCCCCATCCCAGCCCCTCACACTGTCTTTGGGCCCCGTGCTCTTTGCGTCCAGCCTGGAGCTCCTCTCTGCTTCTTTCCACTCCCATTGGGCACATCCTCCACAGACCCACGCTCCTCTTGCGGCCGTCTTCCAGAGCCTGCAGCACCCAGCTGGGGGTGAAGGCTGCCACATTGTTCAGCACTAAAGAGAGCAGGGCCACTGCCACCGCAGCTGCCACCAGCCTCTGCACAGCCATGGGCCGCCGCACGCCCGCCACCTCTGCCTCTGGTCCTGCCTCAGACAGCAGCTCCTCTGGGCGCTCTTCTGAGGCCTCCTGGTCCGTCTCCTGTCCCCCCGCCACTGCACTTTCTACTGGCTCCAGCAGCTTTGTGGGGCTGCTTGCACACAGATGGAATGGATTTGAGTCCTTAAGTTGCCCTAAAGAACATCTCCATCCATTGTCATGGGGAGGTGAGACATGCAGGTCCTTAGCCCTCTTCTTCAGACAGTGCTGCAGGCTCAAAGGGGTTTGTCCAGCAGGTAGCTTGGTCCATTCCACTGGCTCGGGCTGGCTGCAGCTTCAGAGTTGTCTTGGTTTTTGTTGGTGCTCTTTGATCCTTAGTCAATCTGTTTAAGTCAGTGCAGTGCTGATTCAGCCTGCATTTTTTTCCTTTTCAGGCAATGTTTTTTCTGATATCTTTTGAGCTGCTCCGGAGAACAGATGTAAAAATAAATAAAATCTTGTGCCAGGAGTGAACAGTTCTAAGTTTGTCTCATAGTCCAAGGATCTCCTGCTGCCTAGACCAAAGCTCCTGCCGTCCTCCTCCTTCAGTTTGTGTCAGTCGTATGAGTTCTGTAGTAGAAGTATGCAGAGGCACATTCCATCACTGGCTCACACACCAGTTCCCAGTCTCAGCTCCAACGCGTGCAGCCGACTTCTAATGGAGACTTTAAAAATGTGTGTGAGTGTGTTTGTGTGTCTGTGGGAGAATGTCCAAAGACCCCCTCTTAGACGTCACACTTGTGTATTCTTTTGTCTGGAGCCCAGGGGGCGTTTGCTGGAGTCCTCTTTCTCATGTGCAACAAACATATTGGCAGCCTCAGTCGCTCTGCTACAGGATGTGTTTCCTGAGAGGAAAGAGGATGGGAAGAGAGGCCAAATGTAGACCTGTTCTTCTCTTGTCTTTCCTTTTGTGGACTGCTAGATCTTGCCGCTTTGTTCAGCTGGCCCTGTATTTCCACCTCAAACTATGCAATTTTTATGTTTTCTGTGTCCATGTATGGAATTGGTTGGGGGCTTGTTTTCATTTTACTTCATCTATATCTCCCCCCTTTTTTTGGCCCCTAAAGATTTGGGCTATTTCCTGTTGCCTAACTTTAATAAACATCCACATCTGTATCAGCTAAAGTAAGGAGGTAGGAGGGGGCACAAATATGGAACAGATGGCTCAGGAATCTTGTATCCACAGCAATGGTTTACGTCAGCAAAGAGAAGACTGAACATAAGAACACATAGTTTGATCAGATTTCAAAATTCATCTGCCATGTTATGCAAAATCACCTTTAAAGAGCTTTTAAACTTGTCCTATATTTGAAGCTTGAGTGGTCCTATTTTCATCCACCCCTTATCTCCGCCCACGTCACTGTACTTGACTGATTCCAGGTCATATATGTTGGGTTCCAATAGGTCACGTAGCCACTTTCCAAAGATAAAAATTTCTTAAATGAAAATTTGCTGCTTACTACTGTGAAATGCTATGAAGAGGTGGGCCCTATTACTTCTGCAGTTTTAAACAGGAACTTAATTGACCTGTTTCTGTTATCAAGCTGTTTTAGATAACTATTGGAATTTACAATGATGAAATGGAAAATGAAAATATTATGTTATACTTCAATACTATGTACCTGAAAAAAGCATCTTATATATATATTATATTTTTCCAGGTTATATTACATTTGGGGTTTATTTAAATTCCATTGTTAAATTCCATTGTTCCTTGGTGAAGAAAGTGAATTCTTTTTGCCCCTTTGTCTTTTCTCTTCAGTGCAGCAGTATGGGAAAACATGGCGCGGATGTGTGTAAAAACCCGGCGCTTGGATGTGGCACGAGTTTGCCTCGGGAATATGGGAAATCCCAGAGCAGCGAAAGCTTTGAAGGAGGCTGAGGTCGAGCCAGAGGCTGAAGCACAAGTTGCAATGTTAGCCATTCAGCTTGGCATGTTGGTAAGACATCAAAACACTTACATTGTATGTCATAAATCATTTGATTCCTTAATGGTATATCTAAAAATGGCATGTCCTCTTGCATTCCACCATACCAGGGGACTTCCCGCACCAATAACAATTATCTTTTCCCCTCATCTTTTCCTGTCCCCCTACAGGAAGACGCTGAGAAGTTGTACAAGTCCTGTCAGCGATATGACCTGCTCAACAACTTCTACCAGGCCTCAGGAGACTGGCTGAAAGCTCTGGAACTAGCAGAAATGCATGATCGCATCCACCTGCGTACCACCTACTACAACTATGCAAAATACCTGGAAAGTGTAGGGAATAAAACACAGGCCATCACATTGTAAGTCACAAAATTATATTGCGTTATGTTAAATGATCACTCTTTTTAAGGTTTCAGCAACATTTCATTTTTTACAGCTTTGAGAAATCCGAGAGCCACAGGGTTGAAGTACCAAGAATGCTTCAAGACGACACATCCTCTCTAGAAATTTATGTGAACAAAATGAGAGACAAGTAAGTCAACCGGAGATATCGCTGCCTACTGATCTGATACATTTTTCTAGATTAAAGCTAATAGCCAGGAACACCAGTTGGATCACTTCATCTGTATTTTAAACTGTGGAATATCTAACTGCAGAACTGTTGATGGAGTTATAATTCTTCAGTTAATGAGGCACTAAATGGTCATGTAATTGTACTTAACGGACCACTCATCGCCTAGTGGTAGTCCAAAGTATCACAGTTCCACTGGGGGCCTGACTTCTCTCTGATCATTCTAATCATTGGAACCCAAATCAGTGGATTTCAAACTTTTATATTATTTTATATTTTGTATAATATTCAGCTTTCCCAGTACAATTTGATCTGAATTTGGACTTTATCAGACCTAAATTAGGGCTAACGATTAAAACACAAAGGAAGACAAAAATATTAATACATTTTTCTCTAAATAAAACTTAACTTAAAGCTGTATAGAGCTTAAAGATGTATAGAGCCTCGCGTGTCACAGTTTGGGAAACTTTTTTTTATGGGGCCTAGAAATCCTACTCTACTTTTCCCATTGCAGTATTAGACATATGCAATTGATGTACTTCCTTCGCTTTAATTTCAGGAATGTGTACAAATGGTGGGCACAGTATCTTGAGAGCCAGTCGGACATGGATGCAGCACTACGCTTCTATGAGTTGGCTCAGGATTACCTCTCTCTTGTTCGAGTTTTCTGCTACATGGGAAATATTCAGAAAGTAATAACAATGTTCAAAATACTATGTTTTAAATTCACAAATGACAAACACAATATTGTAACTTATCAGGCGTCTGAGATTGCCAACGACACAGGGGATAGGGCAGCGTCCTACCACCTGGCCCGGCACTATGAGGGACATGACGATATCAAACAGGCTGTTCACTTCTACACACGAGCTCAGGCGTACAACAATGCCATACGGCTTTGTAAGGTACAGTTCATGCATGATGTAACTCTGTCTTTAAATTGTGCTAAACTAAATGTAATTTGAAACATTAATTCATTAACTTCTTTGAATAGGAGAACAGTCTGGACGACCAGCTGATGAACCTAGCTCTCCTCAGTAACCCAGAGGATATGATGGAGGCTGCCTGTTACTATGAGGAGAGAGAGACACATATGGACCGAGCAGTGGCTCTTTACCACAAGGTCTGTCAAAGAGCATGTTTTTGCCTGTCCACAAGGGGGCACTGTTGAACTACATCTCATGCTGTGCATCTGTTCTATAGGCTGGTTATGTGTCAAAAGCCCTGGAGCTGGCCTTTGCCACAGAACAGTTCTCTGCTCTGCAGCTCATTGCAGAGGGTCTGAATGAGGGTTCAGACCCCGCGCTGCTGGCACGCTGCTCTGACTTCTTTATTACACATGCCCAATATGAAAAGGCTGTGGAGCTATTGGTAGCAGCTAAGAAGGTACAGTTCAGCATGATGGTAGGAAACAGCACAATGCTATATGTTCTATAACACATGTCTGATGTCATCACAGTATCAGGAGGCACTGGAGCTGTGTGTGAGCCAGAACCTGGACGTCTCAGAGGAGCTAGCAGAGAAGATGACTGTGACCGAGTCAAAAGACATGTCTGAGGAGGCCAGGAAGGAGCTGCTGGAGAGGATAGCAGACTGCTGTATGCGACAGGGCAACTACCACCTAGCTACCAAAAAGTACACGCAAGCAGGGAATAAGCTAAAGGTAACACACTTCCATTTATTATTATAATAATCAGACAACATGTTTGTATGAATTAACAACAATGTCCTTAATCAAATACAGGCTATGAGGGCTCTTCTCAAATCTGGTGACACAGAGAAAATCGTATTCTTTGCCAATGTTTGTCGTCAAAAAGACCTTTTTATTTTGGCCGCAAACTATCTTCAGTCTCTGGACTGGCGCACAGATCCGGAAATTCTCAAAACTATCATTGGTTTCTACACTAAAGGCAGAGCGCCAGAGCTGTTAGCGGGCTTCTATGAAGCCTGTGCACAGGTAACCATGATCATACAATGCACATTGTAATCGAGTGGATTTTTTTAATTTGACAGCATTAATACAAAATACTTTTTATCTTTTGTTTAGGTGGAAATAGACGATTACCAAAACTATGAAAAAGCACTTGATGCTCTGACTGAGGCCTATAAGTGCCTTTCAAAAGCGAAGGATACTTCTGAGAAACAGGAAGTCAAATTGTCAAACATGCAACACAAAATCACTTTAATCAAGAAGTTTGTCCATGTGCGCAGGTAAGCCCAGTCATGCTATTAACAAATTTTATTATTTAAAAAAATACATGTTTAGAAATATTTGAATGATGGTTGTAGGTTGTATGTGGAGAACGCTGCAGAGGCTGTGCGTGTTTGTGAAGCCCTGTTAGAAGAGCCGGACTTAGACCCAGCTGTCAGAGTGGGGGATGCTTTTGGTTTCTTGGTGGATCACTACTGTCAGCAGGGCCAGTTCCAAGTGGTAAGGTACTTTATTTATTAAATCATTTCTGACGAATCATTTCCCTATTTTTGATTGTAATCTTTACATGTACTGTTGCAGGCCTACCGCAGGTTAGAAGAGTTACAAAAACTGTTGCCGTCCCAAAACCTGCGGTACTACATCAACCCAACCAGTCTGGAGGCCCTGCAGAGAGAGATGGGCGTGATCCTAGACCACTCAGAACAGAAAGTGATCATGAAAGATGACGACGAGGTCATGGAAGAGTTAAATGAATCTCACTCATGACTTCTGACTTTTAGTTTTTATGACAATTTTATATACGTGACTTCATCCTCCATAGAGTGAATAAGCAATGTGACAGCTGTCAGTGTAGTTGAGGTATTTCTGGTAAACTTTAAACTGACAGAAAAAGTGCTATCTCTACACATAATCTTATTTCATTAATACATTTGTTGAGTATACCATAGCCCTCCTATGATTAATGATTCTGGAAAATAATTTTGTCTTTTCTGGAGCAGACTGGTACACACTGATCAGGACCAATTGTTGCCTTATCTATTTGATAGGGATTAATCACTGTAAATACTGTGAAGGCTTTTGTATGTGGCTGTTATCATAATGTAAATTGGTGCCATTTTTACATTTTGTAAAAAGAAGTTTTATCTTTCCTCACCTGACTGTTTTGGTGTGCAAAGAAAGACAATTGTGTAAATACTGTAATATGAATAAATGTTTGTATCCTTTTTGTCTGTAAAATATTTTTCATTGCACATTATTTACCACCCACAGGCTTAGTAGGGTTGAGCCTGGTTAGTACTGGAATAGGAGACTGCTGTCAATACCAGCTGCCACAGTGGGGCAGCAGTGACTCAGTGATAAGAGCACATTCTCACTCAGATCAATGAATACTGCCATTGTGCTATTGGGCAAGACACTTCACTCCTCCTTTCCTCCAATGTCCATGTACGCTTGTGTATGAGTGTGTGTTTGTGAGAGTGAATGTGTCCCCCACCAAATAAACAATAAAATCATATTTTAAGAGGAAATGGATAATAAGGCATTATCATGTTTTTTGTGAGACAAACTGAGGTCATATGGGATGATGGGGCATATTTTTTATTTTTTCCACTACAAATGATTAATTTATATTATATTAACACAACACTATCCAGTCTTTACAAGATTTTTCATTATAAAGTTTTTATGACCATCTAACTATATAAAAGGAAATATGCATATAAATTAATGTTCATTCAGATGCATTATTAATTTAAAACATATTCATTATTATGTTCATTCATTAATATATTATATTAACACAACTAATTATTTTTGTTCTAATAATGTTATTTTTATATTTCTTTTCGATGTAATGTAAAATGTAATTTGAGACTCCAGTATGGTAGGTCTATTTAAGATCTGCAAGCATAACAAAACTCTTGTTTGTGTCATTGTTACTAAAGCCTTAGCAACCCAAAGTGACTGTGTTGTGTTATAGTCTGAAGAAACAGGGATGAGAATGGCCGCTCAGGATCAGCCGCTAATCACAGAAGGAGTTCATGGCCGAATCCAAACTCTGACCGAGGTCAATGTGAGTATTGAGCAGTAAATCATAATTCATCTTTGTCAGTGAATGTCAAACTTTTTTCATAATGATGAGGAACTGGCCTTACCCTGTGGTACAAAAGTAGTTGTTTATTCAGTTATAACTCAAATTTCTTGACAGGCCTACCTGATTCTGCCCTTATTTACATTTAGTCTTGAGGCTATACTGACATCAAGTGCTTCGTTACGTTGCATAGGTATAGACCTAGTGCCTACTAATGTCTGCTATGTTTTCCCCAGACTTTTGTTGTTCTCTTGTGTTAAATAGTGGAGCACTGACATCCAGAAATGCCACTTTACTTTCAGATCGAATTGTGTGACAAAAATGAGCATCTTTCCACCAAAGTGGGTTTACTGGAGAGCAGACTCAGCCGTCTGACCATCTCCAACTCAGAGCTCTCCTCAATGCTGGTTCACAGCGAAGAGGAAAAACTCAAGGTATGTTCATATGATAACTGACTTTGATTTGAAATAGTCTGTTTCTAAATGGTCAGGAGGTGATTACTGTGGCATGTTACAGCTGTCCAAAGAACTGGTTGAGGAGAAACAGCGAAATAACAAAATGGTGGAACAACTTGAAGAAGAATTGTTGAATTTGAAAGACAAGGTAATGTCATTTATAGACATTATGGGGAAGAAGATGCCTTTGATTATATTGTGATTTGTCGTTGAAGGCAATTTATGTAACACCACAACCTTTTGGTGGCTGACCATAAATGTACCTAATAGCTTGAAGTAGTCTACATACAGTATTTTGTAGTGGTGTGGATTAGGTCTTCTGAACAACTACTGAAACTACAAGACAATCAGTTATTGCTCTTTAGAGGTAGTTTATTTGTTACTTGAAAAGCAATGAAGTATTAACACAAGAATTGTATTTCACAGCTTTTGAATCAGGGCAGTGTAATAACGCAGATAGAGATGGAGAGAGACAAGCTGAAGTGGGAGCTGCAGTCTGGGAGAGAGCTGAGCCAGGACTACAATCACCTAAAGGAGGACTACCAGAGTCTGAGCCAGGCCCATCACCGAGAGCTGGCTCACAACCAGGAGCTGAGTACAGAACTGCTGGCTCTGGCTCAGGCTCAGGACGCTCTCCGCAGGCAGCTGCAGGAACAGCAGCAGACGGTTCAGACCACCACCAAGGACCTGCACATCGAGCTAGATCGTGTACTGGCCCTGGTCAGCCGTATGTCACAAGATAGAGTCAAGGTACTTTGAGTTTCTGAAACACTTTATAATAACTACACCTGATGAGCCTTAATAACATGAATTTACAATGAACTTAAAGTTATTAAGACAAATTTAACCCCTTAATTAAATAGGTATTAAGTCTACTAAGCCATTTTAATACACTGTTAATAAACTATTTGTTCATTATGATTTAAGTCTTTAAGTCTACTTCATGCTTTATTAAGGCTATCTAAGGTGTAGTTATTTTAAAGTGTAACTTTAACTTAAATTTCCAATATAATAATTTAATGTATGTTTTCAACCACAGTAATAAGCAGATTTACTCTGTGAGCTCATTTCAAACTAAAATTGACACATACATTATACCAGGAAAACTTTTTTTCATAGCAGGGCTGGCTGCTGTGGCAAAAAGGCTTTTTTTTGTTTGTTTTTTGTTGTTGTTGTTTTTAATAGGCTTGTTTTGATGACTGAATCTTGATTAATTTCAACTAATCTCTCAACTCTACCTCTTATGGATTATCTGTTGTCAATGCCCTCTTCATTTAAATGCTAATTGTAGATGTTACAATAATTACACAACTACATTTCCAGCCTGAGGATTTAGCCGCGTTGGACAAGGAGCAGAAAACTCTGGGGGCAAATGTGAGTGCACATGACTTAAGCATCCTCACATGTGTTTTGGACTTTCCATAATCAACTCTCCTCTGTCATCATCTGCAGCTCTTAGGAAACCAGGATAAAATGAAAACCATGATGGAGAACTTGAAGAGGACCTACGAGGAAAAACAGAAGGAATTGGAGGAGAAAGTGTAAGCCAGGCCAGTTTGTCATGGTCTAGAGTTGTACAAATAGAAGTTCATTCTGTCCCATTGATCAAAAAGAGTCTATTCAGGAAACATGTTCTTATAAATATTACATTCCTCACTGCATGTTTGACTGATGTGGTCTGTCTGTGTCCTCCTGTGATGTGGCTGCTCCTGATGTGGTTGGGGGATTAGATTGGCGATGGATAAGGAGAACAAGATGGAGATCCAGAGTACACAGCAGAAGTTAACTCAACAAAGAGAGGTGAATACATCGTACTTAAATAGGTTCAAAGTTGTGTTTAATGATGATTTAAACATTTGCAAAACTCAGCACACAAGCCTACGTCACCTATGTTCCTGCACAGCATTTTTCCATAAATACAGTATACAAAAGCAGAATACAAAACAGTACACTACAGCTTCACAAACCTGATATGATGTGCACTAGTTAGAGAAATGCATGCTGGTTGTAATGTGATAGTGCTCTGAAGGGGGAGTGACTTAAGTGGAGTGCAAAGGGAGAGAGCAAATATAGCATTTTCAACAGCTAAAAAGTAACATGGTGATCCTAATATGTTACCAATTAATACTCCATAGAAGTGTAATACCCACTGTTCAGCAATACATACTTTTGATTAGTGCCATTTAACCCAAAAAAGTCAAATTTCTTCTTTCAAAGTCTGAACTCTGCTCCAGACCACATGCTTTTACTGACAGACAATTGGCAGGTCATTGACAATTACAAATGATGGATCTCAATCTCAATTACAATTCATTCAATTGTGCAGCCCTCACTCAAATTATTCAGTGGAGTTGTACATTAAAAACAAATATGATCTCTAAATTAGCAAAGCTTTTTTGGACCTTTATTATGTTTTGTTTCATGTTTTGTAGACCAAGAGCTATTCACAGAGCTACGTGAGAGAGATTGAAGAGGAGAACTCTCAGCTGCAACTCAAACTTAAAGAACTCAATGAGGAATACAGAGCCCGACTGAACTGCTATATACAAGACCTAGCAGTAAGAACCCCTCCCACACTAAATCATGTACAAAATGCAACCAAAGTCTATACAAATACCAACTTTGTATATTTTTAGGAGTACATGGATGGAATAGGCGAGTCAACAAAGTCTCCAAACATGAGTAAAATGAAACGTTACGTAGACAATATGCTACAGGACATGCGTTCATCTTTCAGAGTGAGAGAAGAACAGTTAGCTACAGCGGCGCGTTTTTATAAGAAGAGACTACAGAGGATCACCATTACCCATCATGCTTTGCTCATAGCATACAGGTCAGTGAGACAATGCTTGTGGTTTTGAATTGTTATGAAGAAATCTGGTGAATATGTGACACAACCATCTAGAACAGTGTTTTCCAAAGTTTTTTCTCAGGGGACCCATAGTTTAAAAGTCACAGTTCTTTGTGACCCAAGTCAATAGACATTGTAAATCACAAAAAAAAAAAAAAATTTGACCATTATTGAAGATTAATGAATATATTTTATTGTTGGCTGAGTGATCATGTCTTTCTGAACAATTAGTATTACCTTATTTTTGGGGCGATAAGAGCACTGAATTATAAGGCGCAATATCAAAAATGTTGAATTCTCTCGTCTATTTTCATACATAAGATAATTTGCATAAACTATAAGCAATTTAAAAAAAAAAAAAACTGCTTGCTCCTTGTGCGCTGATGTGGTCAGTTTCTGTCGGACTATAGATCACGACTCAGTGGGATATGAGTAAAAATCGGTTTGAGGTCAATAAGCACAACCATAATCAATACATAAGGAGCACCAGATTATAAGGTGCATGCTGATTTTTCAGAAATTTAAGGGATTTCAAGTCTGAAAAATATGGTATTCAAGGAAACAAGGAAAAACAGTAATCAGTGTTTCCCACAGAAAACTGGTTAGGCAAGGCCTAAAAAGTGAGGAGTGGAGGTGCATGGAGATGTATGTATATGTATATTGCAGCCCTACATGCAGATCATGACAAGGCAACCCCCCAAAAAAATCTCTTGCGACCCACCTGAGGGTCACAACCCAGGCTTTGGGAAACAAAGATCTAGAATACACACAGTTTCAAATTGAGCTGGAAAGTTATATTGAAATCCCAAAGAGTCATTGTTGCCAGTTGAACGGACTCTAAACCATAACATTAATTTGGTTTGTGTTTGTGTTATAAGTTTAAATATTTCTTCCACTGGATTTCTCATTCTTATAAACACTGCTGCCCACCATCTTAAATTATGACATCAAATTCTAGTCTGTGAACATGAGTTTCAGCTTCCTGTTATATGCAGCATTTTGGGATTTTTTTCCATTCAAAATATGTAATATTTAGTTTTAAATTGTTAATCACTAAAGCAACCGTGTAAATAATTCACCATCCTGGAACTCATTAATTCAGAGATCAGAGAGAGCAGATGTTGGCCAAACCAGACTTTGGGCTGAAAACTGGACCTCCAGAATCCAGTTTTGATTTGGACATAAATGAACTGAAGGGTGAAATGGAAAAGGAAATTCAACATCTTCGCCAAGATAAAGCAAGACTAGAGCTACAACTACAGACAGCCATGGCACAGGTACAAAAATATGGGTTTAATCTTAATTTTTCATTTAAAAAATTTTTGATTTACACTTCATATTTTTAGATGTCCACATTCCAAATCCCAATACAAGCTGCCTCTCAAGAGTAAGTAATTTCAGGAATGCTGACTTTACTGTTCAGCTGTAAACCCATATCATATTTAAGTACAAAAATGTAACTTTATCAGGGTGTCTCAGAAATGCGAAGAATCCTGGACAGACGTCAGGAAACAGCTGAAGGACATGACAGAGTCCACATTGGTATGGAAACTATTTGTGATTGGATGATTAAAAGATGAGCTATATGCAAATGTGTTCTGTAGGAAAGTTTTGAGAAGGAGCGCATACTTCTCATGACCAGAGCAACAGTGGCTGAAGCGCAAGTGACAGAGATGCAGGAATATATAGACAAACAGCTGGACAGGTAATGAGTTTGATGTTGAAAGAAATCTTTGAAGTACGTTTTACAAGGGCTAAAAAGCAGTGGTAAAAATAGGACTGAGTAAGTAAAAGTACATATTATTTGGCTATAAATTTGCTCATTTACAAGTACAAATAATGCATAATACATGAAATATACTACCCCTGCCAAAATATGATGTGGTTAAGTAAAAAAAATATTATCCAAGAGGTAATGCTAGTTTTGATAGAGAGCTTGCTACATTTTGTATAAGCTATAATCTGAGATGTATTCATGGGTTTCAGTCACTTGATCTTTCCTTTGCTCCATTTTTAAGACTTTTAACCATTCAGAAGTTTGAGTTTTCATTTGAATTGCCATCACATGGAGTTGAATTAAACCTTTATATTATGAAAATCATCACATTAACAGACAGATGTTTTGGCTTTAAAATTTCTAAGTTGGAACTGTTTTAAAGGTACAAGAAGAACCCCACAGACCTCAACAAACAAGATTGCAGAGAGGAAGCTCATCCGTCCACAAGTGCAATCTGAACTAACTGCAAAGAATCATGGGTAGATTTAAACATAGCCATTCATGCATTTTACTTCTAAATGTTAAAATTCTCAAAATAGATTATTTCTTCAATTCACCCACTTTCTTGTGTTCATAGCAGTGTATATTGTCTACATGGTATAGATTTTATAGTCACTAGGGGGTGCTGTCAAACGCTGGGGGCCTCTCATAATGAAAGACCCCCAAAGAGAGCTGGCCTTGAGAAAAAAATGCCAGGAATGTTTGTAAAGCTTATGTCAATTTCACGAGCTGCGGAGAAGAAAGAGCGGTGACAATGAGGGTCGCCCTGGTGAGAATAATGTCATTACATGTTACCCAGACTGGTACAGCCTGTGAATACTTGAGACCAGAGCAGCGCTGGGAACCAAGGCCCAAACAAGCAGCGTCTATCCAGAATGTGGATCATATTAGGCTCTCAGAGAGGGCCAGTGAATAGGCATCTACTCCCTTTAAATCCCTTTAACAGTGGAAGCTCTACAGGTTTTCAGCAATGGGGCATGTTTACAAGATACCACACATGTCAAAAAGTCTGGTTTAAAGTTATAAATGATAGAAAGGCTTGTACACTTAAACTGATAATAAATGTTTGCCCCGAATGTTGTTGGGCATTGGGGAATAGTGGTACAATGTGAGCATGCAGCCACACACGTCAGTGCAGCCCCATTTACAGGGGCCATGCCAGCATGGGGACGCAGGGGCGCGGGGTGTGAAGGTTTGAGAGGAATGGGAAGTGGGATTTTGTCAGTAATGTATTAGACTCAGAGGACCCTGGGAAAAATGGGTGGGGGCTGCGGTTTGGTCAGATGCCAACATAGTCACAGTGCCAGGGGCTGGTGTGGGGAGCTCTGCTCACGTCTGTGCAGCCCTCTGTGGAGCTGTGGGAAAGTGGACCAGGTTGTGCTTTGGCCCTCACCGACAAAGACACAGGCGTGCTGCAGCGTGAGGCCTCCGCACACTTTATAATTCAAATACAGTACACAGCAGATAAACAGAAACAAGAGAGGGCCAAACAGACAGGGCCACAAACCCACTCCAGTCAGGCCACAGCTGGTTGCCAGGCAACATGCCAGAGCTTCAAGCTCTGCTTTTGGAAAAGTCAACTTTTAGACTCAGCCGCTGCTTAGAGACACTGTATGAGGTCACTATTGTCATGTAAATACTCACTGTATTCCTCACATAACTCGAAAGATAATCTGAAACTTTTCTGACAAAGAGAAAAACTTAAGGGGCCATTTTATTTTTCTGTTCACAAGCCAATAATCTGAAGTCACTGATCTGAGAGCTGATCATTATATTCCCATACTCTCTGTTTAGTCTACTGCTTACTTAAGTTTGTTGAACAATTTAACATTAATTAAATATTCTATTTTGGAATATAAATACTATATACATTGTGAAATCCTGGATCTTTAATTAAAACTAGGGATTAGCATTATAAAACATCTCTTCTTATGCAGCCATTGTTCAGTTTCAGCATATTATTAGCATATTTTATTAACACTGGAAGTATAATAGAAATCTGAAATAATTTTATTTCTCGGTTTCACACAACAAATATGCTCCTCAGTCTGCACATGCAGTATACATTCAGTGCATTACTACATACATGTAGTTATGTAATCATTACATGAGATGAAAGAAGATGAAAAAAGGAAATCATTGATCTGTAGCTTTTCCTTCACAGTCCACTGGATACAGCTCATTACAAAATGGATACAGTTTGGTGCTCTCTAGTCCCTGTGGCCTTTTCCTGCCCCGGTGACAGAGCAGTGTCCCCTGGGACCGTCCCGTTCAGATGAGTCTTTAAACTAAGCACTGGAGCAGAGGAAGTACCTCACAAGGCCAGCGCCGGCCACTTGTCAACAGCTCCTTTGTTTAAGGAGGTTAATGCCTAATTGATACAGGCTTAATGAGATAGAGCTGTGTGTGTGTGTGTGTGTGTGTGTGTGTGTGTGTGTGTGTGTGTGTGTGTGTGTGTGTGTGTGTGTGTGTGTGTGTGTGTGTGTGTGTGTGTGTGTGTGTGTGTGTGTATGCGAGTATGCGGGAGAGAGGGTCATAATGAAATGGACAGTCCAGGACACAGAAAGAGATTTATGGGAATACAAGGAGCAAACTGGGACTCAGTGGGAACCAGGAAGAAAAGGTGACAATGAGAGGAATGCACGAGGAGTCCAGTCCTGCCTCATCATGAGAACCTGTCACAGACAATGCATCAATTAAGTGTTCCCATGGACACATTTTACGGCTCTAGACGTTCCCATGACTCAGATATGTATTGATGCATTGTGAGCGCTTCAGCCCATATCGCCCAGTTTAAGGAGACATCCACAGCACTGTCCTATTGTGATTTAAAGTGCTGCAGTCTTGTGGACATGAAGCCGTGCTGCTTTCTTTCTTAGACACCTGTCTTTTCTTCTCTGATGAGCTGTCTTCTCTCTCGCCCCCGCGCCACGGACTCAGACTATTCAACTCTCTCTCCAGACAAGCTTTCTCCACTGGGCACAAGGAGGGAGGGGGGCTCAGGCCAGGCCTCAAGCACTTCACAGCACCAAGAAGAATTGGTCCTGAAAGCTGTGGAGATGGTGGGTGGCTGCAGGCGAGGGAACAGTCTGAAAAGGGGAAAAACTTAAGAAAGAGGGAGAATGCTTTTAGGAGCTAAAAGAAGAATTATCCCGGGACACTTGATTATTTATTTCAAAAGTTCAGTATAATTGGAAATAGCAATGAAAATCTGTACATATGTAAGGGAACAATGTAAATGTTTTAGTTTTATATGTGACAGAACAGAAGAGCCTGGCAAATACATGGGGCCTCATGTTTAAATTAGCATTTCCAAAATTTTACCAAAAAATACAATTAACCCAAGGAAATGGGTAGTATTTTCATAGACAGGGAATAGTAAAAATGATTCCATATATAGGGTGAGAATAGAGCAGAGGTACAGTAGTTGGGGCATAGGGGTGACAATGAGAGACGAGCACGGCGTTCCCACACTCACGCCGTTCCCACACTGGACCCAGATAATCCCTGTCTTAATTGGGGGAGAATTCCAGCGCACATGTTCCAGGCTCAGAGCACAGAGCAGAGGAGAGGAGGAGAGCACAGGGCAGAGAGGCAGTGAGCCCTGTGTCGTACGTGTGAGGGGGCACTTTACTGCAGTATAAACACATGGAGAACTGTCAGCACATACAAAACAGAAACACTTACAACTGGTCACTTTTCACACTTACACAAAGAGACAGGGCTTTTAGCTGCCACTTAACATAGGGCTACTTTCACTGACGAGATGAGGTCATAACATACTTCAATGCTGTCATGATTATAAAGATAATATATTGCTTTCTTATCATTGGGTTGCTCCCTTTTTATGCCAGGGATTTGGTAAATTTCTATGGGCTTCCTTTAACAACTGGGAACCACACATTATTGTGACAGAACAAATGTGAAAGGGGGAGGAGAGACATTTGATAACTCATCAGATCCTTGATTCAAATCTAGAGTCTAGAATCTGACAAAGCCCTAGCATCAATTCAAACTTTGGTTCAAAATAAATAAATAAATTAATAAATGCATGAAAATTGTGTCCATGAATACAGGCAAGTTTAATGCTGTACTGTGTAACATTCCAGGTAAATCAATAACATCATGTAGATAGATCCTCTTCTAGAAATGTTTCATGCAATCAAAGGTGGGTCCAAGTCGTTGTTTTGCAAGTCTCAAGTAAGTCTCAAGTTTTTGACTTCAAGTCCAAGTTAAGTCCCAAGTCAAATACAGGCAGGTCCAAGTTGAGTTTTGAGTCACTGGCCCATAAACCCAAGTCAAGTCCAAGCCATCTGCTTTGAGCTTCAAGTAATTTCAAGTCTTTAAACCAAAGTACTCAGCTTTTTGCAGTTTATATGAATTTTAAACTAAATTGTACTTTTAAAAAGTCATAGTATATTTATATGAGGATTTATAGAGTATATAAGAGTTGTAGAAAATAATTTAGTTAATTTTTCTTTTTTAAATGTCTTGACAAGATCTTAGAGTGAATTATTATGGTCAGAATAGAAAGAATTTAGATTTAAAAGTGCTTCCCAAGTCTTCTCAAATCACAGGCCTCAAGCCTGAGTCAAGTCCCAAGTTACTGACCTTCAAGTCCAATTCGAGTCCCGAGTCTTAGTCAGATTTATCAAGTCAAGTCTCAAGTCCTACAAATAGTGACTCAAGTCTGACTTGAGTCCAAGTCACAACAAGTCCCCACCTCTGCATGCAATACATACCCAGAGCTGTATTTTGTTTCATTCACACAAGAATTTCACACAAACCCTGCATATTTAAAAGGTAAAAGGTAGCTGTTAACTTGAAAACTACCAGTTCATGACATCACAAGGTGGAACAGATTTTTGATCAGCAGTTTGGATTTTGGTTTTTGAAGATATAGACAGACTAATAAACCAGAATTACTCAAATGTGTGAATGAAACAAAACACAACTCCAGGTATGTTTTGATGAGGTAACAACATTCTGACATGGCAACTCACAAGGATCCATTTTGTGTAGTATAGGACCTTTAATAACTTGCATGAAGTAAAATCAAACACAAGCTCCTGCAGAAATATTAGAAGCTATAATTATGGTGCTTTCAAGTAAAACATTAGTATTGCATATCACGTTTTCATAATATTTCTCCAAAGTGTGCGCAAACCTCAGCCCGAAGCTACAAAAGGCAGGAGAGATACTGGTGACACAACAGCACGGCGGTGAAGGGCAGTTTCGTTCAGCCTCCCTCTCTCCCTCACAAACACTGCAGAACAATGGGGCGAGTGTGACTGTAAGGAGGAACCTGAGAGGGCTGAGATAACAGGTACAGGCCCCCATCACTGCTCAAACACAGGGTTAGTGGCAGCTAGTGAGAGCGCTGGTTTCTCCTCATTGTCCACACACTCAATGAGGTTTTGTGAGAAAAAAGTATAATCCCACTAGTTTAGTCTAAGAGCAGAGACAGAACAGGTGCATTTGGGTGCTGGGCCAGGACAGGAGTGCTCTAAGTCCTTGTGTGGAATTAGTTGTAATAGACTGAATATATTTCTAACTATTTAAACTATCTACTAGTTTTTAGCCATGCAACAACATTCGAACATGGCAAAAAACTTACAATAATCAATTTTGCGTAATATAGGACCTTTAAGGACACAAACACCAATATCGATCAAAGGCCAGACATAGAATGTTCACCACTTTAACAATGTATATCATTTGCAGATCAGGTGTCTGCTAACATGGTGTAAACAGTAAATAGTATGCTGTTTGTGACTGAGAGATTGGTGCAGAACTTCCTCTACTCCGGTGGGCTTTGGTCCATTTTTCCTCAGATTATCGTTAATGTGAACAAGCCTGGAGGTAAACAAATTCAGTTCTACTGTCTTCTACATTCACCAACAGATCTGGACACTAGGGAACCTCTATTTGAGCTGTCTTCCAGGCAATTGCCTATTTGTGAGAACCTGTTTGCATACAATAGATCTGTACTGGATTGTAGAGCTGAAAGATACATTGAAAATGGATATCACAATTGTTGTTGAAAAAGTATAACACAGAGTCACTGGGATAATAATGGATTCTTGTGAGCTTTTAGCAATGTTATAATACTGTTCCCTCTTCCAAAACACAACCTGGAGTTGTGTTTTGTTTCATTCACATATGTTTGAGTAATCCTTTATTATTAGTCTGTCTACATCTCCAAAGCTCAAAATGCTTTCCTCCACCACGTGATGTCATGTAGGGGTAGTTTTCAAGTTAACAGCTACATTTATCTTTTGTTCAGGAGAGATTGACATTTCCAGGGCTAAAATCCATCCATATGATTCTAGTGGTGTATGGAGTTTAAAAACACAGTAGAGCACTTCCTGTGACACCCACATGACATGACAAGATGGAGTGATTTCTGTTTGAGAGAAGAACTTGTGTGTTAAACGTATGTGAATGAAACAAAATACAACTCCAGGTATATTTTTCATAACATATCATATCATAATATCACTGTGACTATGTTGTTGGCATCTGACCAAACCGCAGCCCCCACTCATTGACATTTCAGGTTTCTGGCCACAACAAGAAAACACTTGGTTCCAACAGCTTGCATTAATAACAGACTTTGTACCTAAAGACATACAAACAAGCACACCTCTAGATAGTCTGATTTAAGATCACACTATACTTTCCCTTTTTTCACCGTTATTATCAGAAGACTATTATGATACAGGCCAACTTAGCTAACTAGATTTCTCCCTAATTAGCCGTAGGTCTTTGGTGTGACAGGGTGGGCCTCTTGGTGCCTTGTTAGCGCACGGTGCCAGTGTGAGCAGGTCTTTGAGACTCTACCCCCTGCGGGACAGTACAGGGCACAGGATGCGGAGGGCGAAGGCAGCTGTGTCCTCTCAGTTTCAGGCCACACTGGCTCGCCTTTGGAGGGGGTCTTGATTCAGTCCCTCTACAATACTTTGGGGTTTTGGCGGGAAAAATCCAAACCAAAGACCTCCTCCCTGCACCCATAGTCCCATACTTCACGTATACAGGTCCTGATGGATTTTCAGTGTGCGTTTTGAAGGGGATTACAGCCATCTGCGGGCTCTCAAGGCACAAAGGGGAGTCCACGCGCTCCTCCCTTCTCCACTTCAGAGGGATAACACGCACAGAAACATGCACTACACTTGTACCCTATTCGAGCCTGACCTCCCCTCCTAGACCAACTGTCCACTCCAATGTAAAGCGATTTCAAGATGGCCTTCAGTGTGCAGCACAAATTCTATAGCACAATGAAAAAAACTTGAGCTTGGTTGTAACTTTTGAAATCACTTTATATTTATGTATGCTTTTGTTCAGCTTTATAATAATGTGACAATGGGGCAATCATGTGGTCCTCAGGAAATTAGGAACGTGTTTTTCCGAATTTAAAAATACGCATGTCCACGGCAAAAGAACCCAGCTGCCAGATCAGATCAGATCAGATGATGTGATAAATTATTTTTAATATTTATATATTTTTTATTTATATTGAAATATTAAAATATTACTCTGAGTTGACTTGCATCTCCACAAACTTGACTCTTACTTGGCCTGGATAAAGGCCTTCACCTGCTTGTCTCCACTGAAATGTTGTATGATATTCCACAGTATGGTACACAATTTCTATGGTAAATGTTTCAAAGTATGGTTTTGTTATTGTTCCATTTTTGGTCTTTGTCACTTCCAGAAAATTATACTGTGTTGTCTTCATAAACTAGCTCTTTAACTTAATACTACAACATTTAGGGGTTTTCTGTTTGTTGTCTGTATCATGACAACAAACATCAACATCTATAAAAACTGTATCTATAATACATGAAGGTAAAATACAAAGACACTGAGAACATCTCAACATGTAAGCAAATAGAAACTCAGTGTGAGCATCTGAGATGTTTTAAAGCAGGGGTCTCCAACCTTTTTACTCTGGTGAGCTACCTTTACAAAATGAAAATGCCAGAGAGCAAATAGTTTTACTAGTTCAAGAAACTGAGTAAATATAAGAGCCACAGCAAGCCTTAGATGAGGTATAGTTAGATGGCTGTAAAACATAAACCATTATCCATATAAGGCACAAAGTTAGGCATCAAAATGATGCACGCATAATGGTAATAGGCATTTAATTAATCAAATTAGACTTATTAAGCACAGTATGTGTAATTCAGAAATCCCTTGGCGAGCTACTTGGAAGGGGATGGAGAGCTACCAGTAACTCACAAGCTATAGGTTGGCGACCCCTGTTTTAAAGCATACATGGACCAGATGAGTCAGATTATGGCAGTAGAGGTTTTTCCAAGTCACAGAGCTGCATATTCACCTGTCACTCAGAATGGTTTCTCAGACAGGAGCATCCAGAGAATTCCATGAGGGCTGTGTCATTCCCAGCTGTGCTTCTTGTTATGGGAACCTCGGCCCGTCAGCTGGACAGTGGATGCCAGGGATAGGGCTTGGATTTGGGATTCAGCCTCTGCCATGTGTGGGGAGATGCACAAGCACTTAGTCATGGAAGACATTACACAAGTTTCCATGGTTACAAACTTTATAGTGACATTTATAGTCTTGTGCGTAAATTCAGCCAAAAAGATCTTCCATGTATCTCTGCTAATCATCCTGCTACTTTTGGCTCCCAACCAAACATATAAATACTTTCTCTTTCCGCTTTCATTTTTTTTTTTAACAGTAAGGTTTGAAACCATCCTCCATGCAGCAGCAGCATAATCACCAACTTCCTCAGACTTTCCATTTTTCCTCTTCCATTTGTACCTTTGACACACATTTAAAAACAAATCTCAAGTATCAATACACAATGGTGCTCTAAAAACGGAAATAAACACATGCTCTGATATAGAGTTGTAGATGCATTAACAATGCCAGCAGATAATCCTTTGACACTGTACCAGATCTATTGTATCTAATGCTGTTTTTAGTCAGTTGTCATCCTTTAGTCTTTGATCAGAGGAAGCATCACCCGGCCTGGTTCGACCCGGGCGTGGTTCTAAGGAGGACCACAGGGAGTCTCCAGTAGCACTCTGGCCCAGGTCAGTCTCTCATCTCTGGAGCTTTGTTTTTACTCACTTCCCCTTAACTTCCCCAGGGCCCTGAAGTCTACACCCTCCTTCCACTCTCACACACTAGAAAGATGTAAGATGAAATAACTAATGTTAAAAAAAACTAAAAACTACTACTAATTGTATTAAAGGTGCACTTGGGTGTTCCTCACCTGCCTGGAATGTTCCACTGTATGACATTAAAAAGCTCTACCTTAGATTTATTCAGTTCAACTAACTGAAAAATACCTCTCCACAGATCGGACCTATGACTTGGCCTGGTTTGGTCTTCATAAAGCTAGAAAGGTGTAATGGCATACTGTGAAACATTTCAGACCAAGCAATTTCGTCTCCATGGGGAAAAGCATTTGATAGACCCCCACACCAGAAAAGTTACACAATGTACTTCCAATGTTTAGTTGCAAATTACATCACATCATTCAGTATGTCTGTGATGTTGCATTTAGATGGGTCCAGGTACAACGTCTGTTAATGCAGATTTACTGGTATGGTTTGATCACTATTGACAGGTAATGGTGCTTGTTACCTGCCCTACATTTGAGTGTGTAAGAACATGGCTTCATTTATTAGATCTGCCTTTAACCAGAAACTGTCCTTAAGTAATTCACGCTAATTGAATAAGAGAAAAAAGTTCGTCATCTTTGAACTGAATTGAGTGCAAGTCCAGGTGGCTACTTTTTGAAACTATTTGTGTACAAACACTGCCTAGTCACCTATTCCCAACAGCAGTTCCTGTCTTTATTTGTTGCTAAAAAGCTGTGTTTATGTTTAAATCATCCATGTCTTGTTAGCGTGTTTCCCCTGACATGGACACCGCTGCACTCAGGACGAGGGCCGGGGTCACTGAGTAGTCACAACAATACAGGAAGTGTCTCATTGTCCCACTGTCACATGATGTATTGGGGCTGGGGGTATAATTCCACCACTCTTTGTCTTGCTCTTTACCGTTCTCGCTGCACTGACCTCGGATGCACAGCTTGGGTCGGCCTGTCTGAGGAGGGGTCCGCGGTGGGCCCCCCAGAGCTACAGGATGCTTTAAGGAGCAGTGAGGCAGTAAATAGCCGGGGAGGCCTGGAGGGAACCAGTATTGCAGGGCCACAGCACTGTCCCTGGGTCTGTATGGGACAGGGAGAGCATGTAGGCCTTTTGTGGTGCTTTTACCAAAACACCATGTTAATTCCCCCAGCTGCTCTTTTTCAAATGTATTTACAGTGTCTTGTAAAAGTGACCGAGGGACACACCATACATGTTTATGCTTGGGTTTGTAGGAGTTGAAACAGGTGCTGTTTCAACACATAATATTTCATCATTCATAGTTTTTTAAGGCACGCTGTAAAACTTTACTAGTTGAGGCTGTTACCTGCTTGCCTCAATGGAAATTTTGCTGTTATGCCTGGAAATTACATGAAGACAAATAAACGGTGCAACTGTGCTAAGTTACACATCTGCAGATCTGTGGAGGAGCAAGCCCACACCCAATAAACAATGCTTCTGAAACAATGTTTCTCTTTATATCTTTATGCAATAAAAACACAAAAAAAAAAATCATAAATGAAAAACAGTGTGGAACCAGACCACAGCAGTAACATCTCCATGGAGACAAGCAGACCCCTCCATCAAAGTTCCATAGGGAAGAAATAGTCTGTTCTCTGTGGTAAAATATACACCCAGCGATTGGTAAGAGCCAGGAGAAAGGTGTTAAAAGTGTCTTGCTCACTGACAAAACTGCTATTTGCATGGGTACAGAATGTAACCAGCAACTTCCATGTTAATAGCAACCATCTCTATTCTGTACATTCATTTTTGTTATAAATGTAAAAGTGAATGTGCACAGTTAATCCAAAGTATAAAAAATACACTGCCCCATCTTGCATATGGCCAGAGACAGTGTGGCACCTCGGCTCCACTCTCCTTGACAATACTCCCTTAATAGAAATTTATGACTTCCTGAATCTTGAAAACGGGAGGCAGAGGAGGACAACAGAATTCCAACCTCTGGGTGTTTTTATTTTCCGTGTGTCCTAGTCCAAACAGTCCCAGGGGCCCTAACACGACTTAAATCTCTGTGCCTCTCTCTCACTGTGGCATTCTGTTTGTCTGAGGTCTTCTACTGTTTAATTTATGGGCACTTGAGGTGACTTATGTCTGAGAAACATTTACCAGAGCATAGACCTGTTAATGCATGCAGACTTATAGAGCAGTCCAAGGTTAGAGAAAGTTGTTTTAGGGATGTGTGAAATTTCCATGATAAATAAACAAAAACAAAGCTTGCGACAGTTAAGGTTTGCCATAATTTGTATTTGAACAAACATAACATAGAAATATTACACAATACTGACATTTCACAGTTTAAAATCATCATAAAAAATCTTATTCACATATATACATTCATATTACATTTATATAATACAATAATAACACAATGGCAGTGAACGCTTGAAGACACTGAAAAAGACATTTGGTTTGAACCCCTGCAGACATAGTGCACACAACACAAAAAAACAAATGAAAACACATATTACATGTATTATTCTGTGTCCAGTGTAATTGGCTCTAACAGCATTTTAATTCATTTCAATATATCTTGTGTATATAGTAACAACTTTGGTAACACTGAACTCAAGTCGCTTTCACAAATCTCTTTCAAATATGATGATAACTAAATGTATAATAAGGTAAAACTTTTGATAATATTAATTTATTTGTAGAATTACATGTTTGCGGTATAGGATTACGCAGAAAATGTCCACATGTTCATATATAAATACTCAAATGCCAACACTATGCTACATATATTTGCTTTTTATTTGGTTTTAGTGCTTGCAGCATTCTGGATGAATCACTTATTTCAATCAGTGCAAATTCTTTCTTTTTAAGACCTTTATAATCTCCTTTAACTTAAGACTGAAACCAATTCCAGTCAGTTATGCTCACCTCATAATTCAGGCTCATTTTATTTATTTTGAATGAGACTTCTGAATCCACTTTTAAATCCTAGACACCTCACTTCAACATTGTGTAGCACTGGTGTCAAAATGTTTAGATTTTTTAAGATTGGTAGTGGCTTGTCTCAATTCAAGAACAGCCCACATATGCAGCTTATTTGACTGCACCAAAATGGCTACTGACCAACACCGTTCTGTTCTCTGGAATCAGTGCTCTGGGGCCTTTCTAGGCACTCTCCTAGCCACACTGCATCCTCTTAGCGGGACAGGGCTCGCTTACGCCTTGCTGTTAATGCTGGCGGTTTCTGTTTTGGAACACATGATTTCCCCATTGCATATGTCAGTCTATAGGTAGCTCACATGGTATTTGCTGAGCAGCTTTAGCCGTGAGGTAGGCCTCTTGGAAGTCCTTGTATCTAGGAGCACATCCCAGCCAGGCCTCTCCAAAATGCACCCTCCCCGTGAAGAGGAAACTGCCCGGTCCAGGTTTGACGCCGCATTGTAACAGAGTCCGGATCTCGCCCTGGCTGGTGAGGCGACTGTTGCCGCTGGTGAAGAGGGCGTACTTCTGTCGGAAAACACGTGTGGCGCTGACTTTGATCACAGCCGCTCTTAAAGTATCATCATCTTCAACTGAACGGATGTTTCCACGCACCACTGCAGATAAAAGAATGCAAGATTAGATATGCTTTCAGGTATGGAATCAGACATACTTCAAAAAAATGTGATAATGATGGTGACTAACGGTGCCTATATATAACAAAATATTGTTAAAATGTCAAAATGCTAAGTACTATTTTATGAAGAGAATGTGTGAGACATTGAATCCAAAATTGTCATTTATTGAAGCTTTGGTCTTTGATTATTAAAATAACATTCTTTTTTTTTCTCCTCCATACAATGTGATTCGAAACCCTCAAATTATTCCATATTTGACATCTATTATTTACATTTGTTGCACCATCTCTTACCAACTACTAACTCAAGATAAAAGCTGTTTTCAAACTTCTAATCTAATCCTAATTTTTGCTGCGAGCTAAACCTTTTCTCATTCCCATTACAGCTCAATCAGATTAGTCCACTTCTCCTTCTTTCGGGGGTGGGTTGGTTGGATTAGTCCACTACAGTGGACTGGGGGGTTCTCTAAAGGTTTGGGGGTGTGGATTCCTTCTATTTCACCTTTCACCTTTGCACTTTTGAGAAGAGGATTTGGAGGTGCTGGTTTTAGCACAGGAGATTTGTAGTTCCTAATTTGACATTACGCCTTTCATTTGGTGGTCTTTTGAAAATATGGTAATCCTTTTAGAAGCACTGACAGGGCTAGTTAGTGTGACAATAAAATTTCAGGTAACTTACCAAAATCGCTAGTGCATACAGCCATCAAGATCTCGGTATTGTTGCAAGGTCTGCAGGCATCTGTCAAGAAAAAGGGAGAAATGTCCGTTAGGAAACTTGTACAATATCCAAAGAGACACCTATATGCTAATGGTACTGCTAAGCCTCAGTTAATTGCCCATCCGGATCAATGTAAAGGAATCTGTTAGTTAGCGAAGACTTTTCAGTACAGGACAGACCAACCACCGAGCCACAAATTGCAGCTGCTACTTTTCATTTTACATTTTATAGTTGGAGCGGTGAAGTTTTTAGGTGTGAGATCCTTCCTGGACAGACAATTTAAAAGCCCTCCCTCCCCTCTTTCCTATGCCTCTGTCCCAAAGCCTTCCTGGGTGTCTACAGTCACACCTCATCAAAGCTTAGAAGATGGGGAGGCCACTTCAAAAGATTCCAGCTCAAAACCACTTCTGAGAAAGTTCCTCCTTAATTTACCGAAAGCCTGACAAATGATCTGAAAGGAATATTTAAAATGTGAACTCTCCTGAAGCCATGGATTTAAATTTTAAGATGCAGCATTTTTAAAGTTAATTTTCTTGGTTGCCCTCCTAAGAAATGTGATAAATGAGATTCCTTCCTCCCTAGTCTTAATAGTGTGTGTGGGAGTCTAGGGCTGGACTAAAGGGGTGCACTTCTCCAGACCAGTCTCCGCAGCCCCAACAAAAGATTGGAGCATCTCAGCTGGGCCCAGGCAAACCCCCCCGGTTGCCTAGGAGACGGCAGTAATCCCAGAATGCTCATTGAAAGGGGCCCGGGACACTGGAGAGAAAGCGCACCCCCACATACTGTGTCTTTGTGCCCCCTCCTCCCTCCACTTCACTTGGTCGAAGCCTCCTTTGAATCCCAAGCAGCCATTCCACAGGCTGCGGTGGTGGAGAAGTTTGCCCACATCCTCCCATGCACACTGCTCTCTTATGAATCATGGTATGAATTATCCACAGAGCTGCCTTTGAAATAAACTCTGTGGTTTAGGCTTTTGGGAAGAACAAAAAGGATCACCTCTACTTGCCCTTGTTGAAATATCACAAATGGAGTCATATGTGAACTTATACTTGTGAAGTTATATGTGAAGTTATACTGGTGATGGTGTATGCAATAACATTATGATTTGTATTTTTTTATATATATGGCTATAGATAATGTGATATGGTGTTTATCTATAATTGTTAATCTAGTCACAGTTTATGTTAAAAACCTGTGTACTCTGTTGTCTTTCCCAAAAATGAATGGAGAGAGTTGCACCAGCATGGGCCTCTATGGTTAATGGCAAATGAATATGCAAATCACTTTACATTAGGAGACGTGACGACCCTAAAAGGGTAAGAGTGAGAGGAAAGCTATTCTCAACAATTTCTAATCTAATCAAGAAACCATGTAAAGCATAACTAAGCCAAAGTAACACTGTCCCAAAATGGCTGCTAACTGGACACTCACCTTCACTGGTCACTTGGTTGGAGTCCATTGACAGCTGTGCACTCCAATCTCCTCTCAGTTCATATCTGAAAGACGCAATCCTTCTGCTGATATCCTGGTGAGGAGTGGCTTGGAGGAACAGTGCCACCTTTTCCCCTGGCAGCCGGCTGAAACACCTGACTCGAGGTGGAGCAGAGGTACCAAGGCGGTCGCTAACCAAGAGCTCCAGCACCCCATCCCGTTCCAGGTACAGCTGAGCCCCATGGAACTGCTCTGAGGGCTTGACACAGGCGGTGATGAGACCTGAACTACTGCCCCCAGGTCCCACTGCTACATAGGGCAGGCGGGGGGACAGGGTGAGCCGCAGTGCCCCTTTAGGATACAACCAGTCTAGGGTACCCTCCGAGCAGTGCAGGGAGATCTGCTCCACGCTGCCTTGCTGCTGGGACAACCCACTGTGGAAGAAAAAAATGTGAGTATTTTTCTGAAATACATTCTCAAATATAACCCTTCAATCTGCATGGCATATATTCCCTAATATAAATAATATTTAACATGATAAAGGCTAGTGAAGTTTTTATTAGCCTAATAACTAAATAAAAAAGACATCACTCTGGATTGATTTAAACTGCGCCGCCTACTGGTGATTCTGCAAAGCATGCACCCCGTTAACTCTTCTAACACATACTGAATTTCGTGAAAATCCTTGCTCCATCCAGAGATTTAACATGTGCATATGAAACTACAAATTGTGCACCACTAACAGCGCATTTTCCACGGTGAATAAGCTTAAACCCAGCCGTCTCCTGCTTGTCTGGACAGTCAGTCCCTCCTGCAGATATACGCTGCAGGGGCCAATCACCCCAAAGCTCCCGAAACATTTTAATTGCACCCTAATGGCAAGTCCAAACATGTTGCACTCCTGCACGCACTGCCCCTTTCTAGGGGTCAAGGGTCGGATCAACAGATAAGCAACGGAAATTTAATGAATGAATCCTGTGAGCTGAAGCAAACATGTACACAAAATAAAACACTTGCCTTCCTCTCCAACTGCACTGGTCCTCGGAATAGTACGACATGGCCACGTCAAAACAGATTAGAAATAAAATCCAAAATGCGTAAATCCAAGCGCCACCGTACGCAGACATCTTCAATGGAGAGTGGAGCCAAGTGAAGGAATGCGAAATGGATAATCCCCAAAAAACTCAACCACTCAGCCACGCACAACAAAAAACTGCTATAAAGCCACTATAGCGCTGGTAAAATCCATACTCGTGCGTATTCTCTTACCCTCCGAGTTAGATAAGAGAAAGGCTCACTCCTCTATCTACTTCGTCTCTCAACCCTCTCGGCTGATGTGCACCAGGTTCACGCAGAGCTCTGAAGTTATCCCCCAACACCAAAACTTGAGCAGCCAATCAGAGCGCGGCACTGGAAACTTTAAACCACTCTCTCTCTCCGCGCAGGGGGGAGGGACGCGGGCGCAGGGAGGGGGACACTATGCAAAATTACTGCATTGTCTTCAAAACTGTCTATCGAAGTAGATCTTAAGGTGGTCCAGCCTATTAGTTTCTCGTTACTTGGGTTTGGTAATAGGCTATAACAATAATATGACAAAGCATATATCTCGTTAATACAAAGACTTAAAAGTTAATTCTAGTAATATTTTGCAGTGATTTTAGTCATTAAATCCCCAATCCAAAGAGCTGTTCATTCACGTAGCCGTTAATCTACTGGAGAGTGGACAATCCCCAAAGAGTCCTAATGATGGTTTTAATTACAATATTAAAGATCCTATATTAGGCAAAAATTGACTCATGAACTTTAAGCCATGTTATAATCTTGTTACCTCATCAAAAACATACCTGGAGGCATGTTTTGTTTCATTCATAAAGGTTTGATTTTAGTCTGTCTACATCTCCAAAGCTCAAAATGCTCTATTCCAACTTGTGATGTAAAGAAGTTATTTTTAAGTCAACAGCTACCTTTTACCTTTTGATCTGTAGGGCCGAAATTATTGAAATGATTCTAGTCAAGGTGCATGGAGTTTAAAAACACAATGGAGCACCTCATGTATTACCACATGACATCACAAGGTGGAACAAGGTGTTTCTGTTTGAAAGAAGAACTCAGCCTAAATGTGCAGGGTTTTTGTGTTCAACATGTGTGAACGAAACAAAACGCAATTCCAGGTATGTTTTTGTCTATTACAACTTAGATCAGAAAATACTGTAATATTTAGTGTTTAATTTGTAAAGTGAATCTTTGTGATCCTCATCCTGTAATTGCAGAGTATGTGAGCTAAACAAGCCAACCAACAGTGTGTGGGCTCTGACATCACTGGGTCTGACTTGTTGTTGTTATGTCTCGTGATGATGTAGGTGCAGAATGTGTCTCCTCTGACTTGCCTTTTACCCTGCTGGGCTCCTCTTTCATGTGCTGGCATTTATAACCAAATTAAATATTCTTTTGTGCACTGGCTGCCATCCATCTCTCCTGAGTCAGTGGCTCTGAGTCTGCTGCATGCATGTGCTGTGGAGTGAGACATCCTGGGACCTCTGATGGAGTTATGACAAGGCTTGACAGCGGCACAAAGGCACATGTGCAGAAATCCAGCTGCTTTATTGTGTGAGGCAGGACCAGACTTTGTTAAGTGCACAGCCATTCAAACCAGTGGACTTTAAAGTGCACAGACTGACAGCAGGGAAACCCACAGAGAGAAATATGAATGTATTACTGGCTGGAGCCTATTAGTTATGGACTTTAAAGGCAACCACATGTTAAGATTACACAGTTTTAGACCTGTCATAAACAATAACAAACATGTATTTTATGAAGAAGAGGTATGCTAAAGCAGTATACAATGTCTAGTTAGTAATAGATGAAAAAATGAATCAAGAGAAAACTGGGAGGACAATATGTTGCATTCATGTTTTAGAATTTGATGATGCCATAACATTATGTCAGATTGAGGACAAGGGCCAATAATTCTAAGGAAATGGCAGTACGGAAAGAAATATCCAAAACAGAAAATCCAAATGAACAAATGTTTAACAATACTACAGTATTTAATACAAATTGTGTAAACCTGCATTTTTGAAATCAAGATACTTATAACAATTATGTCCCTGTGACTGCATTTTTTCTTTACTGTAATAAAATACTTTAGTTCATTAGTGCTGACAGAGAAGACATGGGACTTTGTGTCAGTTTTTATTTCGTATGCACTGGCCCAGTAATTAGATAAATAATAATAAACCAGGAAAAATATATGCATTTTGACAGTGCCCTCAACCTCATTTATACTATAGCTTATTTAAAATGTTATGATAAAATGGATACAACTTGATTCGAAAATGACTGCTACCAATCTACACATACACTATGCATTCAACTTTGCCCCTCTGACCCTGAATGTTCCAGCACCCTTGAATCAACATATTTGCTCCATGAATTCCCCATTCAATAAAATTGGGATGTATTAAATCTGGCAGTGTATGTATCAGTTTTATAATCCCACATAGCACTCTACTCCTTTTGAGTGTGTGAAAATCCAAAGCTGCCGATTCCCTTCCTCGTTAGAACAATGCCATCTTTGACTGTAACGAAACTCAGTCTGTTTGTCCTCTTACTGTAACCACTGAAGCAGGCTCGCTCCCACAGTTGGGCCCGGGACTCCTCTCTCCCCCCCTCTCTCTTTTCACTGTCTTGCCAATAAGAGTGTCTTCAAACTGGACCTACAAGAGTTTGCATGTATCTGTGAGCGCTGGCTGTATTTGCTGTGCGTACTCTATCCTTTAATGTGTGTGTATACTCAGTGTAGTGACAGTCTGCTGCTACTACTGTTTTATGGGACCTTGACATTCTCTCACACTGGCTCTGAATATGCGCTGATACAAAGAGGTCTTTCACAAAACCAAATACTCATCTGTAAACCTTTTCACTGTATTTTAAGAATGTCATGTTTGATGGATTATTACCAAATTCTTCTTAAGGTTAAGTAAGACTATATTTAGACAATATTTCAGCAATTGATAATCACAACAGGTACATCATTTGTTTTAGATAGTATGGACAAGTTCATTTGATAAAACATATTTTACAGAGTTTTAAAAATAATGTTTTACCTACTTTTTACCTTTGCTCACATACAACTTCTAAAGTGCTGATGATGAGGTGTAATATTTGACCTGGGATGCCCTTCAAACCAGCTGACCCTCACTGAGAAGCCAGGAGCCCAGTGTTCCCAGACCTCGCAGCAGGTTCCCATGGCACCTGACTGCTAATCCAGATGATCTGACATGGCCAGTGTTTGTGAGCCTGCACGACTCATCTGTCTGCAGTAATGAGATCTAAGACCTTGTCAGGAGACTCTTGTAACGTATGTTTCCGGATCCCAGGAATATGCCCCTCCCTTCACAGAAGAGGGCTGTGTTCAGTACAGGGAGTGAAGCCATGGGAAACTGGTGGGGGACAATGCTACATGTTAATGAGTTTTTCAAGCAATTTACACTTTGCTTGTTAAAAATTTATAGAGTTTAAACATGTTGCAGGTTGATATGAATAAATATGAATTTTAAAAAATCAAAAATACTTCTTACACACTGTAAGATTTACTAAGGTACAGCATTAGAATGTCGTTAGTTCTTATAAATTGTGTGTTAACAGACTTCAATAGCAACAGTACCAGATTGATCCTGTGTACTTCCCCAAATGTATGGTGTACTGACAGGTAAATTAGATAACCTTAAGTATCCCCTATTTCATCTAATTGTTTGTTTGAATTGAGTTGAATGTTTGGAGTTCCTTTGGGCTTTGTTTATGATCCCATGCTGTTCTGACTATGGCTTAATTAGCTCCACTCAGTGCTAATGCTGATTATCCAGCCACACAATTTCTATTATTACTAAGCCTTTTGTAAACAACACAAAAGATAATATTAATTTGAACTGGTTAAGTGATAAGTAAATGAAAATTAAGATAGGATTGCACTAATTAGGTAATCATTTGCTCATTGTATCTACAAGAAACCAGCTCTGAACCATAGACTTGTATAATAATAAAGTATATTGGTGTACCTCATGGCTCTATATTTGGACCACCTGTCTTTGGAACATTACGTTTTAATATATGTAAGAATATAAAGAAAAGAGTACATAGGGCTTTATGTTGAAATTGTTTGATGACAGAAGTAGTTATGTCTTCTGTATATTGCTATTACTATTGAATGACATTGTTGTTAGCGCCACATGACTTCTTAACTGCTAATTAGCCAGTATAGTTGTTTACATTTCCATCACACTATTTTCCATGTTGTGATGAGTCAGTGGGACAAACAGGCTTTTCCGTTCCCACCTCTGAGCTGTGGCTGGTGCTTGTGGAGTCCAGCCATGGTCAGGTCTCCCATTTACCCAGCACGCCCTCATGTGAAAACGCATGTGTAAACTGACACCGGCCCTCTCATTGCACTTTCTCAGGGTCCCGGTTGTGTACATGTTTGTTTGTGTGACAGTAACATTTCTCTCAAGTCTGTTTGTCTAGTTGTTGCTTGTGTGGCTGTGTGTTGGTGTAAAGCCCAGTGGGAAATCCAATACAAGAGTCAGGGGCCTGAAGCGGATAAACACAAGCCAGGACGTCGACAAACGCAGCTGGAAATGTAAAGACACCCTCAGAATGATCTTTAACGCTTTTCCAAACATGTAATAGATCACTTAGCCCCACCATCTCAAAGCTCCACTGGACTTTAATTTCCTCCATAGGGATGTCATATATGAGTTTAGCAAGATTGGGCCCATATGTTGTCATAAATTAAATTATATGTGTGATTTTTTCCCATCGCTTTAGCCTGAGAATCTCACTTGCAAAAGGTTCAAGGTTCAGGGTATACATGTCCAAAATTACTGCATTAATAAAAAGTACTGTATTTTGATTTTGATACAAAGTTATTTTGTGGTAGAGATACATTTATAGAATTAACTAATTTTTGCAGTTGAGTAAATCTATTCATATTTAATCACTAGTACATAGAGGTGTAACGATATCCAAGTCTCACGATACGATATCGTCACGCTATGAACCTCACGGTATGATATTCATTGCAATTTCGTGGGAAAGCTCATGATATGGTGGGGAGGCTCACAATTAGGGATGTAACAATATCCAGATTTCTCGGTAGG